GTTCCAAGCCATGCTCACCATACACAAAGACGTTCACCTTGACGCTTTCCGCCACCAGTTGACTGCTCTTTGTGGTCACATCGATACTACACTGGCAGAGGTTCAGCGCTACAAGCAATTGTCCACTGCTCGCCTGCTTAGCGCAGCAGACTACATTGCTGCTGTCATGGCCCACGACAATGCAGCTGAATATGTTGACACTATTATCTCCATTCAGTCGGAGCAGAAAGAGCGTCACCGCACCCAGGCATACAAGGAGACTTGTTCAGCTGCTCTAAGACGTCTCGTTGCCTGTGAGGACAAGCTAGATATGTACAAAGTTGTCCCGGAGGAGCAAAACAAGATCAAGAAGCTGCTTGATGATTTGCGTGGAGTCGCAATCACCTGCCAGCCCAATCTGGAGTCTGGAGCGCCTGCCCTGATTCCTCTTAGAATGGAAGCAAAGAGTTCCAAGCAATGTTTACCATACACAAGGACCTTCATCTTACCGCTTTTTGCAACCAGTTGACTGCGCTTTGTAGACACATCAATACAGTGCTCTCAAAGGTCCAGCGCTACAAGCAAATGTCCACTGCTTGTCTGCTTGGCACAGCAGACTACATTGCAGCTGTTATGGCCCACAAGGATGTGATGGAACACTTTGACACCATCATCTTGATACAATTGGAGCAAAAAGAGTGCCATTGCACCCAGGCCCATAAGGATACTTGCTCAGCTGCTCTCTGACATCTTGTTGCTTGTGAAGACAAGCTCAATGTGTACAAAGTTGTCTCAGAGGAGCAACAGAACATCAAGAAGCTGCTGGATGATATGTGTGGAGTTGCAATCACCTGCCAGCCCAATCTGGAGTCTGTAGTGCCTGCCCTAATTGGTGCTGATGCCAATGCTAGTGTATTTGGCTCCGATCCTGGTGCCTCAGCATCCAGTTGTGCTGCTTCCAGCTTTTTAGGCACAAGCAGCCAGACATGTCCAAGTGATTACACGCCTAAATTGTAATGCCAGGTGTTGTGTTCTGATATGATTGCAGCTACAGATGCACACTTAAGGACCAGCCATTGGTGACTTTAGCTGTCTGGCATTGCGATGGTCCCTTTTTGAACGAGCGTCGACTGCAGCACCCTTTCACCTCACAACAATCGCTTTGGCACTTCTCTACATGTTTGCTTTCTTCTCCTAAGGCTTTCAACAAGAATGCAAATGACAGTCACCTTGATCTTGATGTTGAAGGTGAGTTTCAACTTTTGACTTTGAACAACACGTTTAGGTGCGTCAAGCGCATTTTTGACACTTTGATTACTGCTAGGCAACAGCTTCCTTCTACATTCCTACAGATCGCTTCAGAAGATGTGGACCTCCCCAAAGCTGTGCCACTTGCCACAAGACTTCAGCTCCAGACAATCATTGAAGAAGCAAAGCAACCCCTTCCTTTCTGGTAAAATTCAAGCTCCAGAGGCTAGACTACTCAGGCAGCGCAACAGAGGACTTGCTCCTGATCAGCGCGTGTGATCCCATTAAGGTGTGCCGAGGCAACCTTACTTCCTTGACGATTCATGTCACAAGCAGGCATGCCATGCCGCCTCACAAGCACCAGTCATGCCAAGCTCTTTGCTCACAGCCTGAGAATCTTACTTCTCCCAGCATCAACATGTATCTTTGTACAGAAGAGACACATTCAGAAGCCAGAAGACGCATGGTACACATGATCTTTGTACGAGCATCACTATGCTAAAGCTGATAAACCCTCTCTTTGGGCGTACATCAAGATTGTGTCTTCTGGACAATCAAAGTGTGTCCATCGCTGGTCTGAAAAGGGTGCTGTTGCCGAAAGCAAGGCGGAAATTTTACCAGACGAGTTCAGCCACAAAATCTCGCGACATGGACCCCTGTAGAAGTCGCATCTCGTTGACGACGGTAGCCACTCCCACTTGGCCTGTGCAGCAGCTCGGTGACGGAGAGGACAGCGGCCATTTGTCCTGGACATGACTAAGCTATGTGCTAGGCGGCATCCGTTTCTCTGCCATATTGACATTGACAGGGACTGCCGATGAGCAGATATGGAGCACAAGATCCTTGACCACTTTGCAGCCTCGCTGCACAGGCGCCCTGGCAGCATCGAAGCCGACAGCCATTTGTCCACGGTGCTACTCGAGTACAGTCTGATGAGCCAAAGCGCAAGCCCGGCGCAGCGACCGTTACCAAGCTGACCTGTCTGTCTTGGTCCAGCACGCACGCACGTGCTCTCCGAAGCACGAATCAATCGCCTGTGCTGCGCTCCTAAGCGCTCAGCTTGCTGCTGGCTTGAAGAGCCTCCAGCCGTGCACAGTACCTCGAATGGCTTCGTCCCCTGGGTCATCTTTGAACATAGGCTGGGGAAGATGCGCCAATGACGGCATTGGTGTCAAGTGTGGTGCCGATGCGCGCCTATGTGACCGTCAAGAGCACTCACAGGCATCCTCCATCTTCCCACCTCTTCGGCCACCCATCCTTGCCCTCTAGCGCTCTCGAAGAATTGCATGTCTTTGAGCGCAAATTGCGGTCTGTGATGGCTGAAGAATACCAGCGCGCAAGGCAACTGTGGGCAAATCGAGCATCCGACGTCTGCCAACTGCTCAGCGGAGGCATCTTCAAATCTGCTGGTTTCTTGTGCATGGACATCGTCGGCGCGTGGTACGCTAGGAGCAGACGGAGTTTGATTGAGTGTCTCGCTCAATGTCTTCAGAAGCGCAGGATGTGCTTGGTGATTGAACACGAGGTCTGATAGCAGCAGTAATGAGAAGCGCTCTGTTTTGGTGTCTCCTTCGGAAGGCAAGTGTTGCGTGACGATCGAGGGATCTGCGCCCCAAACAAAGCCCTGAGGAGTACAGAGTGAACGATCAATGAAGATTCGATATCCGTGTCATCTCACTCGCCCGGGAACAGCGTCTTTTCATGCCAGCGCTTACTCACCTGGCTGACACAGCCGTGGGGTTTGCAGTTGCTCTCAAGATTTGCCATTAATTCATTGTCAGGCCAGTCGGTTGCCACCACCGTCCTGGCACCCCTCCTCTTGCATACGATAGACGGCAGACCAGCAGCGGCTCCAAGCTCGAGGACGTCAGTGTTCCTCAAGAGCGAATCTGCGTGCGCATTCAGGTACCTGGACAGGACAGGAGCAGCATTCCAAAGGTGATGACCCCAAAGCGGATGAGATCCAACCAGCTTCAGCTCAATGTCCTCCGACATGGTCGTGGCCGCACTTGGAGCTGCTGGGAGTGTAAAGTGCGCCATTGTGGGTGGTGGCGTGGCTGGTCTAAAATCGGAAGGCTCTGCGAAGAGCGAGAGATCGGTGCTGCCTCTGGAAGAGCGTGAGTCTGCTCTGCTCCGGGAGCTTGCAGCGACGTTGCTCGCATCCGTCATGATTCCTGCGGAATGGATTAAGCTCGGGGCGTGTGTGTTGCGGAAGCGCCAAGCGCCCTATCCTTCTCCCGATGCTCGTGGCTCTGGCTCCACGGGCGAAGACTTGGCTTTCGGACAGCCTAAAGCTTGGCGTCCGCCTGTTGCAATTGGCGGTCGGAAGACCCGTCTGAGGCTTTGGAAGCGATTCAAGGTGTGCAAGACATCTATAATTCTGAGGAGGAGGAGGAGAGAGAAGGTCGTCGCGATTGAATTTTCTGCCGAAGGTGACACCCAACACCCAAACAGCGAATTCAAGGTGGGAGTGCCGCGCTCGAACGCGCGGCCGAAGCGCGCGCGTTCACGTGCAGCAGGCGTGCTCTCGGCAGACAGCAAGATCATCACAGATTCGAGATGAGAATTTGAATAAAAAACTCAAACTCGTGAATATCACAATCTGAATGTGAACGGCGACGAGTGCACGCGCGGCCAAACATGCCTGCTGACGCTCTGACCGGTGTCCCTACTCCCACTGCTTCGATCAGCACGACCACCACAGACTTTGCTTCCGGCGAGCTAGGCCCGTAAGACCTCTTGCAAGCAGGACCAGCGCTCGAACATCCAGATCTCTAGAAGAAGTGCACATCGGAGAGGGGGTCGCAACCATGAGCGAGGAAAGAGCTGCGGTGCTGGCAGAGGAGCGGGAGGTGCTGCAAAGCATATACGTAGACGAACTTGAAGGTCAGCTTGGCATCGTAGTAGCTGATCAAATCACTCCCAGAGTTTTGACTTGACTCTGCCTTCTTAGAGATCGATGAGGAGACCCTGAGGATACGAGTGGATCCCGAGGAAGGATTGTCGGGACCAGCAGGTCAGGAAGGCGATGCATCAGAGCGTGAGTCAGCTCAAAGTCGAGGCCGATGCATGTTAGTAAGCTGAGTATCAATGTCATCCCCTCAGCACCAACACTGGCCTTGAACATTAAATACACCCCAAAATATCCCGAAGAAGCTCCGGAGATGAGCATCGAATGCATAGGCGGGAGTGTGCCCGAGCAGGGCATTCAAGAGATGCAAGCCGAGTTGCACACCACCGTACGTCATCTCATGTCTTTCGCCGGCATCATACATTAGGTTGCGCTGATCAAAGAAACCCGATTCCACGCTCATATAGGCCGAAGATTCTCTTGGCATGGCTATGGTCTTTGCCCTTGCTTCACAGCTCAAAGAATCCTTGACAGCATACATTACTCGAACAAAACAGATCGCAGAGGCACAGGAGCAGGACAGGAGGAATGCGGAGATTGAGGTGAGATACATAGGTATGCGGCATCTTATGTCCGCGCTGCGTAGCGTTGGAAGGTACAGTACGTTGTTGATCAGGGAACCGCTCGCTGCCAGGCTGAGGCGGAAAAATTCAGAGGTACTGCAGTCACCGCGGAGCGCTTTGAGGCTTGGAGAGTAACTTTCGAGAAGGAGCAAAAAGAACTAAAGCAGAAAGCCGATGAGGAGTACGTCAAATCAACACTCAAGACCGCTAAAGTGCGTTTGGTGTGCCGTGATGCGACGCGCTATCTCCCAGCTGATAGCATGTCCATTGCCCGTGCAGGAACGCGAAGAATACCGTAAGCTGGCAGCGAGGCCAACGGGCAAAGAGCTCTTCGCGAAAGGCGGACAGATGCACGATGATAAGGCTGAGGCTGAAGCTGGGGATGTGGAGGGCAATGAGGTCGATTATTCCTTGTACTCTCGGGAAGAGCGAGAGCGGCAGAGGCGCGAAGAGGAAGAACGAGCCGAGCGAGAAGCGCGGGAGAGGCTTCACGATAGCGACGACGAATAATGCTGATGAATTTGCAAGTGCCGCATTTGTTGCGCGTGCAAATGCGAGAGGCACGTCGCCATCACCAAGGGCCGGAATAATAGGCAGGACCGCACCCTAGAAGGCAGCTGGCCCCACCAACGTTAGGCTGGAGACGAGGCCGCTTCGATCCACCTCGACGATCAGGCCTTCGCATTCTCGCTTGTCCTTCTCGCCGGATCCAAACGTGAAGCCGACAAGGGTGCTACGCACGTCGAGTCGTAAGCCCTCAAGTTCTGGATTCGCACCCCGATCTAGCTCCATGGTCTCATCTGGCTGGGTCTTGACGTTGACTACATCGCTCGAATCGGGGCGCAAGCCTTTCGCGCTGGTTTCGTGTTCATTGCCACTCAAGATCGCATGAAGCCTTGCAAACTTCAGCGATAGAAAGGTCACTGGTCAGTGGATGTTCTTTGCTTGACGCAGCGTCCGGCTCTTTGGCTGGCAGCCGACTCACCGGCTCAGTGACGGTGCTATTGCCTCTCGCGGTACGCACAACCCATGGACATCTTTCGTATCTGCCAAAGGCTGCAGTACCTGGATTATTGGAGTGGAAGATTATTTTGGTGAGAACACCTGAGCTTGTGCTTGTCGCCGCAGACACCAGCGCGTCTATGCCAAGTGAGGTGTAGTTGTAGAAGATTCCCCCTGCGAAGTGGATGATGTGAGCCCCCTGTCAGAGTCTGAAGCGAGTCCAGCGCCCTCCCCACCCACGATCGGTGTTAGAGCTTTGTATCCCCAGGCGCTCATCTTGTGCCAGAGATCGCGCGTTTGGCGTTCCCAGATCGCATAGCAGGTCTTGCTCGGTAGTCTCGTTCAGAATCAGCTCTACTGAAGCACCTGTGCTCAGGGTGAACTTTACAGGCTGGTCACTCTGCGAAAAACTTTGCGGGTCAGGCGTCTGCCGGAACCGCACTGTGATTGTCGACGAGCACACTTACCTGAACACTTGCTCTCAGTACAGTGACTGAGTCCCGACTGGCCGCATCCTGATCGGAGGTAGTCTTATCTTGATGGCTGAGTACCCGGCTGCCCGTTCCAGGCCGTGCTGGTATCGGCGCGTCAATCGCGTCAGGATCGTGCGGATCCAAACCTTGATACACGTACACTCTCGGCGCAGATGCCTGTGCAGGCGGCTCTGAAGGCAGGCGGAGGGTCAGTCAGTCTCGCCGAGCAATTTAATTGCCGGCGAAGTATCCTCAGACCGCCGTGCTTTCGCCGACACACACGCACCTGGATGACTAAGCGATGCATCGACATCCCACCCAAAAGCCAGGCCTGGATACCGCACCGTGACCTCCTGCCCCTTCGTTGCAGCGCCCTTGCCTACCCGTGACTGCATTCGATTCGTGAGTCCGTCGGTCGGTGTGCGTAGCTTGGCAGGCCAGGTCGGCCCAAACATGCGGTGTACATTTGCGCGAGTGAGAGATGGCAGAGTGCGACCATCGCACGTCAGAGGGAGCGCAACTGGGCTGAAGGACTCCACGTGTTGTGCAGAGTAGCCCGTCTGCTGATCATCCGCCTCAACAGCAGCAGGCATGCGGAGTACAACAAGCTGCAGTCGCTGAGTCGAGGCCGAGAAGCTGAGATGGATGGTCGCGCCTGATGAGCCCGCGGGGACGCTTACAAGCACAGGCAGCGAAGCTAAGGCGGATGTAGCAGAGGGAAGGTTCGGATTTTGGGCTTGCGCTCTTGGTTCGGACGCGCACTTTTCAGTGGCACCATGTGTGATCTCGAAGACTGGATGCTGTCGCGGCCGAGAACGCAGATACTCGAGCGTCGAATGCAGAGTGCGCCCTAGCACGAATGGGCCCAAGGAATACGAGGGGATGATGTCGAGCTGATATGTCATAGTGATAGACTGGTTCCTAATTCATTGCAAAGCGATGTTCGATTGTCTGCACTCATGCGCTATGCGAATGCGTAAGTTGGCATTGCTGGGTAGAAGGTGGTGGTTGTCACGCCAAGCATGAGGCTGTGAACCTCGTATTAACGGCATCCTGCTGCATTCTGTGTCAAGTGTGGTGGGTGCAATGCGCGGACGCGTGGAGCCACGCCTGCGCGAAATCGCGACTCCGCTCGCACGCGGAGCTGCACAACAACAGCAGGTGGAGGCAAGCGCGGTGCATGGCAGCTGTGAGCGACGAGCAAGGTGCGATCAGGCGCGTTGCTATATACATGTACACCGGAGCCCAATGAAAGTGAGCTCGTCCCAACACGAATGACTCAACTCGTCAAGACAGGGACGAGGAAGGAGAGGAAGCCAATCTCGCCCCAATTTGTGGAGGTTGTGAGATGATACATCAGGACCGTCACCAGATCCTTGGGTTAGACCGGCCGAGTGGCCAGTGGCCCATAGTCATCGTTTGAACGGAACAGTCAACGTGAAAATTGCTCAACATGAGGGGATCAGGAGAAAGGTACTTTTAAAGAATGAAGTGCAATTGCTGGAGATGAGGGCTTCAGATTGCAACAGCGGTATCGGTACAGATGTGGCGGCAGACAAAGCATGCAGAGAGATGGAGGGCGCTGGTGCACTTGCGCCCCTACGTCACGACGAGAACGAGAATTAACCACTCGAGAGATGGTCGGTAAAATGGGCATCGTTGCGAAACGATTATCTATTGCTAGTACCTAAGTACTTTTCTGAGCTGCTGCAGAGGTCGTGCTGCCCGATGAAGCTGCCGCGGCAGCCCTGGCAGCGCTGGCACTATCGAGCTTTTGGCCGACTTCTCTCGAGAAGGCACGCAAGCTAGCTGGCAGGTCTGAAGAAAAGGTTCGCCGATGCCTGTCCTTTCGCTCGCTTGCGGACTGGCGTGACGCTCCAAATCCAGAATGGAGACTCTTCGATGGCGTGAGCAGCGCGGCCGAGAAGCTCAGAGTGCCGGGCAAGCCGATGGCGGAAGCAAGATGAGCTCCAATGGAAGCACGAGGCGATGAATTGCTCGGCACGACCTGCACTGAACGACGGCGGGGATCCACCGCCCTCGGTGTTCTGGCTCCCAGTCCGTGGACAGACTTTCGGCGGGGATCCGTTAAGTGCAGCTCGGAGATCGATGGACTGGATGCGGAGGCCAAGATGGTGTTGATCGAAGAACCTGAGCTCGATGCCGACAGTATCGCATTGGCCTGCTCGCCTTCAGGCAGTTGTTCGTCTACGTGTGCTGCCTGGTGCTTAGGCGAAGGTCGAATTGCGGTCCTCCTGACAGCTGCTCCGTCCGATTGGGATCGCAAGAGCTGAGCTTGTGCTCCAGACGGCGGGCTTGAGGCATTCTGAACGGGTGCCACGGACGGGCCCGAAGGATTGTCTAGTCGCAGGGCAGAGAACTGACTAGCCGACGGAGTAACTGCCTCGTCCTCCTCCTCTTCGTGGACGGGCTCCTTCAATGCTGGCTGCAATGTAGCTCCAGATGCAAGCCCAAGAGAGGGCGTCTGAGCCTTTGTCGCTAAGCCAGAAGTCGTCACAGGCGGGGCTTGGGCATTAAGCTGCAGCGGTTTAGGAGGTCCCTTGCGTGGCTTCGCCGATGGCAGGGCCGCCAGTACCCCTGGCGCTGCCGTGGTCACCGCCAAGCTTGCTGCGCCTCCCAACTTCAGGCTGGGCGTCTTTTTGTTGCGGCGCGCCCCTATTCCTTCAACGAGTCGCTTCGAGTCTCCATCGTCTGCAAGATTTTCGGCAGCCAGCTTCTGGGCGGCCGCCTCTCTCGCAGCTGCCAGCCGCTCTTCGCGTCTTCTATCCTCCTCTACAGCCTCCTTTCGCTCTTCCTCTTGACGCATCCGTGTCCATTCCTCCTCATCCATGGCATCACCAGCCCAGCCACCCGTAGCAGGTCGGATCCCGGAGCGAGTGACTCCTCTCCCGTCGTCTGCGCCGTGCGAGTCGCCCTCGATGCCGAACGCCACTCTCAACCTGTTCACCTCCGCAGACAGATGCCGCTCCCACTCGACCAGCTGGTATATCAGGGAGCAATTTGGGGATATGCTCGCTGACAAATCCTTGACCAGCGTGTAGCAGTCGTGCATTCCTGACAGTCCTTGAGCACCTTCCAGAGGGTAGCCGAGTGCGGCTGCTTCCATGACAAAGGCAATGACCAGTGTCGCACTGCGACTTACACCGCACTGGCAATGCACAAGGATACGGCCGGGCGAGGGCCGTTGCTTTGGCATGGTTCTTATTTGAACGTCTGCTTGATCTCCTACACCGCCGCTGTGACCCTCGACTTTAACAGGAGTAAACGATCCTACTTGCAGACATTCCGCAATGAGTGCGCAACCCACACTGAAGCCACCGCCAGGAGCAGCCAGCTCTGTCTCGTCGTGGGTCCAAGGAAGCTTGACATAGCGAAGAGCCTGCATCCGACCGCCCAGAGGAGAGGCAGGAATGGACAGGGCGATGGCCTCTGCCGGTAAAACGACGTCTGTTTCTGAACCTGAGCTGCTCTGCTTGTCGAATAGCTTGCTTGTAAGATCATCTCTGCGCGGCGTTAAATCATCAGCGACTGAAACAGCAGGCGCCCCCACCTCTTGGGCCTCTTCGACAGTTCGCATGTCATGTGCTTCAGCTGACGGTGACGAAGAAGGTGTAGTTCGGCTCGAGGTCCAGCTCGCTGATGCCTCGTCTCCACCCACGCTTGAGGATGTGGACCAGCTGGTTGCAGCACTGCCAGCTTCTGATGCATCTTCTCCAGCAGTCCGATGAGCTTGCGGGCTAGCAGAGCGCTCGCCTGTGTGACCACATGATCGCGAGAGGCGCTCTAAGTCATCGGCTTCAGGAGCGCGAGGTGTGCCGAGCTTCAGTGGACTTGGTTCCCGGCTGTTCGAGGATCCATCAGCAGACAGCTTGCCCTTGTACGTCTGTTGAAGATTTGGGGTCGATAGCGTACTACGCAAGTAATGCGGCGGAGTGACGGGCTGCGCTTCCTTGAGTTTGAGCGATGAGGCTGCGTACTGCACGCTACTGCGATGAGCGCCCCTTGCAGTGGACGTGGAAATACTAGGAGGTAGTGGCGTGTTAGGTGGGAAGACGGACGTGACCGGGGTATAAAAGTTCTGAGGGCTCAGCAGATCATCGCCAGATAGAGAGCCGCTACGGGAAGCTCTAGCAGGGAAGATAGCTGACTGAAGTGGCCCAGTAGGCAGACCGCTGGGGCGCGCGCTTGCCAGTGAACCCACGTCCGCCGCATCCTTCTGGAAAGGCAAGTCGGTCTCTTTGGCGACGTTCAGAATCATGGTGATGCCCAGGTCGCTCAACATCTCCGCATCACACGCATTGTGTTCGTCTCCCAAGAACAAGCCCGGCAGAATCTCGACTGGACCTGACGCGTACACACTTCTTGCATGTTGAAGCGTTGATCCCTTGCCGGAGAGGATGTGCTCCGATGGATCTTGCCACACTGAAGGTGGCTTTGCCGCTGAATCCCTTCTATCTCCGGCATGCGATGGTTTCTTTGGGGGGATTTGGTTTGACAGGGCCAGCGGCGCAGGTCTACGTGGAACAAGAGAATTGACGAGAGTCAGCGGATACACTCGACAACTCTGACAACCCTTGATTCTTCCCAAATCGCTAGGCTCACCGCCTGCCGAAGGGCATGCTCGGGCGCCTCCGAGGTGTGCCCCGCAGCGTCTCCCGAAGCAGTTCTTTAGCTTCGTCTTCCCTCCGCTCGTCTTGTGTGGGCCCTAAAGAACTCGTCTCGCCTGCTGAGTGGACAGGTGTCAGATACATAGGGGAGCTTGGTGCGCTTCTCGCCTCCGACGAGCCCATAACCGGAGGTGCAAGAGACAGCCGAGCAGGCCTTTTGCGTTCTTTGTTCGATGGGCTTGAAGTGGCTTCTTCACTACTAGAGCTGCTTGCCACAGCGAAGCCGAGCGACCTGTCGTGTGACGCACCTTTGGGTGAGAGCAGGGCTTTAAGCTCAGGAGGTACGGCGGTCTGCGGCGGTGCGTCCAAATGAGCGTTCGAGGCTTTCAAGGCAGAGGTTGCCAGGCTCAAGCCGCGCTTTGGACCTCTGTGGGCGGAGCCTATGGGCCGTCCTGGAGAAGACCCGACGCCCGAGCTACTGCGCGCGTCCGGGAATGACTGAGCTGCGCCAGCTAGCGTCAAGGGAGGCGCAGGTGTCTCCGGAGTGACTGGAGAAGGTGCTGAAGTATGGTGGATTGGTGCAGCTTGTTGTGCAGTCGACTGAGTATTACCGCCAGATGGCTGTCGAGAGAAAAGCGCAGAGGATCGTAAATTGGGGTCAGGTGTGGGCATTTTGTGCGATTGCGCTGTCATCAGGGGATGATGATGATGTGAGAGTGGCGTATGAGTCCTATTTGGAGGTCTGCCTTCGTATGCCTCATCAACTGTCACTCAGTCAGTCACCTCAAGGGCAGGCTGATCTTCGACTTCTCTCCTTGTGAGCCTGACTATAGCAAAGTGGAGCCCTCGGTCGCAAAATGGGTGTCTCGACTCGTTGCAAGTGGCAAAATGTAAGTGAGGAAAGTCGCCGATTACCGGAGGGAATGTGTGTGGGACAGAATGAAGCAGCAACAGTGCCCCTGTGCCGCGCGAACGGCTGCTGGTCTTGTGGCGACCCGAGGACACGAAAAATCGCTGGTCACTGTGACTGTTGCATGCTGAGCTGCGTACGTGGAAGATTCATTGGATGAAGAGGGTGCAGCATTCGTTGGACAAGGCGATATGGACGAAATGAAGAGCGTAGCGAATCTTTCCGTACAGCACTCAAGATGGCCGCGCGGGTTGAACTGGCCGGGCGGCTGGCCAGGTGCTCGACCTGGCCATCAGCAGCAGCAGCTACATATATATAGCTGCATGGATGGGCGGCGCGGGTGCGCCGGTGGTGCACGCGCGCGCGCGCGTTGAGCGATGGACCCGCCTCCGCGCCCGACGGTGCCAAAAGTTGACGCGCGGTTGTTGCGCCGATGCATGCGCCCAACGCCTCCGCGCTGCAGATTGATGAGAGTGCGATGAAGAAGAGTCTGCGCAACAAAGCCTCGGCAGCACTTTGCCACGAAATTCACGTGATTGTGATTGTAACCTTTGACACCCAAGTCAACCCCAAGAATTGATCTGTTTTCTCATGCAGAGCCTGTTCATCATCACTCTGGATGTGTGTGACAAGACCTTGACAAGAACACAAAGAGGTTATACTCCCTTCTCAAAGTGGTACATGGCAGTCATCAGGCGTTGCTGTGTGCATGCTGAAGCTCACTCCAAGATCCACAAAATCGATCACTGGAGCACAGACACCCCAGGGCAGGAAAGAGGCAGACCCTGTGCTTTGCACTGTGAGCTCAGTCTTACTAAGCTTTGGTGTGTGCAGAAATGCCCTGCTTTCCTTCTGGAGCGCACTGCTTTTGACAAGGCACCTGAGATCAAGAAAGGGACAGCAGATTACAGTGAGGAGAAGGCGGCTGAGGTTGAGCAAAGAGAGGTTCCACAGCAAGGTAGGTTGCTTGGCGGCAAGAAGAAGGCGATTGAAGTCCAGCAAGAGACGACCGGCCACTGCGAGAAATAGTGCTCCACAAAGCAGAAGCAGCGACTGATGCTTAGCAAGAGATGGCCTTCAACAATTCAGGCAGATTTCTGGATGACGTTCAGCTAATCACACCAACACTTCCAAATCCTTTCATTCTCTCTACTGTTACATCTGCTTCCAACATTCATCACAACAAACCTGCTGATCACGCCCACGCTGGGCCGGTGCTCCTACACCGAGTCTGCCAACCAACACCTTGAAATGCACACCATGCTCCCTAGTCCTCTCTTTACTTCACCGCAGTCATGCCAGTGAGTATTATAGTCACGAGGTTTTGTGGTCGGCGGAGACAACAGCCAGCCGCAGTGTGGAGTCAAGGTACACGAAGGCAAGCTCTTTGTCATCGTGACTGGACACCTTCAATGTGGAAGGGTCACAGGCGAGGACCTCTGTGCTCTTGTCCAAGCTTGGGTTATGCGCTATCGCTGGCGTTGCGGCTGTTGTGGTCTGGCTGGGCAAGGGCTCGTCGTGGGCTCGGCGTGGTAGCGCGGCACGTAGTTTGGCCTGCCAGTACTGGTGCAGGTCTCTTCCCAAACTGATGGGGGAACATTGTCGGCCCAATTATGTAGCAGGATGGCCCTTGGTGGTCTCACTCTCTTGATTGATGGTGACAAGCATCATAGATACTCCCGAGCCAACGTCAGATCTTCCTTAGCATGGGTAGCCCTCTCGGCCTGATTGAGACTCAAGCCGCCTAGCAATTTTGTTCAGGTCAGCACAAAGTCTGCCAAGGTTGTTGGATAATCCAATGTTGATCAGCAAGTTTGCTGACCCCCTCAACCCGTCTCATTCTCGCATTCTTCATCACCTTCGGTAATTCCTACTCTTATCATGCCTTTCTCTCGTTGTTCCTTACTGACCATGATGCTTCTCATATGTCTCGGATACTCTTACTCGGCCGCCACCTCAAATTCCACGTCTGCCTCGCTTCACTTCTTTAAGACTTCCCTCTTCAATCCCTCCCTCCCGTCTCCGGTCATTGCGTCGTGGGTTGCTTGCAGCTTCATTGGCAACCATGGTCCCATTGCACTGCAGGAAGACACCAAGGTGAGTACCAGCCAACCCCTCATCCAATGGACCTCTGCAACCTGCTGCCAACACAGTGGACTCTCTTTTCACATCAGGCTGGCATGTCCAGTGCTTTAGTGCTCCACACTGCTCCAGAGAAGGCAGCTGAGGATATGCCAGAGGCACCAACTCACAGTCAAAAGCAGATTTTCCACACGTCTCCCGAGAAGGCGGCTGAGGATACGCCAGAGGCACCAACTCACAGTCTGCAACTTCATTGGCTACCATGGTCCCATCGCACAGCAGGAGGTCACTGAGGTGAGTATCCATCGGTTCCTCATCTGATGCACCTCTGCAACCTGCTGCTGACCCACTGGACTCTCTTTTCACATCAGGCTGGCATGTCCAGTGCTTTGGTGCTCCACAACGCTCAGGAGAAGGCAGCTCAGGATGCGCCAGAGGCACCGGATCACAGTCCAGAGCACATCTTGTCCAGATCACAGCCCATCGTGAGTCCAAGGCTACTAGGGTCCAACAACTCTGCTGTGCTCTTTGCTGACACCAACCTTTCTTCATTCCCTTATCCACTGTCTACCCTCTCCTCATCTTGGCCCACGTCCTCTTCTGGTGCTTATCGCGCCCAATCGCTTCCACGTACGCGCCATCACTTGATCATCATCAGGCTGGCTACCTTGTCGCCATCTCATGCTGCCCTTAACGCCGTCGAGCCTGTGCTTTCTCTTCTCTGGACTCACGCTGACTATTGATCGGTGCCGGTGCTCCGAATGCGGCCGGCGCCACTTCTTTTGCTTTCAATCGACCACGCCTCTGCCGCATCCTGACATCGCCATCGACTGGCGTGTCGCGCCGAAGGTTCCCGCGCATGCCACATTGTGGACATGCTTCGCGTTTAGATGGGCGGACGTGAGCCACGTTCGTTGAGCCTCATGCATTTCACGTCAGGTACTCAACTGTTGTACCTCACTTCTCCAGGCTGAGCGGGCCCTCGCAAAGCATGTGGCTGCGTTGGCCAAGAGCGATCCGAAATACGCTGCTTTCCTGCGAACTCTCTTGCCGGTACGTGTAGGCCCTTGCCACTCAGACATAGTGCCAATCAGCGCTGACCATATTACGATTCACCGAAGCAGGGTACGGCATCCTTTTGGACTTTCTACTCCGTGAGTCGCAATGCTTCTTGCTTCCACGCTTGGACTCTGGCCACAATCCCTTACCATGCTTGCTTGTCGCGCAGATGATGTCCAAGCCGAAAGAGACAGGCGGCATTCGCAGCTTTGCAAAGCTTCTCCGTCGTGCTCTCAACGGAGCTATTGCTGCTCTCGGCCAGGGATACACCCGCATTTATCGCTCCCTGGGCAAATTGGAGCAACATTATAAGGTAAGCTTGATTCAACGATCTCAGGACTACCTCAACGTGCCAGTCGCTGACAAGTAGCCCCTGATCATGCAGGACGTGACCAAGATGATCCGCAAACTTCCGGACATTGCGTTTGCGATAGAAATGAGGAACATGGGTCAAGCTCTGGCCACAATGGCGGAGCAGCACAACAGCATGTTGGAAGCGTTCTCTGAGCGCTGTCAACGCTTGGCTTGCAGGGTTGAACTTGTGGCTCAGGAGCAGCTCGACCTCCATGAGCTTGCTTCTGCTCGTCAGAAGCTTCAGGACATTGTCGACAATGAAGGCAACAAAGACGTTCTCATCGCCGCTGCTCAATGTGTCAAGACAATTTGAAGTCACTATGAAGCAAATGTTGCAAGGCTTTACTTCACAGACCTCGTGGGACTTCTGCCTGCTCCGTCAACTCCCGATGTCGCGAGTGAAAAGAGCAAGGACAAGTCTGCTGCCGCCGTCGGCGGGCCTATCTTGGATGGAAGCGCGAGCCTGGCTGGCAATAGCGATGGTGAGCACGGCTGTGTTTCAGAGCGTGGGAGCTCCCGAGACTTACAACTCGTGCGCCGTTCTGCAGACTCGTCCGAACCTGCTTCGAAAGCGCCGCGCTTGAGTGCAATGCACCAAGATCGAGACTTGGGTCTTTTCCTGCTATCCTCGTAACTCGCAAGAGGATCCTGCTCGCCTAGCCTGGAGAGACCGTACAGAGATGTGTCCACATTTGCCCACTTTGCCCTTCTAGCCGTAGGAGGCTTACTACAGCTGTCATGGCTTCAGATCAGATCTTATTGCCGTATATATCTGGCGCCTCGCCGCTCTACTCAACACAATGTTACACCGCTTGACTGACCGGCTTTTGCATATGTGTTTGACGGGGATGATGGTCTTCTCTTCACAACCTGCAGGCCATACATACACAAGGCGCACTGGCGACACCGGCAGATCTCGAAAGCGGGCTCGGAACATAGAACCGACGCGAGTGACCTTCTAAGGCGAGACATGTTGAGTGCTCAAAAGTGGTTGAGTGGGCACCCACTGAAGGAACCCTAATACCGTGTTTTATGAGCTGTCAGCGTTTGGGTCCTTGCATATCCAGCAATCGCTGCACGTCGACTGTCAGCGGGATTCTTTAGTATATTTTTTGAGTTTTTGGGCTATGCCTCTACAAAGCGGCTTGGTACTCAGCAAACAGGTGCTGTGCAGAAAGCAGTTAGTCAGCAAACAGGTGCTGTGCAGAAAGCAGTTGATGCTTCTCATTGAGCCTGGAACGCCTGCACGAAGGCATTGGGCTTGTCATGAGGTACGCATGTTCTGGTGCATGAACGCGCAGCGACGCTGGATTGGGTGAGATGGTACTGTATCTAAAGCTCGAGCGGGACAGTCTGCCGTGAGATGAAGGCGGCAGAAGCCAAGGACCTTGCGTTCTTAGAGCTTCCATGTTCCCTCTTGGCAACCTCTTCCTCACAACAATCCCCCCACACTCACTGGGACCAGCTTCTCATCATTGCAGCTACTCCCTCAGCGTTCAGCCTATGCTCAGTCCCCTCTCTCTTCAGTCTCTACTTGTGGCAAAGATGTTGGTGAGTCATAGACTCGAGGCGTTCTGAACAGTGCGTTCCGAACAGTTGGAAATTGGACAGTCGCGATTTGGCGTTGAAGTCGAGGGGGAGCCTCCGTAAATTTTGCGTCAAAAATCATCAGATATCATAGCCTGGGGTGAGGTCCCTCACTTCCGCTCCGACTTCAGATTGTGACTGGTTTAGATGTTTGGGCTGTCTGCTGGATATTAGATGCTGGGCCGTGCAACATGGCAGAGTGAGTAGCTGGACCTCTTCAGCAGAGCTGGAGACCTCCACCTCATGCATATGGAGTCATCTCAATTAGCTGGACACCCCTCCAGAGCACATGACTCTCGAGGCGCAGTGCATCTCAGAGATCTTCATCAATTTTGCTGACCACCTCCTTGTTGCTTCTACCACTCTTGCCTTCTCAACCATTCACAAAATCAGTACACCCTTATTGCTCCTGCTTTCTGGTCGCTCTTGTCAGTTGCTGCCTCTTCATTGTCATTTGCAGATTATTGTCTTCTTGCTGCCTTTGTTGCCTCAAGCTTTAGATTTGGTATCGCAACTACGACGGCCTCACCTCTTCCCGCTGCTTAGCCTGGCTACCCCGGTGTGTTATCCTGGCTTTCTGAATCCCACCGGCTTATTGTCATGCGTATTTGGGCTCCCATCACCAATGCAAATTCCGCTCCTGCACTTGATGTTCAAAAGAACTACACTCTCCCTCCTGACAGGAGGGAACTCCCTCTTTAAGTTTTGTCGAAGAGGGGGACAGGCCTACGCCCCTAGCAGTGCTTCAGGCCTTCAATGCTGACCGTCCAGCAACAATGTACCTGCGTACAGTGCCTCGAGCTTTGGACTGGAAGTCCGAGTAGGGCACTTTTAGCGCAGCTCCAAGAGGTACATGCGCAAGTACAACTGGTGAAGTACCATATGCAGCTGCGTGGTATCTTCCACTCCACCTTGATGTGAGTTGGTGCCCCATTGCTTTTGGTGTTGATTGGCAAGTGTCTTCGGACCATCGCTAAGCTCCCTCAATGCGCTATGCAAAGAGCCTTTGCTGCACTGGGACAGAATTATGCGCAAGCGCATTGCTCCGCAAGGCGTACGAGGTGAGCTCAATTCACTGATACTGAACCCCAAACCACGTAGGATGTCACCAAAATGATCCAGGACTGGCCGGACATGACTTTCATGCTCAAAATGGTCAAGATGGGCAAAGCTCCCAGCACAACAGCAGAGCAGCACCGCACTACAGCCAAAGCGTTCTCCAAGCACTGTCAACATCTTGCTTGCTGCATGGAGCTTGTGGCACAGGAGCAAGTTGACCTGGCTGAGCTTGCTATGGCTTGGCAGCACCTGCAGGCCCTCGTCTGCAACAAAGCAGACAAGGATGTAATCATCACTGCTATCAAGCACGTGAAGACAATGCGCAGCCATTACAAGACAAATGTCACCAACTTGTACGTTGTCAATGTCTCGGCACCTTCACCTGTCCGCGCGGATACAAAGGGTTTGATAGAAGACGCAAAGGATGAGCCCACTCCCTTCTCCCAGGTGCCTGTTGCGAGCGAAGGCTCGAGCCCACGTAGTGATGGCGATGGTGAGTACCAAGGTGACTTTGCTCCTTGGGCCACCATAGGCTGACCCTTGTATGCCGTGTTGCATACTTGTCCAACTTGTCTAAGCGTGCTCTCAAGTGCAGCACTAAAGCCCGGTCTTACTCGTTGCACGGCACATTGGGCGCCTCGACATTCTATCGTCCTACTGACGAGCAGAGCTTGAAAGTAATCTCGTTCTCAAAGTTGTCCTCAGTCCTTCCGAAGCATTGCCAAGGAAGGTGAGCATGCGTGATTCAGCGCATTGTCCTTCTCGCCCAGCAGCACAATGCTGAAAGATCTTTCACCTCAGCTTTCTTTGCCTGGAGCTACTAGGATCCTTTCAACACGCATTTGCCACCCCAACTTGATGGCAGACATCGTTGCTAACCCCAATGGGTCCATTCATTATGATCTCAATCAGCCAGGCCAAAAGTGCTGACCTAGGAAGCTTCCAAAGCTGAGCTTTGCCATGTCTTTATTCTACAAATGTCTTCAAGCCTCACCTCTGTCTACGCTGCAGCCAGAATTCCTCCATCAGACTACAATACAGTCACGAGTAACTGCTGCGGCGAGAAGCAGTGATGGAGGATGCCTTCAAAGGTCTGGCAACGTGCTGAGCCAGGACTTAAGCACCAGAGAAAGTGGACCTGCTTGGGGCCATGCTGGTCTTTGGCCTTGCGTTTTGTCTGACCATCACCTTGTGGCTGTTACTGCTTCCTTGGGCAAATTGATTGATCTCCTTATCTCTCTGGTGAGGCATGTCATTAAGCTGCACTGGGCTGCAGTGTTGAAGCAACTGGATCCTTTTGCTGGGAAACATGCATCTGCCGGACAGCAGCAGGCCAATTGGCAGACAGTTGCTGGACAGGTTTGTGGGCAAGCAGCCACGACCTTGACTGTCATCCTGCAAGGAGTGCTGATGGCCTCACCTTGCTCACCCTCCCCACCAAAGCAAAATATCTGACATGCATCCTCAGAAAGTCCAGACAACTCAATGCAAGACATGACACTCCTGGGACCTGTTCTCCAAAGCCAGCTCTGAGTCCCTTTCTCCAAATTTTTGCCATCATCATAGCCTCACCCCACAAGCTCATTTCTCTTCTCTACATCCTTGTGCGCTTTCATAAGCTTCAAGCACCCTGTCTGACTCTTCAATTGTTTTGGAAAGCCGATCGCTCCGGCCAAGCGCACCACCCACATCAAGAAAGTCAGAAGTATGCCAACTTTGTCTCTCCCCGTGGCTTGTCAGATTTAAGTCCCACCTCTGAAACCAAAGCAACAGACAGCCAGGACAGGCAAATTTGTGCGCTCTAGAATCTTGATCGCTTGAGCTTTTGGAGGGCACAGCAACGGGCTTCCAAAGCGCCATGAGATGATCTTCAAATGGCAAAGAGACCTGCGTAAGCCTGCTGAAGAATGTCTAACGGCTCTAACAGCATTGCGCCCTCCAACACATCCTCTAGTCTGACAGCGCCATCGGACAATGCTGTGTGGCTAAGGACCAGCTCTGCCAGGCTCACTCGCTGCTCAAGTGCTTTTGGAAGACAAATTTGGTGCAGTCTTCCTCTCCTTGATGCTAGGACATTGTCAAGCTGGGTGGGCGTGGCAGCTGTGCATTGTTTGCTCAAAGGTGTGGCCGGTCTAGATCAGAGGCCTCTGCTTAGATCAGAGGCCTCTGCACCTTGGCCCCTTCCTCCTCATCCTAATTGCTCAGCTGCTAGCAATGGCACAAATGTGACTCCTCTGTCCCATATCCAGAAAAGATTACTGGCTGGTGTGCGCCGCTGGCTGCATTTGTGGCTGCCAAATGGTGCGGGCCCTCAGTGCACATGACCGCATGGCCATGTCTGGAGAGAGTGTTGCCAATTGTCAATTGCCTGTCCACTGCTGTTCAAAAGTGTATAACATGAATACTTCTTGCAAGCTTGTGTTTAGACATCATGCAGGATTGACAGACAACCTTCTGGAAGCAGCTGTCTGGTGAAGAATGCTTGTTTGCTTGATATTGGGTCACATTCTTGCGGATACAAAGCTCAGCGACATCATTGAGAACCCGTCTGTGCCCTTGGACAATCTGTCTGCACGTATCTGTGCTCCCAATACCCAGCCCAAAAGTGGTATGGTGTATGCACACCAGCATGGGGTTGCTGCAAGGTAGCTATGCACACCTATTGGTCCCCTCGCTCTCTCAAAAAGATGGTATAGCCCTTCTCCTCCAGCAGATTGTTGTACAATTCTTGCAAATCTTAGGTCAGGTCCAACAGCGTCACAGACAAAGGGAAGGACAGCAATCATCGCTAGAACACCAGAAAAAGTCCAAGGGCGGTCTACAAGTCACAGGAAGCAGAAGCTGATAGAGACAACGTCAACGCCGCAATGGCATTCTTTGCTGACGCAGAGGCATCATTCCGTGCACTCCACGCACTTGTGACCCTGATCGTCTTGAAGGCTCTATCCAGGCCCCTTGCTTTGACCTTTCCAACACTATGGCCTCTCACCATACTATGTCTGACCTCTATAATTTTGGGCCGCTTCATACTGCGATCACCTAGCGCTGGACCAATGCTACAGCTGTTAGCCAGGAACCCCCCCCCCCCCTCTCTATATTGCAGGTCGTGGAGCAGCTTGGTTGCAGTGCCACACCACAGCCAGCGCACTGTCCAGCGGGCAGAGACGCCCTATCTGCTCTGGTGCACCCCCATCTTCAGAAGATGTGTCATCACAATCACCCTCACTAGTCAAGTACTGGCCATCCAACATCAATCATACCCTGCGCCATTATAGCGCAACCTGTAGCACAGAGTCTTATCTGTGCTGGTGAAGACTCACAAAACCCCAATGTCATTGAAAAGCGTTCTACCCAGAGAGCGCACCACTGTATAAGCTTGCTCAACAGACTGCAATGAGCACTTGATCACGCGCCCTTATTTCCTTTCTCCTGACTGTTGTGCTTCGACAGTCGGCAGATGATCCCCAGATCCAGAGAGCTGTCGTCCTGTTACCGCAACACGTGCCAAATATTGAGGTACAGTGACTTCAATTCTGACTGTACCTATTGCCAGCATGACCCCACGTGGTCGCCAGGCGGATCACCTACAGCTGGGGTCTAGGGAGAGTACAGGCTCCTGCCTTGCGATGATCATGGTCGCAGGGGAACCGCCTGTCATTGCAGACCTAGCCACCTTGGCTCCGGCTTATCCCTCTCCTGTGCGCTGAAGCGACAACACCGCGAATGAAAGGAGGCAGCAAGGCGGATTGCATTGCGACTTACGTCACGATTCCCAGGACATCCTTTGCATACGCTCTGAACGGACAGGTGACAGCAGCATTCTGGCGTTGACGTCCTTGGCGGAGTGGGCGCCGACCGGAGGTCGCGGCCATGGTTGCGCTGATCATTATCTCTTAGATGGTCCAACGCGCGAAAGTCCTTCCTCCGTATCATCTTGGAGGCTCTGGCTCGTCTCGGCGCTTGCGTCTTGTTGGGCACGCCTTGAGCGGACAACATCGGCAAGCTGCTGCGGGTTGTACTTCGCAAAACGCATATATCCTTCTAGAACACCAATATGACAAGTGCCCTGTGACAAACAAGAGAGGTTGAATGTCTTGAGGCGAGCGTTTGTGTACATCCTCCATGCTCTGGACAGTGTCTCCTCACCTTCAGACACTCAAAGACGATCCAGCAGTCAGGATTGTTGAGGTCCACTTTGTGGCCTCGCGTGCGAGGGATTTGTGCCGCCAAGGTTTCGATGACTTCGTCTCGCTGCAGGGTCGTGTGATTCCGAATCCGAGTATCGATCTTGAACTACGAGCCAGGGGCGGGCGTAGGGAGTCAGGCACGTAGTGCGGGGGCAAAGTTCAGTCGCCCAAAGCTCACAGTCTTCGCTGCATCTGCCTCTTCCGGAAGCCATCTCGGTAGGACATGCTTAGCCAGTGCTGCGATGTTCAAAGCGCTGGCATGGGCACTAGCAGCGACCGGCGTGATCCTTTGCACAAAGCGGCACCGCGCGTGACCAGTGTCCTCCACATTTTTTAGCAGAGCAAAACTCAGTGCAAAGGGGCACAACGGGGCGGCCACAGAGAGGAAGCGTACTGATGAGTCGTGAACACGGACATCAGCGAATCATCTTCCCTGTGGCGCTGTCCGAGTCTAGCTGCGTGGTACTCACGACATTCGGCGCCGGTATCGACAACGCGAAAAAATGCGTTGCCCTTTGCGCCTTGCTCACCAGTGACTCCTGCCTTCTGATGTTTGCTTCCACACCGACCGGACTGCTCTTCCTCAAGCGCTGCCAGCTCTCGCGCAAATCGTGTTTCCACATCGTCGCTTTTCGCTGCTTCGACCCGCTTGCGTTCTTCCTGACCACTTGGTGCGGCTGTCGACCCAGTTTTTGAAGGAGGTAGGGCCACCTCTTCTCGCTCGCCCTTGCTCGCGGCCTGATCCACGATCGCTCGATCATCGACGTTGACTGCATGCTGCGGCCACCAACCCGGCTCCACTGATGCGCCAGGGTAGTCGCGCGCAACAATCTGCGGTTGCAAGGGAGGGACCAATTGCCTTTGTGTCAGCTTGGAGCGCGTGTCAGCCGAAGTCAAGTGAGGCAGTCCTCCACTCGCCTCTTCGAGTAGCTGCACGAGCTCGTCTGCGGCGCGCTTCTCCTTGCCTCGAATGGTGCTGACATAGATGCCAGGTCCTGCTATTCTGCGCACGTAGCCAGCAGTCTTGGGTCGCGGCAGGATCTTCTCGTCGCCGACCACAGCTCCATCCGACCGTCTTCTCTTGCTAGGACGAGCACCGCTACTGGTTCTGCTCGCGTCGGGCAGTCCATGCTCGCGCTTGGCCATGTTCTTTATTTGGGGCAGGACACCCCGCAAGTCGGCGGTAAGTGACGAGTGCGATGCCCGGGCTTCTAAGTGAGGGAGTAATTAAGAATGATGTTTTGGAAGAGCAACAAACACGACGTCTTCGCATCACAAGCAACACCTCGCACGCACTCCCGCCGCGCGTCTTGGCGCGCCACGCGATGCCTTATAGCCGCACGTGGTGATTTAGCGCGTGGCGCGCGCGCACACACGCACACACACACAGCACATTTCGAGGGTATCAGAAGCGCCTCTCTGGTGGCATGCGTAGTGGATACATTCAAGAAATGGGTGACAAGGTGAATTCAGACATTAAGGCTACAAGAGGTGGTGGCGGCGTTACCCAGGGCCGCGCTTGTATCCAAAGATTAACGACCAAAACGAGCCAAAGGATGAAGCAATGCTCCAAATTAGGCTTGACACCCGTCCTTTGGACTCGATTGTTCTTGACTGAGATCCACGTGATTCGTCAAAAGGGTCAGAATTTGCGCTGTGGAGGGAGCTTCCGGCTTCTGTCCGCGTAGATGATTTGGTGTCATCACGTAGGCCGAATTGCTTGTCAGCGAAATTTGCCCCAGAAGGTGCGCCCGTAGCGTCGTATTGCTTCAAAAAGTAGTCGTTTCGATGAGTTGGACTGGAGTCGTCGCGGAAACCGGACTGCCAAAGAGGGAGGTTTGCTTCTAGAGGTGCGCTCGTGTCTACGTGAAGCAGAACCTCATTGATAAGATCGAGCAAAGTGTCGTGCCTGGTCTCCATGTGTCCGAAGCCCGCGAGAACGACGCAGAGAATTGCAGTCATGAAGCCAAGGGTGAAGAACGTCCAGAAGCCCGACTTCCGAGATCCCGTACCGTGCCCAGGCAAGGCACCTGGTTTGACTTCCGCAGCGGCTGCGAACGATGCAGCCCCCTGAGCTGGACTCCAGAGAAAGGGCTCTGGAGATGGCTTCAAAAAGCCTTCTTGAAGAGGCGCCACACGGTTGGGGACGTCATTTCCAGCGGGTATGACAGGCTTGTCCTTTATGAGAGTAATCTTTCTTGAGCTCATGGGGCCAAGCATAAAGGCGTGGAAGGTAGGGGAGCTAGATGGATTTGAGACCTGGTACAGATCGCTGCTACTACAGCGATACGGTGCACCTGTGCACCATGAAACCCTCTTCAGCAACGCGTTTGACATCTCGAAAGCAAACAGAACGACTCACCTGCTGGCAATGCCACTACTGCCGCGAGCTGTACCGTAGTCGCGGCGATGGTAGGGAGCACCAGCTCCTGAGCAGCAGAAGTCTCGTACACGATAGATGCTCGCAACGGCGATGAGCTCTGGGATTCGTCAGGCCGAGCGTATAAGTACGATGAAAGCTGCAACTCGGTGAGAGCAGACCTGCCTCCTGCAGCCGCGGTTGCGGCTACGCGAAGCGGCAACCCTGCGATGCTGGCGTGGAGAATTTGGGCCTCTGGAGGCAAGTAGCAGAGCAATGCTGGCGTCAAGCTGCCGGCGGTAGCGGAGTCTGCGTTTTCATCGTCATCTGTCGGCAGGCTCGTGGGCCAGGTGACATTCAAGCGAACCACCATGCGGCCCCACTCTGGATCAGGAACGGCTATCATGGCTGACTCATTGGCGCTGGCCTGGGGCTCCTTCCCTGGCGAGTACGTAGGCCAGAATTCGACCTTAGCCTCTTCGACGATGGCGCCGATGGCATCCACGTCAGTGCTTTGTTGAAACCTCCTCTGGCTACTCTTGCGAGTCATCGACAAGATAGTCCCGGTGGACACTGCCGAATCAGTCGAAAGGTCCGCAAGCGGCGCGTGAACCTCGGCGCCGCGCAATGATGCGGGCTCGAGGGGACCTTGTTTTGAAGCGTCGAGCGAAATATTTTCACCGCTGCGTACCTGATTTTCGTCCACGATATCGTCTGGAAAAGTTTTGGTCTCGATCGCAAGGGTCCCGTGCTCCACATCCCATCCGCATCCAAGTGCGGGGAGGATCTGTGGCGACGTCGAGCTCACCTCCATGCTGAAGAGATCCGTGACCAATGGGTCCGCAAGGAGGCTGCTAGGCGAGCTCTTCACTCCCTTGGCAGGGCATCGCAGAAGTGTCAAATTGGGAGCATCCTTCACGTTGGCCAAAGTGACAGACGAGGAGTGTGTTTCGGCGCACTTGGTTCGGAACACTGGAATCGAGAGAGCTCGAGGACTGGCGGGTTCTAGCGCGGATTCATTGTCCTTCCAAAGATCAGGGCTCGCGAAGGTCGATACTATGAGAATGCCGTGGACCGAGATGGACAAGGGCGTAGATGCCGAAGCGTCGCGTCCACGGATGTTATTCACGTCAAAGACCAGCACCAAGCCGGTCTGTTCCCCATCTCCAGCGGTCGCGCAGGCTTGAATATCTTGCTGATGTTGTCGCACTCCGATGCTAAGTCTGCGTCCTGGTCTTGATAAACCCCCTTCTGAACGGGGCTGTTCGTCAATGCTAAAATCCATGTCGCTCTGCGTGATACCAGACGGTATTTGCATGTCCATCAACATACTCTCATCAGTCCCACCCGAACCTCCAAAAGGGTTGCTCGACATCGCCGCTTTGAGACTTCCATCGCTAGACTCGACCGAATGCAAACTCGACCTAGACGAGGACTTGGCCATCTGGCCGTCAGGGCTGGACTCGGAGCCGATCCGCGCCCACCTGAGCAGGCCTGCCGAACCAAGGACGTCGACTTCGTGCCATCTTGCTGCTTGACCAAACACGTCCGGTCTCAGCTCGATGGCGGCCTTGGAGTCAAGACCAACAAAATGTGGATCTACTAACTCTGCCTGAAAGGCGATTGCAATAGCTGCTTCGCCTTGCTGGAGATCGTCTGGTGGCTCCGCCACTGCTGACACGCGCAAGGTCGAAGTCATCTTCTCCGTACCGAGACATCTGAGCCCCTCGGACGTTGCAGTATCAGCCATGCCCGCCTGAAGCGCAGTGGGGCTGAGCAAAGGTGACTTAGTTGGCCCCTCCCACCTGATGATCACATCAGCTGTCGATGGAAACGGCCCCTGAATGACCGCTGTCCCATCCTCTCCGTGACCGCCAACGCCAGCCGATGTGGGCCTGGACTTGCTTGGCCTCATTGTGCCCGGCTGAACGTCTGCGATTATTCCATCGCTGCCGAAGATCTCGGGATTCAGGTCGAAACGCAATTTGTTGTTGAGGCATCGGGGCATCGGAAGCCTGACCTGAGGATGCAGTCATTTGGTTACTCGGTGTGCCAGTCGGAAGATGTCAACGATATTTACTCACGACGAAAGGTGACTGTGGTGGCTGCGCAGTGAATGGCACGCGGAGGTGTAGTATAACGAGATATCCTTGCTTGACGGGCTCTTTCTTTGCTGTTTCATCTCCTGTCGGCGCGCTTGCCGTTGCAGCGGCATTTAGGCAGATGTGATAATTGGCGGTGGTGACCTTCAAGGACTGACTCTGAGCATCTGGGCCCTCATCATCGACCCCGCCAGCTCCTAGCTTCATGTTGAGTCTGCTTGCGGCAATGGCAGCCGTGCTACTGAGCATAGGAGCTGCGCCAGAAGAAGTCAACTTGTCGATCGAGAATTGCAGGAGTGTCACATCCTTGTCTGGAAAAAGGGGGTAGGACCTGGGCTTGGCCAGCTCTGGCATTTCGATCTGTCATTGTGTGACCATCAGTGTGTGACCAAAAAAGTGTAAGCTTGGCTACCAGCTCATTGTCGAGACGTGCTGCTGGAGATGACTCACATGCATGTACAGCGTGTACCGAGCCCCCTCTTTCTCCGCCTTTCCATGGATGGCGAGCTTCTTACAAACCTTTGCCAGCCTTGTCCGAGATTCTGCATTAGTAACATCTGTCAAGCTATGCTGCCCTCTCTCGGTGCTTGCCGTGGTAGTAGCTACGGACTCTGAAGACATGGTACGCGACATGGAGCCGAAAGAAGATCGTCTTGGAGTGTCGCTCTCGGTGGGCGAGGCGACCTTGCGGTATGCTGAGGGAGGTGGTCTGACCATTGTGTAGAGCTGCCCGCGTAACAGTGAATGAGGATCGAGTGTTGCGCCTTCGCGACAGTAGACTACGACTCTCTCTGCTTTTTACCAGCGCCAGCAGATCGCAGGACGGGACTCAATTGGACCCGCAAAGGAAGATGCCAGCGGGAGAGGAGAAAGCTATGCGAGGATCTCGAGATCTCGAGAAGTCAGAGCAATCCATCCGGGGAGCGAACAGACGTCATGCGATGACGTGCATGGAAGAATGAGGTCGATTTCTCGGCCTGATGGCGGCCATGATATCGCGATGGAGCGTGCTTGCCGTGGCGGGTGACTATGCTCTGATTCATCCAACACACCTCTCGATCATCAATCAATCACACAACACGAGATCAAGAAATCACGAATCACGAATCACGAATACGCGTCCGCCGCGTCGGCGCGGGGATTGGTATGCGCCGCGTGCCCCGCAATTTGATCAGCAGGTTGTCTTGAGTCGAGGCATACAGGGAGGCACGTGACTGATGTCGGCAATCTATATCTACGTATGCGTGATGTTTGAAGCGCTTAACGCTGCACGTCGACAGTTTCGCCGGCTCAAGGTCCATGCAGGCAGCATCCGGCAAGGCTTTCGTGACAAGAAGCACTCATTCTTGATCGTGGTAGCGTCTTCTCCTTCATGGCCCCCTGCGTGCACACATCACCTCACGCTCTCAAGCAGCAGAATTGAGCGCTAGCCATTCAGCCCAGGTGGCCTCACCAATCCCACGCAACGCCTACTTTTTCCCCAGTCACGCCCACCGAGCTAGCGCCTTCTGAAGTCATACAGACATGGCTTCTCAGTCAGTAGACCCGGTTCCCTTGGTGCCAGCATTAGCAAACATCTACAGCCCCGAGCGCGTCGTACCGGAAGGTCAAAGATGGGATGCGCTCACGTCCAAATTCGGCGAAGCATTCGGTCACAAGCCGACCTACGTTGCTAGAGCACCTGGCCGGGTCAATATCATCGGAGAGTGAGTGCGCAAGGGGAAGAGCAGCCTCAAAGGCTCAATTGCTCATTTTGCTCCTCTCTCAGGCACATTGACCACATGGGCTTTGGCGTGCTACCGGCCGCGCTGGAGATGGACATCCTCATGGCTTTCCGCGTCTCTCCAGCCACTTCGTCCACGGACAAGCTCTCCTTTCACTTGCGCAACACTACGCCACGCTTTGAGGCTACTAGCTTCGAAAGCGACGTAAAAGATCCCACAGAGGTGCAACTGCAGCACGAAGGTGCCTCGAGATGGGCGAACTATTTCAAGGTGGCCTTCAAGGTAAGCCACACTGCAGCACTGTGCTGTATGTATGCGCCATTGGTGGTAACTGACAAACGTCCCGCGTCCCAGGGACTGCATCCTCACCTTCCTCCCGCTGTCCTCAGCGCAGCTTCTCGACCAGCTCGCGTAGAGGTCTTAGTAGACGGTACTATTCCTCCCGAATCTAGTCTGAGCTCCTCCGCTGCCATGACAGTTTGCAGCTCCATCGTCATCCTAGAGGCGTTCAAGGCAAGAGAAATCATTTCTAGGCGTGAAATGGCAGAAGTGGCCATTGAGAGTGGTGAGCTTGCCGAGCTGAGGAAGATGGGCCTTGAGGACCGGAGTGCCATGTTGCTTACCCTGGCTGCCTTCTCCCACAGAACGACTTGTGGGGGTCGCTTCTGGAGGGTGAGTACTCAGCATACAGCCTCTGCACTGATTCTTGTCCTCACTCGATCAAAACCCGCTTCACAACTGTAGCATGGACCAGTCAGCATCTATCTTCGGCACCCCTGGCAGCGCGCTTCACATCACATTCCATCCGTCCCTAGCAGTGCAAGCTATCGAGCTTCCAAAGTCGGACCCTCCTCATACTTTCGTCGTGGCGAATACCTTGATAGTCAGCGACAAGAAGGTCTCTGGGCCTGTGCAGTACAATCTGCGCGTTGGGGAGTTACGAATGGCAGCTCGAGCTTTGAGTGCTGCTCTCGGCTTGCCCAAGGACGGAAGCACCCAGACGCTTCGCAAGCTGCTGGCCGTGTACTTTGAGCGCAATGCCTTACCTGGCCAGGGGGAGAACAAGCTTGTGGACGAGGTCAAGAACAGATTTGGAGAAGAGGCAGCACAGATTGCATTTCTGGGTGCCAAGGCGGACGAAATCCTCCCCAAGGAGCCCCTAACGAGGGGCCAGGTGGAACAATTGACCGGCTACGCAGGCGCTGCGTTCGACAAGGAGTTCTTGAGCGAGTTTCCGAGTGAGCACAGCGAAAGGCATGACTATCCCTCTCAAAAGTGGCAAGGCTGAGCTTTTTTTCTGTTTTGCAGTCCGAGCGGACACCTTCAAGCTCCACGCCCGCACGAGGCACGTCTTTGCAGAGTCGCTTCGCGTTCTGCAATTCAAGGCAGCATGCGTTGCCAGCCCTACGGCATCTACATACGAAGAGTTGGGCAAGCTGATGGATCAGAGCCAAGAGTCTTTGATGTCAGACTACGAGAACGGATGTCCGGAGATCTTGGACGTTGTGCGCATAGCAAGAGCGAACGGATCGCTGGGTAGTCGTGCCACCGGTGAGTCCTTTGGCTCACATGGCTGGCTCCAACTGCAAGCTGACCTGCCACACGTGTGATGGCACTCAGGTGCTGGCTGGGGAGGCTCGACGGTACATCTGGTGCGCCAGGACAAGGTGAACGATGTGCTCTCTGCTCTACGTGAAGACTTCTACGCTCAAAGATTTCCAGAGCTGGGCACGACCCAGGTGAATCAGAGTCTGCTCGTTAGTCAGCCGGCAGGAGGAGCATGTGTATACGCCGTGGAAGCCTAGCGCGGCTCTATGCAATCACACCAACGCCTTCATACCGGCGGCATTCATTCAAGACTCGCGATTTGGAGAGAGTGAGAAGGAATGTATTGGAATGGTTGTAGTACAACATTTAGACGCGAGCGAAACGAGGCCGGCTCTATGTGGGTATCGTGTTCAGAACAAGCGCAGCTTGGACAGAGGGCGGTCGCTTATCGCCAACAATGCTGGGTCAAGGGAACGTGAAGAGCAACGTCCAGGCTGCTTGATGGAGGGCAAGAGGACCAAGTTTGGATTTGAATGGGTCGAGGTGACCTTATCTTGGGATGGATTGCATCTCTAAATGATGACAGGCGTGGCGATGACGTGCATGGGCTCAATCACACCCTGTTCGTCGTGATCGACATGCTGAACACGAATCGTTCGCCTATTACCGGTGGGAAATAGAGCGTTGCCTTCACCGCTACTTTGTGAGAAAGCACCGTAGGCGAAGCACTTGGCGTCGAGAGTGTTTGCATCACCGGTGGCCGATGGGCAGTCGAAGAAACCGCCGGAGCCTGGTCCGTAGACGCTGACCAACGGGTCCGTCCGAAGTATGGGCTCATCCGCGATCAGCCAATGGTGGGAAACGGTGGGATCCAACGAGCCATCTTGATACATTAAACGCGTCTGATAGTCGGCCGCGCGGAAATCGCCAGTGCTGAACGCAAGGTTGACGGTCGTGCTTCCGTTCTTGTTCGGCAGCAAGACCGTAGCGGGCGCTTCGCAGTTGAAGATGGAGAGCGGACCACCGCCTTGACCGACATAGGAGACGATGGGCTTTGGCTTCTTCGCGAGTGTGTTGGGTGAGCTCATCTCAGCGATCAGGATGGCAGCGTGGTCGGAGTAAAGCAGGTACCGCTTGCCATTCGGATGGGTGAAAACGTGCGAGTCAAAGCCTTCTGCTGGTTGGCCCCGGTACGTGATGACTCCATGGCTGGTCCAGGTACCCAGGGGATCGTCGGTATCGCTAGTGAGAGCCCTCAACTTGTCGTCTTTGGTTGACGAGACGGTGTAGATGAGCTGGCTGCCCTGCCACACTGCCACGTCCGGTGCTTCGGTACCAATCATTCCATACGTGTGTATAGCCTGAGGTGGTGCTCGGTTTGCTTTGTTCAAATCCGCGCTCATGCGCATCAAAGCAGTGTTCTTGAAGTCAGAATCGGGAAAGAAGTAGGATACGGTGCCATTTGGATTCTTCAGTGCGATAGGACTCGGATCTTGACCCATGCCGAGAGAGTTTATGGTACCCTTAGGTGCGGTCGCAGCGCGCAGATTAGCTGGTGTGTCGGTAATGCGCGGATCGGCAGCTGACGCGGTGCTTGTGGAGGTGCCGTAGGAGCTGCTTGCTTGCTTGTACAGCGAAGTGTGCTGGGATTTTGATTTGCGGCTCTTGCGTTTGGGAGCCATTTGGCCAAGCACCAATTTGGGCTTACCTGGCGGTGTGACTACTCGATCGAGGCCATCGGTGATCTTGTGGATGACTTCGCCATTCACCTGTCTGGTCGAATGAGAGCCTGAGGCATGCTTGATGCTCGCCGCGTCGATGCCGAGAGCCAGCAGGCCAATGGTGAGACCCAAGATGGCGTGAGTCCGCATTTCAGAGTAGCGGTCTGAATGAAAAGAAGGCCAGACGGGTAGTGACGGTGGAAGCGATTGAGCGAAAGGGGATCCTTTGCAAGGAGCAGAGAGTGATACAGTGATGGAAGAAACTTCCAGCCGAGTTGGACCAAGAGGGCGATGCGATTCTTATGGGAAAGTCGGACAAAAGGAAAGAGCAATGCATCGGATGTCACCACGGCGGAGATGAGTGTAGGAGGTGATGGAGGAGCTATGGCGGGTCTGTCGGTAGGGACGGTGAGTGTTAGCGCAAGGCTAAGTTGCGACAAAAGGAATGAAAGTGAGTGAAAAGGATGGATGACATTCCGATGCTCACGCCCGAGCACCACTACCACGTTGGGAAGGGCACGGTTACGAGAATGCTTTGGAGTTATGAGTAGACGATAATGAGCAAAGGGCCAACTTGACCCTGGAAATTTCGAGAGATGTGCGTGCTTGGAACTTGACGATGCGACCATGCAGTCTCTCATCGAACCCTTTTTCGACCTCAGGTAAGCATCATGCCGCGCGCTGTACTCCAACAGAGCTGCCCCGATCAAGGGGTGACCCATCACACATCCCACCATCCCCCCACGACCATTGACCTATGCGACCGACCATGTTTGATGCCTTGCTTAGCGCCGCTCTGACCGCATTAGCCCACCTCGCGAGGAACACGATACTTTGACGCACAGCAGAAGGAGCTGCTTGAGGAGGGGCAGGGCCACGATGCTGACTAGAAGGGTCATTCGCGAGTCATTGAGGGTCGCAGGGGCGATGTGCCTCCTAGCTGTCTCCTGTGCCCGCTACTTGGTCCATGATTCATTCGTACTTGCAGCAGCCGCACGACTCTGCTGAATCATGGTGGGCGAGCGCATCCCAGAAGCGTGAGTGGCAGGGCAGTCAGCAGCAGTCAGTCCGCGGAATGTCGAGCTGTGAAAACGAGCGATGTTTGCGCTAAAAGCAAGAACAGAAAAGCGGTTTGTTCCATTGTGATTCGCTTCAAGGCGCGGCACAGATCACGTACGCGCTAGCGCCGCGCGGTTTCTATAAAAGATCACCAGCAGCAGCAGCAGCTGCAGCATGCACACAACATGTCCAGGAGCACAGGGCGGGGCAGCAAGACATGCCGCCCCCGCCACGGATCAGCCTGTCAGCCTCATCAGCTGTTGCATACCGGTACATATGCAGGCTGCATTTGGTGGCAGCTCGGACGTGCGCATGTGCGCCTGCAGGCTATGCACATGAGGTGCTGTGGGTGCGGTGCAGTGGGTCGGATGCTCTCCTGCCCGTGCCCGCGCGAACTGATTTCGGAGCACAAAAGAAGCAAGTCGTTCGCTTAATATGATTCATTTGAATGAAGGGGAAGGGGCGCCACGAGACAAAAGCATGGCTGATGGCTGCAGCGTGGGCGCTCCCGCATCAGCGTAACGGTACGGTATACGCGTGCGACGACGCGCGAGAGGTCCGCCTTGCTGCTGATGTTATGTCGCCATGCAGCATGATCGAGGCACGTCATCCGATCAGTCCGTCGCGTCGCGATGACAGGTCTCGGTTGTCGGTTCAAGCCACGGTTGAGGGAGTCAATGTTAGGCGTCTTTCTGTGAGCTTTGAAGCCACTCGACTCGTACAGGACGTTCGACGTGCGACGTACAAAGCAGCCACAAGCACGGCACGATCTGTGCAGGAATGTTGGCCGTAAATAGAGCACGGCAGAATCATCACGCATCCTGCTGGGCGCGCGCATGTCGTACGTTCTCGGATGGCTGATGGATGCATGTTGGCTTGGAAGCCGATGGACAAAATTAAATCAATTTCGGCTGCGAAAAGTCCGAGTTCTATATTCACTTATTCATGAATCTTATGTCCTCATTCATTAATGTATTCATTGGAAAGCATTCAAGATTCACCGCGCACGTTCTCCTCCAGCGAATTCATCTGAACTTTCGCAGGATTTGTCACTGCAGCATGCGAGATTGAGAGCACCCCCCGTTACCTTTATAGCATCATTCAACCAAACTTGACTCTGGACCCCTTCATGCCATGGCTGCGACTGCTCCAATTCGATGTGAGGCTGACTCTGACTTCAATCCACGTTGGTCGTCAAGCCAGTCACCGAGTGTTGAGCTGAGCACTATCGAACCAAGACCAAGGCGCAACCCGGCGGGTGACTGATTTCAAGATTGTGCGACCATGCAACAAGCGAGGTGCGATAAGACCGACAGAACGGACGTGGTCCCCTGACGATGTTGCCTCGTACCTGTGCACCACGACGAGTCACCTCTGTGACTGCTCGCATCCATACACAAGTCGCCGTAATTAAGTCAATCGTGCTTGCAGCCAGCGCGCAACCAAATCCCGACCCCGACTGCAACTCGCCATTTCTAATAAGGAATCGAAATTTCACTGCACGACTGCGTGAAACTTCATGAATGGTGACGCAGTCGCGCATCGTGGTGCGGGGAAGCACTCTTGATTCAAGATTAGCTAGCTGCACATTCAATTGGTCACGAGCGCGCAGCATTTACCATTGTCGTCCGTATAGGGCAAGATGAAGCATCGGTCGGATGGACAAACCTCTTTCAAATGGACAGGTCTATCGAAATGTCGCAGCGGTAGCGATGGCCTCCGCGCCGCATTCACGTCTCGAGCCCATGCACCCCAGACGGCTCGAGACGGCGCGAGGCACGCGTCAGTCGCGAGTCCCATCCATCGAGCCTGCTCCATCATGGCAGTCACTAATGAGTCACGACTGTGACTGTGGAGGCAGGACGCGTGTACCGCAGCATACCAGACGTGTGTGATTGACTCTTCTGACTTTGACTACGAGTGCATAGCCGCACCACCCGCAAGAAGACCTTTAAAGACCGGAGTGCCAAAGATAAATTGCCGAAGGGCGTGCGCGCCGAGCGGCACCACCCGCACAAGCATTTGGCGGAGCTGGAAATCTGCATGGCGGCATAGCGCAGCACGGCCAAAAGTCACGAGTGTTGCTTCCACTTCGCACATCCAGTGTCGAGCGCTAGAACGTTTCTATAGCTCGGCTCTAGCGCTACACAAGCGCTTGTACGCAGCACGCATTTAAGATGCTAGCCTCCGTCCACAAGAGTTGACATTATTTGGACAATGCGACGGCTTTGTCTAAAGACCTGTGAGGGACGTCCGTCGAGCTGCTTCTTTGAACGCAATCGAATACACGCAGCAGCAGGTCAAGAAGACGACCGCCTGATCATGACCGACGTGCAATTCGGCTGCGTGAAGAGAGAGGCATTGTGGCGTGGAACCATCTGCATCCCCGTTGCAACGTGGGTCTTGCTCTTGCTTTGCGACTTGTTCGCTCGGCAAGCCGCGAACATCGTGGCGACGAATGCCTTTTGGGTGAAGATTGGCCCAACTAGCAACTCCCATTCACCATCATAGCACCAACCAGCACGCGGACTGGCCGCTCGCGCGTCTTGTCGGGCTGCTGCGAATCAGGATGCGGCAGCGGTCTGTAAGCGGACTGCTCGGCGGAACCAATTGCGGAGTCCAAATCAGTGACGGCTAGCAAGGTGCAAATGTGCACTTGAACTCTCGACTTTTTCTTTTTCTCGATTCGATACGCGCCATCGCCGTGCGAAAGGAAAAAGAATGACAGACAGAACGGGCGACACAAAGAACCTGGTAGGTTCGTCCAAAGAGGCCGCAAATCAAGCTGCAAGCCGACATGCGTCAAAGGTCCAATCGCAGACGGTGAGAGGAATTCAGTTGCCAGGGCAGTGCTTGCGTCAAGCATGTAGCTCGCATGCCAAGCTTTCGAGTTGCGTCCTGTGAGAAAGAGCTTGGCTCGTATCGACCAAATAGATAGGAGTGTTGCAAAGCAAGATGCATTTCGAGAAGATTGCAGAGAGCAAGCGGCACTTAGGGTACAAAGGCAAGAGGGAAATAAAATGGAGAGTACTTGTGCTTGTTGTAGACCATAGCAGGTGGGTCGATGAATTTGTGAGGGAAGCGCCACTCCTTGGGCAAAGCATCGTCAGAGGTGATCCTGGATCTCGAGTCCGTGTCAGGGTCTATGACCTGCCCAGCCTCCGGCACGCGCAGCTTGATCACTTGCAGTTCTGTATCGGTTACGGTGTACCTGGACACTCGGACATAGCCGATGCGGTCCAGGCCTCTGAATCCCAGATACTGGCACCACCTCTCGCCGTCGCCGGGATGGACGTCGAGGATCTTGCCATCTTCGAACAGGATCTTATATGGGGCTGGTCTATCTGCATGAGGCTTCGTGACGACGTAGCCAAGGAAGATGGCTGGATGCGGATATGCTGCGCGCAGGATCCGAGCGAGCTCCGTCGTTTGCAGCTCGCGATCGAGAGGATCTTCTTCCTGACCATTGTGACTGACGATGACGTGCGTGTGCACGCCGTACACATCCAATACGGCGTGAATAGCGGGTGCAAGCTCGCCATGAGGGCTGGGCAGCAGATGGTGCGTAGTGTTGACGATCGGAAACTTCGAGAGCAAAGTCGCGCCCCACGTGTGCTTGTCCGGTCCAGGACCTATGTCTGCGTACATGCCCAGCGATTGGGCAAGATACTGTGTCAGATCTCGGTTGCCAAACACGCTCCGTTGCAAGTCAGATTCAAGTAAGCCAACGACGTCCAACTCCATGTCGCCGATCAAAGTCGACATCCGTCTTGACGACTCGTAAAGATTCTGATCCAGAGCGAAGTGAACCGTCCAAATGCCAGCCGTAAGGATTCGCTCTTGCGGGCGATACGGCTGCACAGAGCTGGCAGGCACGAGGCGGACAGAGGAGATGACTCCTGCCGCTGCTGTAAGCGCCAGTACTAGGGCACCTGTGTACTTGAACAAGCGCGTCCCCTTCCTGCTCAGCACTTGTAAAGATGCGCGTGTCCGTGGCGCGGCTGAAGGCTGCGATATCCTCAAGCCAGTGATGCCGGCCAACAGCATCGCCAATTGTGCCACCATCATGCTTCGGTCAGGGCCGGAGGGCGTCAGCGTCGCAAGAGCTGCACCGTCATCGCAGTATTGTACTCACGCATCCGAGTGTTCTCTGAAAGGTTTCCCGCCCGGAACAAAGGCGTATGCAACAGTCAGAGTTTGGAAGAAGGTCATCAAGTCTGCCGTGAGCCAAGCTCCAAGCATGATCTTGAGGGGATGGTGCTGCATGGCGTTTGTAAGAATGGGCAAAGCGATCGGCGGCAAGAACACTGCCACAGCGATAGCACCGAGGAAGGCGTCCCAGTCTGATGCAGTCAAGAGTTGGTATGACCCGAATGCGCCTAAGAAGAACCAGAGAATGTGAGAACCCAGGTCGGGGATAGCAAGTGACAGCATAAGCGACACAAGCGAGGCACCGAGGACAAAAACGCCATGTGGAATGGCCATTGGACTGTTACCGAGGAAAGAGACGCCAAATTAGCTTCAGGTTGACGCGAAAATTTGTGGGGTAACTTACCCTGTAATAGGCCATCCGGTCCAAGTCCACGAGATCATGGTGCCACTGTCGGTGATGTACGTGTGCAACGAGTATATCAAGCTACCAGCCGACGCAGCGGCCGCGACGGAGGACAGCCAGCTGTGCGGTGCAGTTCTAGTACGGAGAGGCACGAGCTTCGCTTGTCTCGCTACGACGTGCACATAGAGCTGTTCCACGTTCGCGAGCACCGCAAGAGAGAGCGCTATGCCGTTAAGGCCGCCATTTGTCTGGTTCATGAATGGCCAAGCTGGATTGTTGCTGTGATTGCCGTACTTCGCAACGCTAGAGAGGAACAGGCCGAGCAGCCACACTGCAGGACATTTATCGAGCGGATCGAGGTCAGCTTGCAGTCAAGACGAGGTCGGCACCGACACGCACCAGTGACTTTGCGTTGCAGCTCCTCGCGTTCCCATGCAGCTGCCCAATCTAGCGTTGAATGCACAGCAAAGCCCATGGCGCCAACTGCAGTCAATATCAGTCTAGCAAGCGGATTGGCGATCCACCAGCAGCCCATTCCAACCAGGCTCAAGGTACGGAGCAACACCTCAGCACCCAGCGCGGTGCGACCCACACAAGCGACCGATGCATTTTGACCTTTAGGCTCAACCAGTAGCCTTCGCCGAACGAAAGGTAAAAGGCAGAAAGCCAACGCGAAAACTTGGCTAACTAGCAGCACTTCGTGTCCTCCGACTGCGAGATTGTAGACGCTAAAGAAGAAGATGGTCGGGTGCAGAGCCGTCAAAGTTGTCCAGAAGCAGAAGCCTAGGAGCAGGGACAAAGTCAGCAAGCCCGGTCAAGAGTGCGCGTTTCAGCTACGCAAGCATTGCCATCGTTACGAACCTATGTAGGTCTCGGCTAGCAGGCTAATGATGTCTCGAAGGGCTGATGCTTCTACTGGGTCCTTGTCACGGCTACTGGACGTGCTCTTGTACCTGTTTGGAATGGGCGTGGTTCAGACTCTATCGAATCAGTCTGAGAGTGTCAACCGTTGGCATTGTAGCATAATCCCCTAAATTCGCCAACATCACCTAGGAAGCAATGAAGATGCGTACCCTGACTTTTGTGCGGCGCTAGTATTGCCGAGTTTCTGTGGCGGCGTGGACCATGCTCCCATCTCTACAGCAGCAGCTGTCCCGCCATCCACCCAAGAACCGCCGAAGAGCTTCGCATTTCCAACTTCGCGCTCTGCGAGTCCAGTAGGACGTTGTGGAGCAGCGGCTTCGACGACGTGTAGCTCCAGTCTGCTTAGATCGTAGACGCTTGCAAAGTCAAACAGCAAGTCGAAAACGATCAAGCCCCATTCAAAGAAGGAGTAATGGGTGTATGCGCCGGGTATATGCTGGACCTTGTGTCGGTAGAAGAACAAGATCATGAACGGAATCATTGACCAGAAAGCGAAGGCTGCTCTCCGTCTCATGGTGCGCGCTTTAGTTGCGATAGCGGATGCGGTCACCACGTTGGAGGAATAGTCCGCAGCTGAAGTGGGCGATGCCAGACTCAGACTACCGCTGCTGATGTACATCCAGGCTGGAGTGAGCACGAGGTATGCAATCATGCATACATCATGGACATCGTGGTCATCTGTCGAGGTGATGTAGACCCAGCCACCGCAAGAAAAGGTGCGCAACACGCCTACTGCCAGCAGCACCTTGGCTCTGGATGAAGTCGGGTTGGAGAGGGAGACAAGGAGGCTTGAAAGCAAGACCAGTGCCAGCCTAGGACCCGACATGAGCGCAATGAAGATTTGAAAGATGTTGCTGCGTTGATTGGTGCAATGCGTCAATGGGTGCCTGTGACCCCAACACTCATTCACGAAAGCCCTGCTCACCGCTCTGGGTACCAGTCTCCTATGGTAGCACTGACGCTCGGCCAATACTCGTAAGGCCAACCAGCCACGCCATTCTTGACGACCTTCTTGTAGTGCAGGCTAAGCGCAAGCACCAATGCCCCGCCAAAGGCCAGAAATCCAAAGAGCGTGTGCACGTACGAGACGAGGGCGCATGAGATGGTGATGAGGGGCGCATTCCGGCTACGAGAAATGTCGGATGGCATGATGGGCGCCCGATGCGGCTGACAGAAGAAGCCAGCGGGACCGGCGACGTCCCCAAAGAGCTATAGGAGCACGATGAGTCCGATTGGTGGTCGATCTGTGCCAGCAAGATGCAGATCGATGCTATTGACCACAACGCGCGGGCATCCACCCATCAGGATGCGAAAGTATGTTGATGGGGTCAAGGGTCCAAACTTGTCGTGAGTCGGCGAGTTGATCTCCGCAAAGCTGTGTCGACAAGCGAGCGAGCCTCGCAGCTCGCTTCTTGCAGCCCGTGGACTCGTGGACATTGCCAAGACTCCATCGTAGAATGAGACTCCGCGGCGGGGTGGGATGCCAAAAAGGGCGAGTGTTGCAGCATGCATGAGCTGCGAAATGGGAAGATGTGCCCGCCCAATGAAGACATGCAGCAGCCCTCATTTCGCACGGGTCAAGGCAAAGGCGCCCCGCGGCTTATTGTGGAGGTCCACGCGCGCACTGCTGCCCGGCTGCGTGATGCGTGGTTTTGCGTACAAGATTCTTGATTACAAAATCACGGCTCTTCCCACTGCAATTTGTATTGTTGATTTCGTTTTCGGGGCCGATTTCGAAAATCGCGGCTAATGGCCTGCAAGGGCTCCTAAGAGAGGAATCAATTTAGGCTCTTCACCGGTACCCACATCCATCCTCGTGATCGATGGCATCGAGAAAGCGGAACTGCTAATTTGCTTGACGAATGTGATTCCATGTAGACATTCGCTCCATCACCTCACATCCATCCAAAGTCAGTCCACCCGCTCCACACTCGAAAGCGGTAGACAAAATGCGCATTTCGGTCCTGCTCCCAGCCTTGACGCTGGCTGCGTCTGTAGCAGCCAAGACGCTCGACCCGCTGAGCCTTATTCAAGCACCTCGCCCTGGAGTCGGAATCGCAAGCCCAACTGGACATGCAGCACTCTGGGCCATTCGAAGCTGGAACCAAAGCACTCTGACCCGCTCTTCCACCCTGTATGCTCTACACCTACCCAACCACCACGATGCTGAAGAATCCAGCGAGCTGGAAGAACTCGTGCCAGTAGTGCACAATGCCACTTCTGCGTTCTGGATCTCACCAGAGGAAGCAGCATACATCATTGATGATGTCATGTACGTCAAGAACCTGTCCATCTCTCAGCAGTACATCGACCCTCGTGATCCAGGTGCCCGTGTCGGTCACCTTCCAGCAGAAGTCACCTCTCTGCGCGTCGCCCGCACCGCCAAGGGTCAGGGCGAGGGCACAGCTACCCTCGTCTTCTCCGCAGAGGTCTACGAGGATGGCTCTTTGAATAATGTCAAGGCACGCGACGATGCCGAAGCTGAGGAGTGGTCCCGTGTCAAGTCCTACGAGAATGTGCCAATAAGACACTGGAACAAGTGGCTCAAGCCAGGCAAGCGCAGTCAGTTGTTCAGCTTGGACTTGACGCGCAACAAGAAGGGCTACGAGACGAGTTGGCTCTTTGCAGGCGAGCCAAAGAATCTGCTCAACGGAACCAGGCTTGGGGCTCCTGTTCCACCATTTGGTGACGAGAGCGACTATGCTGTCAGTGCCGAAGCCGGACTCGTCGCTTTCACGGCTAAGGATCCCGCAGTCAATGCAGCCTGGCACACGCGTCAGCACATCTATACCGTCCCTCTTGACGGCAGCGAAGCTCCCCGTCAAGTTACCCACGGAAATATCGGAGCTACGTCCTCTCCGGAGTTCTCTCCCGACGGCAACCACCTCGCCTGGCTTCAGATGGCGAGAGACGGGTTTGAATCCGACGTCCGAGTCGTTCAATTGCATAATCTCGAAACAAAGGAGACAGAACAGTTGCTCACGCAGTGGGATCGCAGTCCTTCTTCCCTCAGCTTTGCGCCCGATGGCGAGAATTTGTACCTCGTTGGGGAGGATCGCGAGCAAATCAAGCTTTGGCGTCTGCCCGTGCTAGACAAACGAACCCAATCTGAGGCATCCCAAAACGGCAGCACGCTGCAGACCGTAATCAGAGCTGGCGGTGTCGGCTTCATTGATACTATTCCGGGTGGTGGAGCAGTCATCACGAAGTCGAGTATGCGCAGCCCCGCAGACCTGTTCTACCTGCGCGAGAAGTCGGACAAACTCATCCGCTTGACAGACATCACCAAGAATTCCTTGCTGCACGGTTTGGATCTCGGACCCGAACCGTACCGCTTTAATTACACTGGAGCGGAGGGCCGCACGACCTACGGCTGGATCATTCCGCCACCCGGCTACGACCGCTACAACAAGTCCCAATCTTGGCCGCTTCTTACGCTCATCCATGGTGGGCCAGAAGGCAGCTGGGAGAACAACTGGAATGTGCGTTGGAATCCTGAGACCTTCGCTGCTGCCGGATTCTTCACCATCGCTCTGGATCCCGCCGGTTCCACAGGTTTCGGCAAGAAGCACCAGGAGGACATTTTAGGCTCTTGGGGCGGTCGCGCTTTCTACGACATTCGTGCTGGTGTGCACCACATTCTGCAGACTTTCGACAATGTGGATGCCGAGCGCGTAGTTGCAGCCGGCGCCTCATTTGGAGGTTATTCGATCAACTGGATTCAAGGTCACAACGAGGATGGCTTGTTCAAGGGTCTTGTCTCCCATGACGGTGTCTTCAGCACCCTAGCGACCTTCTATTCTACTGACGAACTGTACTTTCCCGAATTTGAGTTTGGAGGTGTGCCCTGGGTTGCCAGAGAGGGCTACGAGCGATGGAACCCAGAACGATTCACTGGGAACTGGAACACGCCGCAATTGACCATTGCTGGTAGGGACGACTTCCGACTTCCCGAGTCGGAGGGCATTTCCGTCTTCAACACGCTTCAACGAAGAGGCGTGCCATCTAAGCTGCTCGTCTTTCAAGAAGGCCATTGGGTAGTCGACGAGCGCAACAGTCTGCGCTGGTACACTGAAGTCATCGATTGGCTCAAGAAGTATAGCGCCGAGCAAGCGCCCGAGTCCGAGCTCTTGATGGCGGAGACAGTCGATGCCTCAGAAGTCGATGATCGTGCCTCTGGGTTACTCTTCCAACACCAATGAGAGGAGAGCTTGAGGTATTCTGCTTCGACGAAACATGACCAGATCTTCATCATCATTCACCATTTCACTTTCGCAATCCTCTCGCTTTTGTCGTTCTCCGTCGGGTGTCTGGCCCTCCCTCCATCGATCACATGGTTTGAGTGTTCCACCACTATTTGCGTGCAGTCCCGGACCCGTTTCACTTACACCGACACGTCTGTGGGGTCCGAGTGGTCGCGACAATCAGAATGTGAGGCATGTCGCGGGCGCCTTGGGCACTGAATCATCGTGATGAGGCAGGTTGTACGCAGCCAGCATGACGCTGTCTGTCGTTTTTGCTCCGACGAGGCCAACTCGTGCGGGACGGCGAAACGGTGGGACGCAGGCTACGTCGAAAGCGCAAAGGCGCCGGTCGGACAGCTACCGCGCAAAAATCGAAGGCGCTGCGCTCGTCACGACTGCACGAACAAAGGTTTCACGATGTGGAGGGACGGAAATAACTGGGCTGTCGCTCGATCGGGGCACACGAGTTGCGCGCTCGATGATTTTGGTCCATACGCGTGTGGCATATATGCTTCTTAATCGGCCATTTTCTCGGTACGTACCCCTTTTAGTTTGATGAGTTCATGTTGAAAGGTTGAAGGATCATGTGAAAGGAGCCGGCTGAGCGGTACATATGCGCTTCGATCAGACCTCTCCAGAAAGGGGCGCTGTCCCGCATAATGAGGTCCTGCAGAGGGATGAGCCTCGCTCGCAAACGTATAATCACGAACGTATAGCAGCCTGAGCGTTTTGTGTCTCCCAACCATCACACGCACCGCTGCATACCGTCTTCTGCGCTTCTACGGAGCACTTTTTCAAGGCATCCAGCTTTCAGCATACGCGCAACTTGACCGCCAGTATGGCCGAAATTCCAGTGCCCATCGGGGCCATTTACAAGGGCGGGGACAGCGCTTCTTTGAACGCTTTGCGCGCCAACGAAGAGGCCAGCAAGGTGTACGCTCCGTCCGTCTTCTCTCCGCACACGCTCTCGGAGAAGGGCCACAAGAGGGTGGCCCAGACCAGGGTGCCCAAAGGCAAGAACAAGAGGCCCACAGATGACGCCATCTCCAAAGGAGCCACCTTGCCATCTCAGGAAGCTGGATTCGATGTGTACTACGAGGTGCATGGCAAAGGGCCCAAGAAGATCATCTGTCTCATGGGTCTCAACAACAGCTGTTTCGGGTGAGTCGTGCTGCTTGCTCTACCTCAAGCTAGCCCACATGTGCTTATTAGCAGACTCGAATCACTGACGCTCATACTTCCATTGCGGTCTTGACAGCTGGCTGCAGCAAGTGGAGCGTTTCGGATCAGACCCGGACTATTCCATCCTCGTCATTGATAATCGCGGCTACGGCAACTCCGAGACGCCTGCCGGCTTCTACACGTGAGTGTCCTGAGCTGCTTCCGCTGCTTTGACAAGGCACGTATGATGGGCACGAGTGTTCACAGGTCATATGCAAAGTCATGCTGCACCCGCTCACCCTACATTTCGTCTGTCGCAGCACATCTTCTATGGCGAAAGATGCTCTCGAGGTGATGGATCAGATCGGATGGACCGCAGATCGGCAACTGCATGTGGTCGGCGTGAGCATGGGCGGGATGATCACCCTGGAGATTGCCAAGTTGGCTCCCAAGCGCGTTGCGAGCATTAATTTGGTCAGCACGACGTCTGGACAAGGAAGGGGAGAGAAAAATCTTCTGACATCGCTACCGCCTGTGAGTAATTGTCACAGGGTGGAGATGGCATCGACGAAATGCTGACTTTGCCCCTCTTCTCTTCCATGACTCATCTCCACCCTCGGCAGCTCACCGGCGTGACCACTATCGCACGAGTGATTGCAGGACGGATCCTCAATCTGGACTCGGATCAGTGGAGGGTGGGCCAGGTGCTGGAATTGCTCTTTCCCAAAGTCTGGCTCGCAGAGGTTCATCCAGAAGATCCTAGCGGCCGCACACGGCGAGACGTGATGAGGGAGATGTTCGAGTGGCGCTTCGCCTACACTCGGAAGCAAACGCTGCCTGGCGCTTTTGCTCAGATCGGAGCGGTGGCTACTCACAGGGTTACGCCTAAAGAGCTGGCAGCTATCAACCTGGATATTCCTGCCATTGCCATCTTTACGGGAGACCAAGACAATCTCGTCAACCCTGCCAACTCGTTCCATTTGCACAAGCACCTTCCTAGGGCCGACTTTACACAGTACAAGAATGGCGGACATGCTTTGCCCGTACAGTGAGTCTGTTGTTGCAACACGGCTCGCCACACCCCACGGCTCGGGATGTGCGGTTGACCATGCGTTCGACTTGACGTTCTTGACGTTGCGCAGGAAACCTCAGGAACTCAACGACGCTTTGCAGAAGAATTTCGAGAAGGCCGCCGCTCACCTGGCAAACAGCGTCTCCGGACCCTGGCCCCACTTTACATCTGTCTCGAAGCAATGAGACGCAGGCTGGAGTTCTGGCCTCAACATCGCAATGTGATAGACATTGAGCGCCCAGAAGAAAATGCTGGGCTAATGCAGTGTGGCGTGTCTCAAACAAGTACATAGATCTCATCCAGTACCGGCCGCTTGACGTTGCGAGCTTTGATCGCTTCGCGCACCATCTGTCTAGTCAAGAGGAGCGCTGGCTCCAACAGCGGGGTCGGCTGCCCCAACTTTTGAGCGTTCAGGCTAGCTCGATCCGACTTCTGATCGCTCGTTGAGTCATGCGCGTCGAGCCGTGCAATTGCCGCCGCATCAAAGGGAATGGAATGGGACGGCTGAGCTGTGTCGTTGCCCTCCGCACCATTGTTGTGTTCTAGCTTGACGCTTGCGGTCCTGATTTGCGGTTCAGTAGGGTGCTCTGCATCGATACCAAAGGGCTTCAGAGCGACAACTTCGGACGTCGCTACTCTGAACCTTAGCAGTCCACATTCTGCCAGAGCAAATGAGACGTCGTCGACTCTGAGACGAGTCGCAGAAGCGAGCCTTTCGAGAGTGGTGACGAGCGCGACGTCTCCGCTGCCGGTTCCCTCCACGTCAGCTCGGATCTGCAGTGCTGGATGTGCCGCTATGACCGCCTCGATGCGCTCGTCTTCTTCCATCGACTCGGCCTGATACTGCTTCGCAGCACGAGAGCGGGAGCCCCGTGTAGATGGAGTAGGCTCGTCCAGGTGAGGCGAGGTTGCAGTCTCACTCGTGTCTTCCTCTGTCTTGATTCCGCCGAAAGACCGAATGGGCTCTGGTGAATTGGCACCACGAGGAGGAACGGTCATTGAAGCAGAGGCGCTTCGAGCGCTAGATCTTCGACCTGAACCTCGTTTCTGGCTTCCTGCATTCAACACAGGCAGCGCTTTGGGGGCGGCTCCAAAGCCTTTGCTAATCCTCAAAAGCCATTTTCTTTGCATTTCATCCTCTTCGGCATCGCCAGTGCTTATCAAAGCATTTCCCGCGTAGGACTTGGGTTCGGGTAGACCAAGTAAGGCTCTGCGGATGCGAGAGCACTCTCGGACCTGTCTGGCCCTCAGAGCAGCCGAATAAGCCCGAGAAGGTCCTGAGCCCACCTTTTGAGGCGAGCTAGCACTGGGAGGAGGCGCCAAGAGCCGAGATGAAATGTCTGTAGTGGTATCATCGAATGCGAGGGCCAAGGCGCGCAAGACGACAGAGCACCAGAAAGCCAAGTAGCCTCTGAATCCTAGTGACGACAACGGTCGCTCCGGAGTACCTGCCACTGCATCGTGTGCAGAGAGATAGTAACCTGCGAAGTGACAAGAGCCCTGTCAGCTGGGCCGAGAGGCCAGGTAGCAATGACAATAACACTCACTGAACTCGATCATCAATGTTCCAAAGCTTCGCTTTTGGAAGGGTGGGAAGGTGATGATGCACGCAAGATTGTAGTCGTCATAAGAGAGCTTCTCCTAAGAGCAGTAGATACCAAAAGTCGATGCTACATCAGTTGGACGGGACGCGATGCTGCTTGCATTGAGATTGGTGCACTTGACTCACCTTTGAGAAGAATCCAATAGGATGATCAAATTGCGCGCTGGCATCTGTGAGGACGTAAAAGAGGAAGTTCTCGACGTCGAAGCAGATGGCTTTGTGATCGATAAAGAGTTTGCCCAGCAATGACAGATTCTGGGCGTAGAGCTAGGTGTAGAGCGCACAGACAAGAAAGTCAGTCTATCGCCGCACGCCCGAATATCATCAGCTCTCACAACTCCTCACCTTTTGCACTGCACCGTCGACTTCCCAGATAATGTGAGCTCCTCGTTGATACACTTTGCGTCCGGGTGGATGTGTATGCGTGCACTCTTTCTACATAGGATCGATCGCGCAGCGAAAGGAATAGGTCAGTCTACGCCACGTGAGCAGAGCCTCTGGTTTAGCACATCGATCGACCCGGCAGGCTTACCCACCTTGTGTACCCGATAGCCAGTGTGCGTTCGGGCATACTTAAAACATCCGTCGCACACCCACAAAGAGCGTCCTGTGCTGAGCGTAGGATGGGCCTGCACGGCTTGCTGTTGAATGTCGTCCGTCGAAGTGACGCCAAGACGTGCTGACTGGGCATCGATGCTGCTTGATGTCAAGGTGGAGCTCAAAGGCGTCGCCGGAGCTGCCGAGGCGGCCAAAGACGAGCTGGACGTTCCGTTTGACGCAGGAAGACCGGAGAGCGCACCTGGCAGATGAGGCACGCTGGCTGGGGGTCTAGCCACGCTGGTCAGCTCTGCACTGCCTGCGGATGCGCTCGTCATGTGCTGCGACACAGTGCTGGAACCGTGCTCGGCGCGGACATCCACTGCGGCAGCAGCGGGCTCGGACGGAGGAATGGGAGTGGGTCGAGCGCTGCTGTCGGTGCTACTATCCGAGCCCTTGCCCTCACGAGTCGGCTGAGGCTTGCCTGAAGTATTTCTGGGACCATCGTCCGTGACCTGACCTGGATGCTCTGGATTTCGCTTACGTCGGATGTTGATACCTCGCTTGTGCAGCACGGAGGAATCGCCAGCGCCATAGGTCGACGCCGACGCCGACGCCGACGCATGAGCGGAGGTCGGCGAGTCGACGCTCTCATCGTCGAGCGGATATGGGCTCGGGTACCACGTCTTGATCTCGTGGGAGCCCAGAAAGACGCTAGATTGCGTCGTACAGCGAAAGGAAACGCGTTGGCATAAGGTTAGTGGCGCATGGGATCCACTCTGCGGACCCAATCTCACCGTTCAATGCCGCGCTTGGGCATGCTATGCAGTAAATATTTTCTGCCCATCTTTGCGGCAGGTGGGATGGATGTGGACGAAGTATTTGCGGGCATCCCTCCCTCCAACGGGTCATTCGTCAGGGCAGACGTCAAAAGCGGAGCAGACTCATTGCCTGGCGTGTCGTGCTGTAAGTCCTGCGAATAGACGGTTGCGATTTCAGCGGGCTCTGTCGTGGTTGTCAAAGCTGGCCGTGAGACGCTAGATAGAACCAGCAACCCTGCCCACGTGCTACTGCGATAACGACAGCGCACGTAGTTGCATGCCACAATCTGTCCCAGCGACAGTGCGACGATCATGAAAGTGACCAGTGGGCCAAGTACGCAGCTCTCCAGGGAGCTCACACAGCCTGTAACGTGCATCCCTACCAACGAACGAAGCGCCACTCACGTGTCCCTCCCTATGTCTCTTGTGCGTAGCAGCACCATCCGACTCCATGCCTCTTTTTCCCTGTTTCGCAAAGCCAGGCTCGCTGTGCTGAGCGTCTGGGTGGTGGTGACTCATGATTGGCGAAGCTCTGCGAGTGCGTGATTGGGCAAGGCCAGCGAGCGGTCCCACAAGAAGTATTGGGGTTACCGAGTCTCAGGGAAGAGGATATTGAGATGGTGGGCTATCGCTACGTAGAGGTGTTCGTGGGGATGCTGTCAATGCACTGCTTGCCTTTGGACAATTTGAGACTCCCTCTCACGCCGTGGTGGCCGTCGTGGTGAGAGCGATTAGTATCGTTGTCGGTTCACGACAGGTGAACGGTGGGCGCCCGAATTTGAAAGAGGAGGCTATTGGGGGTCCGCATCCAGTGTCGGCGGACATCGGTGGGTGGGGCAGTTGCTGTGATAGCCTTTGCACGAGCACCGTCGCTTTTGTTGAAGTCTGTGAGTATTGGTCGGAATGAATGATGGTGAATGGCCCATCGTGAACCATCAAAATGACGAACGCGGCATCTATACTCAGACTCGTGACTGTGACTGCACTACCCGCCGTGTCTCACCTTTCCTTCCGACGCGTTGATGGATTGCAATCACGAATCGTGCGTCGCGCACTTTTTTGAGTGCGCGTGAAGAAGCGCGTCGCTGGGAGCAGCAAGTCGTGAGTGAGTTCGAGCGCTGCTCGTGAGTGTGGAGGATGGATGCTGCATACCAGAGGCCATCGACCAGACCATCTCGCTTCCTTCTCCTTCACACTCTTCCACTCGCAAGCGGACTGCCACGTCCCCTCTCGTCAATTGATATCGAAGCATACAACGCCTACAGCGGCGATCCCGCCACCATGTCGTGCAGCTCTGCCGCTTCCACTAGTGCCAAATCTGGCCTGTCGGCGATCAGGTACACGCACATTCCTCATCAAGTCCCATACCTGCTAGGCCTGTCGCTACAAGAGCATCTCGTCTCCCGTCGAGCTCAAGCTCGCGAATTTCTCTCCCAGCAGCCTTCTCAGGGTCCTCATTCCGGTCACAGCGAGCCTGCGAAATCATATGAGCGTGCTAGTAGCATAGCTCACACGGACCATCTTCTCTTGCTGGAGCATACACCCGTCTACACAGAAGGACGGAGGCAAAGCTCTACGGAGCTCAGTGGCAATGAACAAGAAGGCAACAGGCTTCGAGCTATCGGCGCAGATTATGTACAGACACGGCGGGGCGGACTTGTCACGTATCATGGTCCTGGTCAGCTTGTAGGCTACCCCATCTGGGATATAGGCGCGATGGACGTGAGTCGCTGGCTGATGAGCTACGCTGTATTGCTTCAATAGCAACAGTGGTCGAGCTCAGCAGAATTTGTAATGTTCATCAACGGCGCACCTTGCTTTGCCCTGATCCCACAGCTTTCAACGCGCTGTTACGTGGATAAGATCCAGACAGCCCTAACACAGCTGCTCCACAGTGCGCCTTATCATCTCTCCACCGTGCCAGCGCAGTCGGACGAGACGGGCGTGTGGTCCGACATTTCTCACAAGATAGCCTCCATCGGCATTCAGGTCCGTCATCGCATCACCTCTCACGGCTTTGCTTTGAACGTTGGCATGCACGTCTTGCCGTGGTTTGAACATATCGTAGCTTGCGGAATAGTGGGAAAGGGCATGACGAGCATAGAGCGGGAAAGGGCGCTGTTGATCAAGAGGGAAGAAGAAACTAGACCGGATAGAGGTGCAGCCGACAACGTCGAAGAGGGCAGAGTGAAAGCTCTAGAAGAGCTAGCTGAGAGGCAAGGACTGGTACAGCCCCAAGACTCCGGCCGTAGAGATCCTAGGGAGAGTGCGAAATTGTTCGTCGGGCCAGAGTCTCGGACAAAGGTCGAAGACGTTGTGCCAGACCTGGTCCAGCACTTTAGCCGCACATTCGGCAGGAAGATCGTCCCTGCCCCTGCAACTCAATTCGTCTTCCGAGCAGATGCTCCGGGAGTCTTAGCCGGTGTCACAGTCGATGGAGAAGACATCAATGTGACACAATGAGATGCGATAGCCGCTTGGTGGCGCCTGATTTCGGAACGAGGCCTTGACTCTATTGCACACTTGCTTCTCATCCGGTCATGACACTGCGTGTAGTACATAGCAAGCTCGGAAGAGGATAGCGTGCAAATTCAGAAGCACGTGTACAAGCCGATAACGCGTCACCGTCCTGCGCATGCGTCCATCTCTAGTCATCATCGTCCTCCGCCACCGGGGTCTCTCCGTGCGCGTGGCACATACGGCTGCGTGCCTGGCGCAGACGATTCTCTTGACCTCGAGTAAGCCTGAGGCTCACCTCTTCTTGACGGCGAAGCCGGTCCAGGTGCTCTGCTGCTGTACTCTGGGCCCGCATCTATGCGCTGGCCACTTTGAGGACGAGAACCTTCACTAGAAGGAGCTTGCGGCGCGGAACCGGTGATCCAGCCCCACGTCGAGGACCCCCAGCCAGCCTGCTGACTTTCGGAGTCCGAAGTTTGACGGGCGTGTGGCGGCAGACTATCACTGAAAGTCCTGCTGCTCGATCCTGCTGAGCCTGTTGATGGATTGATTGGACTCTGCAAAGAATCGCTTGAGAGGCTTCTGGCAGGACGCAGAAGAGGACGTACCTGCGACAGGACGCACACAAGTCAGACGAACCTAGTCGGCTTCGGAAAGCTGTGCGCGCTCGGCAGTCATCATATGCATGGCACTCACCATCTCGGTGAACAGCGGGACCATGTCCGGCAAGATCTTGAGCTCAGGAGCTCGAGGTGGCTTCGCTTTCTTGCTCGCTCGGGTCAAAGCTGCTGAAGGACCGTCAGGCGCCGAGGGCTCCGAGGTCATAGGTGCAGGCGGCAGTGGTGGCAGGTCTTTGTCTGCTGGCCTTGCTGTCAATTGAGACACACTACGACCAGGCGCTGGAGGTCTCCACTTGCTCGCCTGTGCGCTGATTGAAGGCTGCTCTACCGAGGTGGCTGTCGTTGAGTTGCTTGATCGTGATGTTCGACCAATCGCATCGGAAAGAGCGGATCTATCCTCAGATGTACGACTTGAAGACGGGGCGGTGTCACTGTCGCTTGTCTCGCTACTTGCCCTCCTGGCCTCACGCGACTCGTACCACTGTTCCTCTTCCTCGTCGTCTTCATCTTCGTCTTCGCCACCTTCACTATCCCCATCGTCAAACTCCACTTCCGCTTCGATCTCTTCAATCTCGCCTGTGAAGGTATTGCCCACGCCCAAATTGTCCACCATGGCTGCGACGAATGCTTGATCATCGTCAACGAACCCGGAGCTTGCAGCGCTTCCGAGATCACCGCCACCTGCACCCATTAACTTGGTGGCTGCACATTCTACTTCCTTGTTGGCGAGTCTGCGCCTTAGCTTCAGCTCACGAACCATCTTGATTCTATAGGCGTGTACGACGATGGCATCGATCTCGGCCAAAGCAGCGCGTCGCTCTGCGCCGCCTGCAGGCATGCAGATCTCTAAATCCACCTGTCCAACGCCGCGCCGTGTTAGAGTACCTTTTGGCTGTTGAGGCTGGAAACTTTGCTGGTAGGCTTTTGGAGTGGTCAAATCGATGACTCTCTCTCCCTTTGCGGAGGCACTGCCATTCGGCTCCTCGTCAGGTCCGCGAACAAAGTTGATGAACAGCTCGATCCAGTGCATGAGACCATCAAAGAGGCCAGAGCCCTTCGAATGTACTTCGTGCACAAAGTGATAGAAACGCCCTTCATGCCGGCCTACCAGGTCGATGAAAACCTGCACCGTGCGTTGAGGGTCTACGTAGCTCACTGGTGTCGCAATGTGTTCTTCATCAGCGCGACTAGACCAACAGGCAAAAATTAAGAGACTCACATTCCTCGTGGCTCTCAACAGTGCGGATCAGGTCGTTGATGAAGGCTTGCAGATCAGACAAGCTGTCAGCGATGTTGGCAGCCTTGTAGACTTGAGCTAGAGGCGAGTAGAAGATGGTGACAATATCCTTGAGCAGTTCGGAAGTGACGCCCTGACATTTGCAAGATCGAGTCAGCTGCGTGTGAGCGCGCTGTCGTGTGCGGAACACACCATTTGACTCACTTCAAAGATCAAGCTAATCATTTGTTCTTTGTCGCGAAGGCGGGTCAAGCATCGCAAGTAGATGTGCAAATCTTCGTAAAGCCAGGCGTCCGGCGCCACGGCATCAGGGCCCTGATCTTCCTCGCCGCGACCCAGATTCGCACGATACTGCTTATAAACCTCATAGGCTCTGCTTGCCCTCACCACTCGCGTGATTTGAGGCCTCGTCAAAGGTGCGGTACCTGCTGGCGGAGACCTCAGGATGCACGTGAGAATATCGAGCCTCTCTGTCTTGGCTTGAGCCTTCAGAGCTCTTTGATATTCTACTGGCGCATTGACGAATGCCTTGACCCTCTCGCACAAGTCTTCGTCCTCTATTTTGCCTTTGACGGCCATCAACATGCGTTCCAGCTCTCTAACCTCTTCTTGCATGCTGCTTGTAAACATACGCTGAAGTAGGCTCCTCTGTCCAAAAGGTTGAGCCAGGAATAAGTCGATGACCGATCGGATCATCGATACTGGATTGGAGATGCGCAGAATGCCCCTCAGCATGAAGTATGGCATCAGACCGTGGATGCGTTTCAGCTGAGCGAAGAGGTCCGATGATGTGTCGGTGCCCATGAACAAATGGAAGAGGGTGCTGGCAGCACTTATACGGCCCCAAGAAAGCAAAGCTCGATAGCTTTCAGGCAGTTCCTCAATATTTGGCGTGTGCTTGATGGTGCTAAAAACTCGAGTAAGACCGTCGCGTTGCACAAGATCGGACTTGAAAGCTGAGATGTGCTCGCGTAGCTCTGATATCCTGCGGCTGGCTTCACTGGCAAATCTGCCTGCCTCATCTTCGCGCACAGCGTCCAGAGCCTCTCTAGCTGCCACATCCTCAACCTCTGCAGAGGATAGGGTCGTCGCATCCTCGAGCAAGAAGGAGGATAAAGCTGCAGAGTCTGCAACAGAAGGAATGGCCAAGAGGGAGCGCACATACGCTCGAAGGGTGAGCCGGTTCTTCTCTCTAGCGAGCGGAGCCGCTGAGGCCGCCGCTGGCCGGCTGAAGGGCTGTGTGATCTGGCCGGGAAGAGGAGGCGGCACTTCGCTATCGTCCCGAGCTCGATCACTGGATCCGTGTCCGCGAGTAGCTGCGTGCGCAGCTGCTCGTGAGGAGAGCCCTGCTCCAGAGCTCAGCGTCCGTTGTCTAGGCTGCGAATGGCTGGGTATGTCTTCAAGATTCAATCCACCAAGCTGCGGAGAATTATCAATCACAGCATCCCCATCGTTGAATTGACTGCCTCCGACAGTGCCCGCAAATTGCGTCCCTCTTCTGTCCTTTGCTGGCGGTCTTCCAATGTCTTCTCCGGGGAACTCCAGCTTCAAAGTATCGGCAAGCCTTGCAAAGTCGCCATAACGGCGACTGACAAATACATCGGGAAAGTCTTGGCGTCGTGTTCGAATCAGAAACTCGTCGTGAATTTTGCTGCGAGCCAGTCTGGAAGGCTTGGTTTTGACTGTTCTGACACCAACGACATTCACGTCAAAGCCGGCCTGCTCGCTCGCGAGACCGGCTAGAGCAGCCTTCATCCTGGCTTGAGCCGCCGCCATCCTCTCCCGGTCCTGCGGTGCGATGGTCAAAACCTCTTCCTGCACGCCTTGCACGTGCACTGCCGCTCCAACAAGTAACGTGACCCATTTCGCGATCTTGTTGCTGAGCCTCTTGCGCTTGCTGACTTCTCCCTCTTCTGGAGTCATGCCGCTGATGTTGCGCTCAAGAAAGCGAGTCACAAATACTTGTACCTTCTCGGGCCAGAAGTTGGCGGGTGCGGATCGCAGGAAAGGGAACGTGACGACGAAGTGGTGGAAGAGGAAGCGGAGGATGGGAACGTCGGCTCGCGACACAGCGGCAGAGGGCGAGAAGGGAGGCCCAAAGGAGGAGAGCGCATCTGCAAATGAGGACCAGAAGTGATGCTCAGCGTTGCTTCTGACTCGCTGGTTGCCGATGCGCTCACGGCAGCACACTGACCTTTCTGACTGAGGCTCTTGATTTCTCTCTCTGCCTGCAGCTGTACCAAGGTCTTCTTCAGGTAGTGCGCTCTAAGCGGAGTCAGCTTCAGAGGATCTTGCGAATCTCGTAGTCTTGGTATACGATTGGCGATGCCTTCCAAAGAGTCGTCCCTACTACTCTGAGCATCGTCAAGAGCGTGGCCCGCGTGCTCGAAAGCTGCGTCTGGCGCCTGGCTTGCTGTTTTTGATGCCATGTCTGGAGAATGATTTTGAGGCTCTAGTCCTCAGCTTTGAACCGCCGCGGAGGACGTCCCGAGTGATCGGGAGGAAGGCCAAGCTTGATGGGTTGCGAGGAGAGGTGTCAGGCGCGTGCTCGTAGTCAGACGGAGGCTTGACTCTGCGATAGGGTCTCGCGGCTCGAGGACCGCATGGATGCTCCAAGGATGCACGGACAGCAGCTGTCAGCAGCTGTCAGCACGATCGGTCGAGCACGTTGCATTTCGCGGCGTGTGGCGGCGCATCCGGACGCGCAGCATGCGGGCAGCAGCAGGTGTAGAGGCGACGCAGGTCGCGCCCGCACAGCCACAGCCACAGCAGAGCCCGCAACGCGGCGGCACATCTGCTTGCCACCTCTCTCTCACCTTTGGCCTGAATTAAGATGAACGTGCACATTCACCATTGATTCACGATGGGCAAGCTCGATGTGTGATCGGGCTCATTCTCGTTCAAGGTCTCGGTATGATCCACGACCAATGTCCTTTCACACCTAGGAATTCCTCACGCTCTGCGCTGTGGTCAACATCGTGCAAGGACGCCTTATAGTCAATATCAGACAATGATGGCACAGCATTCAAATCACACTGCGGGATAGCAGTTAAGATTACCATACCTCCGCAAGGCCGCAGCCATGATGCCTTTCGAATCACGGATGGGTGTTTGGAAGCTACCTGTCCCCTCGATCCCGTCCTCGAGGACTGCGCTCGCGTTCAGCATAGCGATGGTGCCTTCTTTCGTGTCCAGGTCGCTCTTGGCGTCTCTCATCATACTCTTGGTCCCGCGGTCTTCTATGTTCATGATTCCTTTTAGCGTCGGCATACCTTTGATCATACTCGCTTCGATCTTCAGGCCGTCGTCTGTCTCGGTCTCTATCGCCTGCGTGAGGGTGTTCGCGATGAGATCTCCGATCATTGTCTCGTCCCTGCTCCGAGCCTCCGTATTCATGTCGCCTGTTTGAATTTCCACCTCGTCCGTAGGTATCGTGTCGATCGCGCTGCGCGAGGTACCTGTGGTCGTCTTTAGTCCTCGAAGGGGCATCACGCCTTGGAAGATCATGGCGCTGACCACGGCTCTGGTCATAGTGCGTCCGACTGCCCTCGGCACGGGCAGAGCTAGACCCTGCACGACTTTTTGTTCGTTGTTGCATCCAGCTTTGATGCAGCTTGCCGACCGATTGCGAGAAATCTACCCAAATCCTTCGATCGTCGACGAGGACATTCTGCATCTTAAAGTAAGCCTACACGTCCCCGCAGTACAGATCGGTTTTGACTGTCAGGAGCTGATCTGCGCACTACACTACGACGCCAACGGGCTCTGCGTTTCGCTTGCACTTCGACGCACCTGTTCCGCCTGTTCGCGCTCATCGAATTCAATGAACGCATACTGAAGACTGTCTCCGGTCTGATAGGCCACAAGAATAACACCATGTCAGAGAGAGAGCCTGCTGAAATAGAATCTCCAACACCATCGCTGCACTCACTTTGCGATCCCTGATCACTTCGCAGCTCATGATCTCACCAAATCTCGAAAAGATCAACTGGAGATCCTCGCTTCGAGTGACGGGATTGAGCTTGCAGACAAAGAGCACGTTTTCCGGAGGTCTGACGTCCGCATGAGGCAGATCACCGACCATCTCCAGAGTCAAAGCCGCAGCTGAAGAGTCCGCTTTCCGCTTTTCCCTCTCCACCTCTTCCGCTGGGCGGGTAGAGGGGTCTACTAGCTCTTCAGACGCATCTGCTCGGGCGTTCAGAAGCTGGGAAGGCGTGGGCGAGGGAGTGCGGCTTGGGGGAACGTAGCCAGAAGGGTCTGAGAATGGATCCTCTGTAGCATTAGGTAGGGTCGCGGATCGTTAGCGTAGTCATCTCGACACTTTCATTTCCTTCCAAACTCCGTGCACTCACCAAGGATTTCGACGTGCTTGATACGAATATCCAGCAGAGGTCTTCCTTTCTCATCCACATAGGCATTGTTGATGCGGTCCAGCGCTCCCCCTTCCTCCTGTCCCTCTACGACGTTCCCAAACACTGCATGCTTGCCATCTAAATACGAAGCATCGTCCGTCAAGCAAATGAAGAATTGGGATCCAGCCAGCCCTTCCTCCTCGTCCTGACCATCTGCGCTTGGTCCATTGATTGGAGAAAGCGCAAACGATACAGTACCCCTACGGTGGTTGAGCTGCTCTTCTTTCCTAAGCACAAAGTAGGGCTGCTTGCTGTATGCGGGGTTCTCCGGAGGCAACGTGTTCCAGAAACACACGCCGCCACTTCCGTCCTGCTTGGAAGATGGATCGCCGGCTTGAGCCAAAAAGTCCCTCTGCACCGAGAAGAATGAGTTGAAATTGTACTTCTTTGCTGCTCCAAGCTTGAGAAAGTTTTCGCACGCTTTGGGAGCCAGTTTCGTCTCTAGATCAATCTAACGTTTGAAAGCGAGACAAGTGGAGGGAGTGGCACTGTCAGAGAGCACGAGCGGTGCGACGATCACGTACTGCTTGGTCGATCGCTCAACAGCCACTTACCACGATGTCCCCGACTGAGGTCTCGAGAAGAACAGACATGACAGCCTAGCTGTGGGAGCGAGCAGGCTCGAAGGAGAGTCCGCGCGGCCGAAAGGTCAGGAGCCACATTCCCAGCAGGTCCGAAGTGGGGATGGAAGAAGCGATCAGAACGAGCAGCGCTTGTAGGCGAACGCTCAGCAGCTGCAGACTCGTGACTGTTATATTGTTGTGCGTCTGCAGTTCTTGGACGCGATGCGCGCGCTCCACCTCAGTGGGACTCGATGGTGAATGGGCCCCGCGAGAGCCGCGACCTGGCCTTCAGCTCTTCGGTCACCACTGTTCCGCAATTCCTACGTCGCAGTCTCATCGCCATATGCCGACAGGTGGGATGATCTCTGTCGCACACTGGACCGGAAAGTGTCCAAGAAGCAACGCATTCGCTTGAAGTCCGCCGCCATGGCTCTGCCTTACAATCGACCCAACGCCCCAGCCATCTTCTTTCGAGATCCGGAATACCTCGCCAACATCGGTCTCACACGCCTCACGGCGCTCGAATACTTTTCGCATTCATCTTTCTTCGACAAGAGATGCACCAACGAGGTGCTGCGCATGCAGAATCTGGCCAGGCTGGGCGCGAACGCAGCGCGAAGAGACCCCAAAGAGCTTCAAATTGAGTTGAGAAAGTTCAGAGGTATCGAGTTTGTTCTAGCTGAGTCTTTGGATGGAGCGGAGTCAAGTACAGGAGGGGCGGTATCACTGAATGCGGGTCCGCAATCTGGTTCGACGGCCTCGGACCTTTTCATCGTTCACAAACGCTTAAGAGAGGGATCAGAGGACAGCCAAGTCAAGCTTCTGCAGGTCTACTTCATCCTCGGCGGAGACATCATGCGAGCACCAGATCTATATCGTCTGGTTGGTGGAAGACTGGTGAGTGTCAGCAGCATTTTGCAACCTTGCGGTCGCTTTCTCAGACGGGGACTGCGAGACAGACCTTCGCTCATTGTCCTTGACCATCACATCGCGCTCACTCGGCACGCCGCGACGCTCTACCAAAGCTCTCCGCTCTGACCTCGATTCAAAGCTCGTTGAAGACCGCATACACTGCTCTGCCTCCCTTTGATCCAATTCGGGGCGTAAGCTGGCAACTGGCGCCACCGCGAGATGAAACGGGCGCGGAGAGCGAAGACTCGGATGATGACGGCTTGCGTGCAGGAGGAACGCGTAGGCAGAGCGGGCAAGGATCCTCAGATATTTCGTCGAGCCCCGAGTCCGAAAGCTCAGACGATGAAATGGAGGAGAGGGGCGCACGAGATGCTCAAGATAGTCAGGTCGTCAAGCAAGAAGGCCGTGAAGGTAGCTCAGGGATGATTGTCGAAGCATATAGGGGAGCGAAGGAGCAGGCGAGCGGCGAAGTCGCGAGGAAGAGCTCATCGCCACCCAAGGGCGGCCCACGGCGGTCGTCCAGATCTGCCACAGCAGCGGCGCAAGATGCAGAGTCGGACGCAATGGAAGCTGAAGATGAGACTTCCACGACGGCATCTGCGGGAATAGCGGGCAGGAGACAAAGCACGAGGAGCGCGGGAAAGCGCAAGCGTTGACCCGCAGAGCCCCTGCTCGGCACTTGCACACACCTCGGCTCTTCGGCCACTTCATGTGTATTTTAGCTCGCTTCAATTGCGAATGGTCAATTTGATGCATCGGTTCATCAGGCCTCTTGGTCCAAGCCGGGGCCTTGAGGTCAGACGCAACGTTGCCCTGAGATCATCCCTCATTCAGATCCACGATGCAATGGGAGAAACGAACGTGTTCAGTGTGCACTAAGAGCTCGATAAGGGGAAGCACGAGGGATAGCAAGAATGTCAATGAAAACCGAGGGCGACATATCTGTGTGCGGACAAGATTGTGATGTATTGGATCGAGTGAATGGATGTGAGAGCGGCATCTTTGAAAGAAAGGCAAATTACGAGTCATCATCTAGCCAAAAATGGACAATGAATCAGGCGAGGGCGGAATCGCGAGAATTTTATAGAAAAGTCGAGACAGGAATGCGGGCTCGGCGGGCCTCGACGAGGCAGAGCCTCTTTCTTCTTGTCGGACAGGAAGTGCGCTCTTTGCCTAGCGCGCATAGCCCACCTGGGGTTCAGGCGCGGCTCCACTCTTGCCGTGGCGCGATCCCTTCGACTTGCCTAGACGACCAAAGATGGAGCCTTGACGCCCAAGGTTCCCAGTCGAAGGCTGGATCTCTCCTCCTGGCGCCTCGGGCGCAGACCCGTAAGCTTCGATCTCTATGTTGGGTGTGCCTGCGGGGCTAACCGAAGAGCTGCTGCCACCCTCGGGATTGTCGTAAGCTCCACGAGGCCTCAATGTGCCTTGTCGACCAAGGTTGCTTGCTTGGCGTTGCGTCGAGGCGCCATACCCTCCCATGTAGCTTGTCCCATCCGCGCCCATGGGAGGCGTCGATGGCGAATGACGATGGGCAGCCCCAGCTCCTCTTCGAGAATTGCCACGGCCCATGGCAGCCAGCTCGACGTCCGATGCATCCGGTGGTGGGACATTAGGATTCTCTGCAGCAGCGCGAGGGTGGCGAGCATGTCAAAGGGATGTGCGACGCTCGGAACCTGCGCCCGTGCTCTGCGCACCACGTCTTGGATGCCTCCCGCAAAGGCGTGCGCCTTGGCTGATTTCACTCACGACGTGCGCTCTTGACGCGCTTGAGGAGGCTCTTGCTTCGTTTCGGAGCCTCAGACCCACCAACTTTGCTCCAGTCGCGCTCAGGGAAGGGACTGACGCCAGCGTGATCGACACCTGCGGGACTACCATCGTCATTGAGATCACCGGGCTTGCGACCAGACATGACTGCTTCCATGTCGTACACAGAGCTTGCACGGCTGCTTGTACCGCTCGGAACGGCCAGGCCAGAAGAATTCTTGCTAGACTTCGCCTGTCTCTCCTTCGCGGCTGGGGAAGCGAAGTCTTGCCATGGCTCGCTGGCTACACCCCAAATCTCAGCGTGGGGGTTGGCTGCGTCGCTATGAGTGTCGTGCGATTGATCTCCCCAAGCACTGCTTGGCGCATCAGAGGGGCGTCTTGAGCCGCTCGGGATGCTTTCGGCTGTAGGCGTGCTGGCATTATTGCCACCCGCGTACAAAGCCGGTACCACGCGTGTGTCGTGATCATTGAAGCTGTCGTTCTGACTGAGCTTTCGAAGAGTGCCTTGAGCGAATTCAGAAAGGTTGCCTTGCTTCCCGTTGGCGTTGGGACGCGAAGAAGCTGCCTGACCCCCGCCCCGAACCACTGGTTTGCCAGTAACAGGGTCAATGTTTGGATCAAAAGCGCCAACAGGTGCCCTACGAGCATGACGGTTGGCATGCGGGGTGCAAGCGTCGTAGGGGCTGTCGTGATGGAACACTATGGACGGATTAGGATGAGAAGCAAATTCAGTCGACAGATCACCAGGAGATGACTCCAACGCTCAGAATGCCGTGCGTATGTTGCATGCTCTTCAGCGGATGGCACTCACAGCTAGCTCCATACAGACCGGTGGAATCCAAGCGATCAATGACGTCCATGCGGGAAGACTTGCTCTCGTGCTTGCTCATCTCTTCGCGCATGCGCTTCTCTTTCTCACGGCGCTTTGCCTCCTTCTCCTCGGTGGTTTGGCGCCTGAAGGCGTTCGCAAATCTCGCTCCCATGCCTCCGCTTTTAGGTGGAGCTGTGGGCGGGGCAGAAGCCAAAGGATCGTAGCTGTCCTTGGTAGGAACCCCGGGAGGGGCAGATGCGGTCGTCATTGGTGAAGCTCCAGCGTAATAAGCGCCACTGCCGTCAGCAGCTCGTGCGTGGGTAGATGCTGGGTCGCTGTTGTCGACAGTGACCACGTCAGATAGCGCTGCAAGCACAGCTGCGTGCTGTTGTCTTTCTGATCCGGTAGCAGCTAGTGAAGGTTGGGACAAGAACAGGTAAGCTGTCGGGGTTTAGCTGAACGGGCAATGGTGATTCGAAGGCAAAGTGTCCGTGCAATGCAATTCCAATCTGAATCGGTCCACGTGAATCACCTGACGAGCCATGCGACAATTCGAAACAACTTGGCCAACCGAAGGATCGCACGTGTGCCAGGTGTTACCACTGAATGAAAGGTAGCGGTTCCAAATGTGGTGGCGCAGACGGATCGGCGCCCACGTTCTCACGAATCGCGCAGCAGATATTGGCCAAGATAAGGGATGCGTGTTGCCTTCTCTCTAGTGCGAGATCGACTCAGCAGTACTGCTCCTCGTCTCAGCAAGAAATCCACACTGCGCACTCGCAGTGCCTCTGATTGGACTTTCGTAAGAACACTTTTACCCTCGTGGCAACCCTCTTGGTTCATAGTGCGAATGAACATTGCCCGGACTGAACGGCCAAGGCCAAAGCGATTTTGGTAAGAGCATACTACTCACCCATGTTCGCGAAGGCTCAGTCCTGTAGGGTTGCCAAGAGTTCGGTGCCAAGAGCACGCGGACTAGCAAGGTCTTTCCTTTGATTGGTGGTGGCTGCGGGCCTGCCCTCTTGGCAGGTCTTATATTCAGCGGGGGAGGTTTCGAGGGCAGCGATGAGCTGTGTGCACAACGAAGGCACGACGTGATGGTTGTGATGGTGGAAGAGGGATGTCTGATTCAAGTGAAGCGTGGCAGTTGATTGCATGGACGGATGTGCAAGGATGTGCAACGCCAGCTAGCTTCGAAATGAGCTTGGCCTGTCCGCGCCATACGCGCGCGGGAGCAGCAGCTGCCAGCCAGCATCAGCAGCCATGCATCAAGCTTGCAAGCGCGCGCTGTATACCGGCCACTGCACCTGCCTATATGCTGTATGGATGGTACCGCGGCGGTGGCTATATAAGTTACATGCGCGCAGTGCATGCTGTGTTGCAGCGCAGACGAATTCACTCAGACTCTAGCACGCGGCGTTGGGCAAATGGCCCATGCACTTAAATTCTGCACATCCGGTCTTTGTAAGTGGCAAATCATGCTGGTAATGTGCCCGGCGGAGACTCAGTTCGATTACTACTGATCCATCGTGACTGGTGCGGTGCACTCCTACGCGCGGCGGGCTCTTACTCTTGCTCTTTGATTCAAAATTGGGAAGCGGGTCAAGAATAGTTGATCGTGACTCTGACTGATGCTTATATGTCCATCTAGCTTGTAGTCTGGACAAGCCATGAGCATGGGCCATATGAGCAGTGTGCATGCAGAGTCGCGCAGCCTCGCATGTGATGCAAACATTTGATTCAAAATTAGGCTCTCGATCAAGGCTATTTGTATACAGAAGTCCCATGCAAGTTCGACTGGTGATTATAGAGTCAGTAGGGGATGCACACGGAGCTCCTGCCGGCACACTCCAGCAGGCAGGACTCCTATGACCCTCCAACGCGATTCAAATGGATGAGTCTGTAACGTCCGCCGCATGTCCTCAGGTGCTTACTCTCGATTCGACTCTTGCGACTCTTCATCTCGTGAACAGCTATAGGCGCCATGCATGCATGTCTGGGTCGGAGTGAAATGTAACCGAGTCCAGTCAAATTCAAGTCTGCCAAGGCCGCACCTTTGAAGATATCAAATGACGGCTCAAAAAGGGTGAGTCTTAATCACGAATGCCATGATAAAGGCAGCCGGCCAGCCTTTGCTTTGACTCGCGACGACGACTCTTCTTAGCATCCAAAAAAGTCAAGAGCGTTGAGGGCAAGCCGTTGAGAAGCGCTGCATGTAGACCGCTCAAAGCAGAACATAGCTCAGCATCCACGAATCAAGGAGCGTTGACTAGGACTCCGGCACCGCACCAGTGGAAGAGTCTGCTACCAGTGTCCGTTACTATTACTACTACACATACGATTCGCGATCAAAAAGCTTGGAGACAAGAGGTGCACCATGCAGCATCGTTGCCCACCATTCACGACGCAGGATTCGTGATTGGAGCGCAGAAATGAGCACGCGCTAAAGCAAGCAAGCGGTAGGCCCCTCTGCACCTCCCGCGTAGCGTCCAGCAGCTGATGGTGAGATGGTCCTGCAAGGTCCTGCAAGACTAGCTGCTCCATTGCCTGGCGCAAGCTCGGGGCCAGCAGCGGGCGCCTCAAAGAAGCAGTCGTTGCTGCTTAGATTCCTCGTTAAGAGTGGTCACTCGCTATGCGCAGTCGAGAGTGAGTATGCTCGACCCCGCTCCACATGCCGGCGTCTTGAAGCGCGGGGAAGGTGCAGCTTCTTCGTGTCGACGCAAGAAAGCCAGAAGAATAAGACAGTCGTGAGTCACTTGTTTACCGGTGCTTGGTCATGACTGATAGGTCTGCGCAACTTCACGCTGCGGTCGAGGCGTGTTCAGTTGGGAGTGGACTGATGGGAAGTCGGCAGCTCCAACGACCAACTCACAGTTGTTCTCTATAAGTCACAGTTGGAGCGAGGGGCACAGCCAATCGTTTGAGAGGGGGGCCAGTCACTCACTCGACGAGAGCACAGGCTCGACTTCGACTTGCGCTGTGTGTCAAAGGACAGTGATTGGCTGTTATTTCGTGCTCGCAATCACAATGGCCTCACGTTCTTCACGCACACAGCGGTGTGAGTAATTGATAAATTGTCATTTGAGAAGGGAAACGGCTGTAGTAAGGTCTGCCAACAGCTGAGACAGGACAATGAACGGTGGCTAAAATTGGATTGCGAAGGGCAACTTCAAAATCTTTGGCCCAACGGTTTTGATGATGACAACGGCCGCTTTCATAGCTTCATTGCTTTAGGCACGGTACTCATTCTGAGGAGAAGACGGCAACTTCGGGGTAATCGGCAGTGCAGTAGCCCTTCGCACGCAAGAAAGCAAGTCATGTCAGCTCTCAACATTGGGGCAGGCAATGCATTCGGCACGACCGTGTAAAAACGCACCTGAGTCCACTCATCGCATTGGCGGCCTAGCTGAGGCTGAACCGCCTGAACCTTCAGGTTCAGTGCTGCGGAACGAGTGTCCGAGAGCCAAACCCCGGTGGGCTCCTTACGACCACAGCTGGCCGAAATGATGCCCTTGGCGGCGTCGATGATGTGGCACTTTGGGCGGAAGACGACGTCTCGCAAAGCGGGGATGCCCTCGCACGTTGTGGCCCAGTAATCGCAGATGTCGTTGACCGAAGCTGATGGTTTCTTGCTCTCACTGAACGCGCGGATCCACTCAAATACTGAAAGCGAAACGAGCGTTGCGGGTCAGCTGCTGAATGCGATCAGCGTCTGCTGCAAACCTGACTTACGGTGCATGTCGCAATACTGTCTGTCGGGCGGATTACCGGCGCACTGATCCTTCACGGTGGGAAAGTTTGAATCGTCTTTGACGTTGCGGTAGTCTCGAACAATGATGGCAGGAATGGTGACCTTGCCATCCTGCTGGAGGAGATTTGAAACCCGGCCAACATCTCCAGTAACGCCGTATACGACGTCACCAGTTTCACCACGAGTAGTGCAACTGGCGATGATGGTATTGTCGTCGGTCCATCTGGAGCACGTAGAATCGCTGTCCGTCAGGGTGTTACCGTCACGGCGTGAGCACGTGAGCTCGAAGGCATCGCAAGCTTCCTGAGACGAGCTGACTCCGCTAGCTTTCAGATTGAAGACGACCTGCTGACACTGTCCTCGCAGGCAGTCCGAGCCCCAGGTAGGGAGTCTCGCACCGGTCACCTCTTCTTCTGGCACCAAACCTGCTTCACCGCGCTGGGGAGCCGGACTGGCCAGAACGACAGTGCTCGAGGTGAGGACAGTCAGGGCGAGGACGACAGCGCCCGTGAGGAGCACACTTGCGCGAATCATTGCGAAGATTGACGGGAAAGCGGAGAGGCGTGTGAGGGTGAAGGACGGAGGGGGGAGATGCGATGGAAGCAGAAGGGAGGTACTCTGATGGAAGTCGAAGGAATCCAAGGCAGGCCAAGGCTACGATTTATGCAAGGGTCAAACGCTCGCAATTCAGCGCTCCAAGTCTGGACCTCTGAGGAGACGGAAAGAGCAGATTCAATCGGCTACTGCAGTTGCCCGGCGAACACCTTCTCGGGCCATTCGAAGTCGAGTCAAGCGATCGACCTTCCAGTAACAAAGAACTTGTGGCGTAGTCTTCATTCGGATTGATTAGTATTGAGTCGCTAGCTTTGCCGGGCCGCGCCGGGAGTCTGCTCGCGCTCTTCTTTATTTTGGCACCACACTTCACAGCTGAAGAGCACACGAGACACCGGTGCCGTTAAGTGGACGAATGGATTGCAGCAGGTCAGGACTACCGGCAGCGAAAAGCTATACTGGTGAAAATTGAATGGTGCTGTGTTGCACGCCTGGCTGCGCCTCACGCCCTGTACCGTCCTGCACCGTGGGCAAAGGATCAATCACGAGTGCTGAACGGCCATAGAGATAATTCTGTTTTCATGTCCGTCGTTGCTGTCCCTCGGCTGAGGGCTTCGTGCGCCGAAAAATCAATTCAAGAGTCCATCTGTGGGACCACACTGCCCTTGCGGCGGTCCGCACATCCCATGAAACAGCACCGGATTCGCACCCAGAAAGCACACACGCTTGTCTCCTCCCTGTGGCGACGGCCAGAGGCTATGCTTCCTTTTCGGCCCGTCACATTCCGATACTGGTGCAAGTCTTCATTCTCCGTGGAGACGCCCAATTACGATTGCTCAGCGATGTTGGAAAGTTCGGATGATCAGCTGCGAGTCGAACAGAGCGCCTCATGATGAAGCCGAATGAATGCGAATGAAGGCGCTGGCGTACGAGACGCTGCTATCTCGGGCGGTCAGACACTGAGAACTTTGCTGATACGGACACGCAAGACCGGGGGAGAAGATTTAGGTTCCGCGGGATCAATTTCGAGTCGATCCCGGCAGATACGGTACGCTGGACTGAGCTCACCTCGTATCGCGTGAAACGACACTCCGAGGAGTGTCCCCTCCTCTGTAGCTCTTCAAGTGCAGCTAACAGCACGCCAATAGGATGCCTCCCGCATATTGTGTTGTGGTGGGCCTCCAGATAATCATTCCAAACGTTCCTAGCCTCGCTGGCAGATTTCGCATCCGGGACGACTTCGCGCTGAGTCGATGTGTCGCTTTCATTGGAGCCGACGAACGGTGCCGGGCTTGGAAAGGAAATGCAGGACATTCCCTCGGCATCAAGTGCCCGAATGGACATATGGATGGGCGTAGTGGTAGCGAGGGTAGATGAGCTTCGCAATTGCGTGGGCGCTGCCGGAGGAGCGTGGTAGTGGGTGTAGCGAAAGCGCGAGCCCCTGCGTGATGTGGTGAACGTGGATAAGCGCCAGACCTCGTCAGCAAGAAGCACCGGGAGCTTATGAATGAGACATTCACTGACCAGTGACAAAAGTCCGAGCTGACGACGACAAAAGTCTCAGGATCAGCGAGATATGGCGCGAGGAGTCTACCGTACTTAGTCTCGGCGTCGAAATCCGTAGATCCCACCAGAATCGGCACGATCTTGATGTCTGCCCTGTTGAGTGACCGCAAGGAAGGCAAGAGGTCAAGGCCAGTCTTAATGAGTTTAGGGGAGAGCATTCCAATCTTGAGATGATACATTGCTCTGCTCTCCATACCTCACTCACTGTTGCCAAATTTTGCGCACGTACGGCAAATGCATCTCGATGCTGTGCTCGTCCTCGTCGGTCGAAAGAGACATGTCTTCAAACTCTCCCGTCCCCCGCAATTCACCAATGGCTAGACAAATCGATTTGTGTCAGCGTGGTGCGACCTCGCAGCACAGGTGCAAGTCATGTCAGTACGTGACTCACTATCGAGGTCCAAAGGTAGGTCACCTATGGGGGTCGCGTACTTTTGACATTTGCTTAGAGCGCAGCCCGACAAGTAGTGGTGATGGGAGGGTCCAAGGATGAAGATGCGCTTGCTGATGTGGGGCGTCAGATGCGTGGCTCAATCTCAGGTTCGCGTGAAGACTTCGAAGCGAGGATGACTCACTGCTTCTCGGGATTGATGGTAGCATACGCCCAAGCAGCGGCTGGTCCAGAGTACGAGTAACCAGCATGTCTGCAGCGAGAATGCAAGGCTCTTGAGCTGCTGCGACTGGGGCGCGATTCACCTTGCTTCGTGTTGCGGTGTTCATATTGCAACTGAAGCATACGTCTATATCTGATACTCACGGTGCTATCACAGCTCTGCAGCCATCCACCGGCAAGCTCAACTTCTCTGCATCGCCCCCAGCTTGTTGTGTCCTCTTGTAGCCAAGCTGACCATCCACGTCCACATCCGCAGCACTGACTCCTCTCGGAGGGATCTCGGATGGTTTCACAGCTTGTAGCCAGCCGTTGAGCGAGCTGTCAAGTTGAGACCTGCTGGATGTGTACCAAGAACCAGCGTGCGTTGCCTGGCGGGTAGTCATGTCAGCGCGTGCGAGGTGTATGTATGCTACCTGGTAGCGTTGGTAACCACGACTGGAAAGGAGATGGATGCGGAGGGCGATTGATCTTGCGCTATAGCTCAGGCAAAAGGCGAAACTCGTACAGAGAGCCGTCTCAGAGGTGGTGAGGTGTGTTCTGAAGGTAAGCACTCTCGACTGGAGTAAGCTCAGCTAGCGAAGCCGCGAGGTCTGGACGCCATGCATGCACAAGGTCAGAGATTGCGGATGGCGCAGACACGCTAAGCTGCGAACGGGCCTCCACTTCGCCATAAGTAGCCCGCCCAGCTCCAGCCGCGGCTGGCCAAAGCAAAATACAGTAGTTCACATCTGCACACGACACTGAAGTCCCGCGATTCGGCATTCGTGACCGAAATCCCTTGGACCGTTCACAAATGGCAGGTGGCCCGCCCACACCGCATGGCGGTTGTGCTCACTAATTGAGGGTTTGAGTGTCAAGGCGGCTGGTTGTGACGAGACACGCATGCATTGGTCGAGTGCAATTTGCTTGATGTGGCACCTGGCTAGGGATTTGTCATTAGAATACAAAAAAGGCATGCACATCGCGACCTCCCAATTTCAGAGCTTGGATGGGTCGAGACCAACAGTCTTGATAGCTTGGCGAACACCCTGGCACACATCCAGCAGAAAATCACAAGTCAATGCTGGGTTCTCAAGACCAAGAACATCGCAGGGAATCGAGCACTCACAGCATCAAGCATGACGGCTACACTGCCTCCAGGCGTTGCAAGCCCGTTCACCTCGCGGTAGATGCGCTCAATACGAGCTGCAATCCCTCCCTTAGTCAGACCTGTACCTCCCATCAAGTAGCCAGCCTCTCGCGCGATGTCAGAGACGACAATGGCCGCGTGAGCTGTGCGATGAAGTTGACGAGAAGCAAAGTCATGAGGATCGACTCCGTTCAGGCTGACAAGAACATCTCAATGACTTACCCTTGAGCAGTGCTGTGTTGCCTCCCAGCAGCTACGAGTCGTGGAGACGTGGCGTCAGGAAAGCACGACCTGACGGGATGTTTGTAGGGAAGGGGACTCACAATATTGGCTTGATTGGTGGTCATCTTCGAGTGCTGGTATACGATTGCTTCCATCCACGCTTGCAGAGCTTCCGTTTGGCGTGCCATGTTCGCCAAATTGTAGCGGACGACCGGCTGCAGCGTGGAGCAGAGTGTGAGAGAGGGCATCAAAGAGACATTCAAGTCATACCTGGATTCTCACCTGCTCAATCAGCTTTTTGCCGAATACTTGCCGCCTGTTGGCGTGATTAGTAGCGTCCTCAATACTGAATGATGCCAAAAGATTGCTCCTGAAATGTCAGCCGCTGCGCATCCAATGAAGGGCCAGGCCATGCTCCTCACCAGACTATAGCACAGAGCAGGAGAATCGTCGATGGTAAGCGGTGTGACGCTGCATAGCAAATGCACTGCCGGGCTTACCTCTGCAGAAACGAAGCGCGACGTAGATCTGGCCCATCAAAAAAGACACTTGATCAGCGTCAGCGATCAGCAGTGAGGCGACTACGCCTGCTCACTATCGTCTCTCGCTCGTGCAGGAAGTTCCACATCTGCAGAATGGGAGCGAACGCGGGTGCAGGCGCGGGTTTAGGACGTCACTGGTCTCGTCACATAAGCCACAGCCGCACGGACTCACAATGTACTTGAAAGCTTCTCCTTCCTTTCCAATCAGATTTTCGGCAGGAACTTTGACCTCGTCGAATTCGACGAAGGTGGTTCCTGATCCAGCGCTCTGCATCTTCATCTTGGTCGTTCGCACGCCCTCAGAGCGGGGGATGACGAGGAACGAGATGCCTTTTTGATCTCCAGGTTTGCCTGACGTGCGCACTGCCGTTGTAAAGAAGTCACTCCAGATGCCGTTCGTGATCTGTTGAGAAGATGCCCTCAGCAGTTGCACATCCCGCCCTGCAATGAGAAGATCAACTCACCCACTGATCGCGTCCACAGTGGCGCGCAAAGGAGTCACTGGTGCTGTCAGTCATTTGTCTGGTCTACTTAAAATGACATCATGATGCAACTGACCTTCTTGAGTCCCGTGACAACATAATGCTTGCCATCATCGGAGAGCTTGGCAACGGTACTGACACCTGCGACATCACTGCCGGCGCTGGGCTCTGTGATGGCAAGCGAGATTCTCTTCTTGCCGGTGAGGATGTCGGGCAACAGACGCTTCTGCAAGCCCTCCGAAGCGAAGTGCACAATAGGCCCTGCACCATATGCCAGGCCACCATAGTTTCCCATGACCACGCCGTTGGATGCAGTGCGTGCCAGCTCATCGATCAGGATAAAGTCATGGAAGTTGTCCCATTCGCCAGGGGGTACTCCGCCCGGCAGCTTTTGCCCGCCGGCCATGTCGACGAACTTCTGAGGGACGCGCACTCCAAGAGCAAATGGCAGCAGGAAGCCCTCCTTCGCGAAGAGCTGAAAAACCTTCGCCAGCTCGGCGTCATCCTCGACTAAGAGAAGAGGAGAACGAGCACGGCAGCTAGCGTGAGCGTAATGGACGCCAGCAGCGTGACAGTCGCCCTCAACACTCACTCTCCTCCCACTCGTCAGCGAGCTCCATCAGATTGTCATCCACCCACTTCTTGAGCCACTCTCTGAAGCGATAGTGGGTCTCCTTGTAGTAAGGGCTTGGAAGACCTTGCTGCCAAGGCGCCTCTGCGAATGGCGTCTTGGAGCGGGTGAGGAGCTTTGCATGAGGGCTCGCCATTATGAATGTACTTGCTTGCTGGCTGAGCTGATGAAGCGCGCGAATGCTAGAGTGCTTGAATCACGACAAGTGAATGGAGGCGCGTAGTAGAGATTCGCGATTGTCCATGAAGAGCGGATCCTCTGAGGTGATTCTACCCACTTATTTGAGGTCGCTGAGAGAGCACAACACGCATACAACCGGGCTCGGCTCAACTTGACCGGACGCGGGGAAGCGTAGCGCACAGATCCCTCACCACATGCCGGTGCACGGCGCACAGGAAGCCGGCACTTGAAAACCGGTCACGTGAGAACAAAGAGGCCTCTACAACTTCCCTCTCTCTCTCTTTCAACGATTTGCCTCTCAGCCGGACGATCAGAAGAGCGGGTCACCGTCCACGCTTCGAGAGTATCACGCCTCTTAAACCATCGCTCGATTTTGATCTCAAGGATTGCTCAAAATTGCTTGTGGTGTCTTAGCTAATCATGTTGACGGTTGTTGATTTCGACTGTAGCTGGACAGGTCACGTGCACTCGGCTTGGGGAACAGCGAGAGCGCGCGTGCGGCGGGCGCCCGCATGCGCGCGGGTCGAATTTGTTGTCTTGCGTGCTGTAGTCGCGAGCCTGATGAGTATGGACCGATGGAAGCGCCATCAGGTCTCGCGCCATCCATCTTCGTGCCGATGTTGATTGTGACTCCCCTTTCTTGCGTCTCCTCCTGCGACTCCTATCGGCTTGGACGTGGGCAAGTGCTCGCATCGCCTCAACACTGCATGTTGCAGTGAAGGGCGCTTGGGTAGCAATTTGGTGATCCAGCTCGCCCACACTTGGTGCTTGCTCAGCAACACGTCGCGACACACCCAAGTCGCGTCGCGGTGTTCAGGATCACAGGTCAGCTGGCGATAGCTGTGCCACATCCCATCGCACATCCACACGCGTTTCTGGCGGCGACGGGATCATGCTGCCATCAGGGATAAATGGGCTTGACCCTGCGCTGCTTGCCCAGTTGGGCTTGGCTCCTCAGCAAGGTGGTCAGCAAGGCCAAGGTCAACAGCAATCCCTGTACGGTCTGGGGCAACCGCAAATGCCGCAAGGATCCAATCAGATGATCGGAAATGCTCAATTTGGTTTGGGTGACATGGGCTTTGGTAGTGTGGGGAGCTTTGGTCAGACGATGAATCCTCAGCAGCAGCAGCAGCAGCAACAGCAAAACCAACCACCACCACCGCAACAACAACAACAACAACAACAACAACAGCAGCAGCAGCAGCAGAATCAATTTCAGCAGTTCCAGCCGCAATTCAACCAATTTGGCGCGCTCACGAATCCTGCGGGAGGCATCGGGATGTCCAACGCTACGCTGTCAAACCTTGCGAACATGTTTGGTCAATCCTCGCAGGGCCAAAATTACATGCAGCAGCAGCAGCAGCAGCAGCAGCAGCCACAACCACAACCCCAACAACAGCCCCAGCAGCAGCAGTTCCAAGCAAATCAGCAGCGGCCTGCATCCGCGCAAGGCCAGCAACAAGGCGGACAGACTGGTCAGTCTCAGCCCTATGGTCAAGCTCAGCCTCAGGGACCCCGACCAAACGTGCCTCAGGGGATCAGCAACCCTTATCAATCTTTACAGGTGAGCAGGTCTCGCGGGCGTCTCGCATCGAACTCTGCAGACTTCGTCCCATTCGTCGTATCTGAATTCTTTCATCCTCTCCTCTCGGCAGGCTCTACAAAGCTCCATGCAGACCCTTCAGCGCCAATGGCAAACGGTCGCTGGACATCCCGACTCCCCACAGAAACAAAATGCGCAGCAACAGCTAGCAACGCAGATCAAAAGGATCAAAGCGACTCAGGCCGGGGTCCTACAAATGTTACAGAACAGCGGACAAGCGGGTCAGCTATCAAATTTGAGCCAGCAAATGCAGGTGGCGCAACAGGGCTCCTCCATGCCCACTCAGCAGCAGCAGCAGCAGCAAGCACCCCCACCGCACCTACAGCATCAGCAAGGAGCACAGCAAGGCCAGACGCAGCCTCAACAACAACAGCAACAGCAACAGCAGTCATTTACGCAGCAGCCTCAACAAGCTGGAACCTCTTCGCAGCCGGGACAAGGGCCGCCGGTGGGAGATGGCGCGCACCAGGACCAGCTTGCGGCATTGCAAGCGTTTGCGCAGCGCCAAAGGAATGCTCAGCATCCAGGTCAGCCACGCTCGGGCACACCGCAACAAGGCTTTTCTGGTGCAGCCCCTTCTCAAGGCGTTTCCGGCAACCAACAGCAAAGTCAAGGTGTACAGGGACTTGGCGCAGGACCGTCTGGCGGAGCGGCTGCTGCGGGACCTCAGCCACCCAGAGACTTTCTGGGCACGGTGCGGGCGTTCATGTCGTCGAAGGGAACGCCTTTACCACAGAACATGTCGATGACGTTCGTCGGGCCATCGCTAAATTCGAGCGAATCAACACGAAGCGTAGATCTGCAAAACCTGTTTGCGTCCATCGTGGGACTTGGGGGCTCGGCAAGAATCGGGACCGTTCCAAACGGCTGGGCTCTTGCAGCCCAGCGCTTGAACCTTGCCACGCATGTCTCGCACTCGACGGGCATGGCAAATTTGAGCGCAGCAGATATCGCACAAGGTGTGCCACCACCCAATCAAGTGGCAGATCGTCTGATGAGCTTCTACAAAGATCGCCTCGGTAGTTTCGAGGAGTTCTGGATGCAACGGATGCGTGGTGCGAGTGGACAAGCGCAAGCTCAGACTCAGGCCAATCAGCAGACCGGGCCCGCTGGGGGTCAGCAGCAGCTGCCCTTGCACCAATTACAGCAGCAGCAGCAGCAGCACCTAAAGCCTCCCAATGGACAGTCGATCGTGCAGCCACCATCTGATAATACTACATCTCAACAGCCGGCAGGCCAGGCTCCGGATAGTGCTAGCGCACCTCTGCAAAATGTCACTATGGCTCAGGCGTCTGCGATGGTAGCTGCTCTCCCCGGACACATGCAACAGCTTTCGGCCATGGTCCAAGCTCAGCGCATCACGCCGGAACAGGCCAGGCAGAGGGCCGCGCAGCTTCAAGCCGCGAGCCAGCGCGCGGTCCAGCTAGCACAGGAGGGACAAGCTCGTCAAAATCAGGCCCACGCACAACACCCCTCGAGCACACCGCAGCAGCCTCCGCAATCCGCTCCGTCTGGTCAGGCTATTCAGCAGCACCCGCAGCAACCACAACAGCAAGGCCCGCCGCAGGCACAGATCATGCAGCCGCCGCCAACGCCGCAGAATGCTGCGTTCGAGCAACAAGCTCAGCTGCAGCGTCCGCAGGAAACAGTACCCACTGCACCCCAAGGCGGACAAGCAGAGGCGAACAAGACCAAAGCAGAGAGCAAGCGCCCGGCGAAAAAGCCACGCAAGTCCACCGCTTCTGTTGAATTGGGTCCGTCCGGAGAGGGTTCAGCTCCTCCGACCGCGCCAAACGAGTCCGGAGCGCCCGGCGCTCAGACCTCCTCTGGTATTCCAAGCGACGCTGCTGCTCAACAAGCACTACTTACCCACCAAATCCAGCAAGCGCACGCAGCAATGCAGGCGCTACAGCGCGGAAATTTGAGCAAGCAACAGCAGCAAGGGGCTCTCGCAGCGATCAAGACCGCATTTCCAAAGCTGGATCCACCTACACAGGCTCGTGCGATGTCCATCGCGCAGACAGTGACCAGTCAAATTACCACTCCCCCTGATGCCGACAAGTCTGAAGGAGGCGCACCCGCAAGCGCTAGTGCCGGGCCAGATGTACCGCCGTCGTCTCTCGCTGACGCTGTCCGACAGCAGCAGGCGAAGCAGGCAGCTACAGGTGGTCCTCAGCTGGCACCAGGGCTCGGTAGCGCTGCCGCCGCAGCTCTAGCCGAAGTGCCACTCTCTGCTGCAGACGTCAGCAATCAACGTCCCTTCTACAAAATCGAGTATATGCCTATTAGACGGGATCTCAAGAGCTTCGGTGGATGGGATCTGGACCACATACAAGACGCGATCGGAACGCAGCTCGAGGGTAGAGGCAAAGTACCGAGGCATGTACGCGAACTAGGTGAGTTGAGATCGGCAGCTTGCTTTGCCGGGGCTTTGAGCTTCAAGCAAAGGCTCCAACTGACCTTGCCTTCCATCTGCAGGTCACGTCGATGTAGGCGGCCTGACGATGTCACTGCGCAGCCGCCTGGAGATTGAAGTGGCCTATGCTTTGAATGCACTGCGCATTCTGTCGTCCGGGAGCGGATCATCCTCGCAGGTGGATTTCATCTTTCCGCTAGGCTCATGCGACGATCTCCTCGACGAGCTTGTGGAGCTGCTGGAGGATTCTGTGCTCGGCCGCAGCGATGAAGAGCTAGAGCTCCTCGCCGAGCGGCCCCGAGACGACACTCTGTCTCTAGCGTCAGATCGACCTACCTCTCCTGGTCTTTCCCACCGCGAGTGGATTGACGCTGTGTTGGAGGAACAGCAAGAGAATCAAGTCTGGCGCCGCAAGCGCTTGCGAGGAGCGACAATAAGCTCTGGCGATGCCAATACGTTCCGCCTAGACGACCACTCCGACAGTGATGAGGAAGTACTTGCCGTTGAAGAAGACGCAGACGGACTATTAGACCTGCGTGATTTTGCACAAGACGCCGATGCTCGAAGCGCCAATGAACGGCGTGCGAATCATTTTGCAGCTACCTCGATTGCCGTCTTGGAGATTCTTCGCAATCTTGCGATGATGACCGAGAACAATGTCGTCATCGCCGAGCATCCACGAGCACTCAGTCTGCTTGCGCGCATCTGCTCTCTGACAGATGCTGAAGTCAAGAGGCGCTTCCGTCAGCGCTTGCAAGAAGTCTCACATGAAGACGAGGAAGAAGAAATCGAAGAAGTTCGGACAGTTTTGACCCTCACTGAGGCATTGCGAGTGCGGAAGGACATTCTTGAGATTATTGCAACACTCGCCTGTGATCACATTCGTCTCGCCAGCTTAGGTCCCTCCGCATCACTGGCCCTATTCGAGCTGATCGCAGGCTTCATAGTCGATGCTGGGGACATTGAAGAGAAGTCTGGAGGCGTCTACGATCAACACTCGTCCACTCAGCCAGTCGCTAGGAAAGTGCCTCAACACGCCGACATCGCCCTAGAGGCCTTCTCGCGCTTTGCTCAACCAGACGAGAATAGGGAAGTTCTGAGCGCTTTGCTTTCCTCTTCGAGGGTTCTGCAATTCACTCAAGTTCTCGTCAAGCTGCTACCAGTGTCGGATCTGGATTTTCAACTAATGAGGACAGAACCGCGTCTAGCATACAACGAGAGGCTGGCCATGAGTCTCTACAACATGTGCTTCTTAGCACCACCAAAAGTCAAGAGCGTGCTCCGAAGCACGCCCGGCGTCATCAAGGTGTTGTTCCGTGTCATCAATCGACTGGCTTACATCAGCACCGACTTCAGCATGAACCCCTTTGGCACCCTCATCGCAAGGCTTGTGGAAGCGTTGCGTCTCATTTCAGACGCCGCAGACTCGTTTGCGGCGGCAAGCTTTGGCGGACCGGCGTCGCGTCAAAGCTCCGCGGGTTCAGCCGTCCTGATCGAGGACCTGATGAACGTGCTCGAGATCCTCGCTTTCCAGGGCATCGACCCCATCATTGTATCTGAGCTAGAGAGTATGATACATGCGTAGCTGCGCTACTGGTGCGCATCGTTCAAAAATTGTAATGTAGTTTCATGGTGCCCATCTGACAAGCCCTCCCCTCGCCTTGCGAGGAATTGTCTGCGTATGTCCACCGGACACGCCTTCACACTCCCGTCTTCTTGCTACGTTCGGCAGCTACATCGGCAGGAATCTCGAGACCTGATTGAAAGATCTGAGAGCCCCAGGTGACGAACCGGTCCTTGAACTCCGCATACTTGATGGCGGTGGATCTCAGAGATCCGGTATGTATGAGGGAGACGCGCCTGAGATAGCCCATGCTTTGGGCTGCTCTAAGCTCCTCATGGTATCCCGAATCATCTATGCCACCCAAGTAGATATGTTTGCAATCCGAATCTAGCATGAGATCAGCAAGATGCGTCTTCACCTTCAGATCGGCGGCTTGAGGCTCCCTGCCAACCTCGGCAACGATGTTCAGCGGTCCATTTTGGCTGATCTCAGAGTAAAAGTCCAAAACGTCTCGGATTTCGTAGCCGAAGTGCTTGTGCGATGCCAAACTGTTGTAGAGCGCTATGAAGACCATGATTCTCAAATGACAGTCTTGGCCAAGCTGCGGTACGCGCGCCTTCAGCTCGTTGATGACGTCGCGCGCACCTTGCTTTCCTCTCACAACGTACTTGGGCAAGAACCGGCAATTATCGCCGTCAAGCAAAATGGCGGCGTAATGACGACCTCTTTGCAGGTCCTTTTGCAAAGGCGTCAAATGTCCCTTGAGGTAGCTGTCGATCTTTCTCAGAGCGGGTTGCGCGGATGCCGGAGTTCCAAAAATGTCGGGCAAGAAGCTGGAAGAAATGGGTGCTTTGTGCCGCAATGAAGGGTGTGGTTGATCTTGCTGCGCTGCAGGATTCGGGATGTTGATCTTCGGTCGCTGCAGCGCCAATTGCATCTCCTCAGAACGAGCTCGAACCAGAAGCTGTGCTTCTTGAGCCATCTTTTCTTCCGCCGCAGACACGCGTTCTGCCTCGCGCTCGAGGGATTTCTGTACCTCGAGCGAATGAGTCAAGGCGGCTCTCTGTCGCTCCTCTTCTTGCTTTGCTATTTGGGGCGCAGGCACGCTGATACCGGACTCAGCGCCCCGCATTCGCTGATGAGCCCCAACAATGTCGATGCTTCTCGGAGCGCTCTCCGCATGCAAGTCTTGTATCTGCTTGACACCGTTCAGTACGTCAGACCTGCGCAACGCCTCATCCTTGAGAGTCGACACTTCCACGGGCGGTGACGGAGCAACGTCGTCGTTCTCTGGCTTGCCAATCTGTACGGGTTGAAATGCACGGCCTGCTGTGCGTGCCATCCTCGTTGCAATGCGCGTTGCCACGGTGTGAACGCCCATCAAATCGGCCGTAGCCTTGGCTTCCTCCGCCTGGCTGGCAAGGTACATCTGAGCGAGATTGAAGATCTCCTCGTCATCGTCGACCAAATTCAGAATGGCCGCAGCTCTGGCGCCTACCTTGTCGCGCAGATGGCCTCCAGGCGCGCTTCCAAAAGAGTCCAGTCGTTGCTTCTCGGCACGGATGTGATCCTCGATCCTTTTGTGGACCCGTTGCAGCCTTGACGGAAGGATCCGTCGCACATCGCCCAGCTTTGCGGCCGGATCGCGCTCCAAGACTGCTTCAATCTCGCTGACAGTGGTGCCGAACCATTTGGCAAACTCTTTGCGCGACACTGCTAAAGCTACGCCATTTTCCTCCGTGCTAGAGCGGTGTTCCTTGCTTGCAACGATGGGCTGCGATGCTTGTTGCTCAGTGGCAGCAGCCTTTGAGCGTTTTGAGGGGCCAGCAACTGCAGCCGTACGTGACCCTTTGATAAGGGGCGTTGGTCCGGTTCTAGCAGGAGAGCCACTTTCGAGCGCCTTGGATGAGGTAAACTTGGGATTGACATCTTTGGTGACCTGCTTTGCGCTTTTTGGCTTGCGTGCCACTCTAGGACCAGCGCGAGAAGAGAAGAGGCGCTGAACAGCGGGCTGAAGCGTGCTCTGCTTGTGCTCGTGCTGGGCAAAGTGCAGCGAGTGAGGACATCTCTGACTCAGCAAGCGCATTCTCAACCCGGTCAGTGGCGTTCGAATGACGCGCTGAGATTGTCTGCTCTCGCAAGTCGAGGCGAGATGCGAGGCAGAGCTACCTTCATTCCTCCCACTTGCTACACCCGTCGAGACAACCGAGCTCGGCAAGCAATGCTTTTGAGTGCAGAGGCCTGTGAGTGAGATGAGCTGGAGGCCATCTGGCTGGCGGCACAGCCTGGAAGGCGGCCTCATTGAGGCTTGCAAGGGAAAGAGGAAGCGCGATCAGTGGAGATGGGGGGTGCACGATCATGCAGCAAGGAAATCGGGGTGAGTGTTGCGTATAGCGTGTATGCGGCTGCATCGAGGATGCGTCGTCATCAGCACATCGCTAGCTGCGGTTCCTTTGTGGCCTCGAATGATGTTCTCGCCTTGGATAATCGTGAATTCACGGTTTGAAGTTGACTCATCAGCAGACTCACGGCTCAAAATTGGAAGATCGCGCGCGGACTTGGATGTGCAATGAGCACGTGACAGGAACTCGAGCCAGTTAAATGCCATATATAGCTGCATACAATCATGTGAATCAAAATCTTGAATTGATTCACCTTGACTATGGTGGTGGAGTCGAAGAGACCCATGCAAAGACCAATCACGAATGCGCCGCTCCTCATTCCCACCACTTTGTACTGTGAGTCTCACTAGCAGATCGCGCCACGAGCCGCAAGTACTGCATCTTGATCAAGTCGAGCGAGCAAGCTTTGGCAGATGTCATCAAGCTGTACGATCACCCAGACCTTTGTCCATCCTGCTTCCGACCGTCGTGCGACATTCATGGAGCGCGGTGGTGCCGTCTCAAGATGGCGAGCTTCAAGGATCTGAAGCAAAGGCGGGCGCTGAACCGACCAATGTTGTACTCGAACAACGCCCGTGCTCTGTCCAAATCAGGTGAAGCAAGCAAGTCTGCAGTCGACGAGAAGAATGCGGATGAAAGTACGCCCGATAGCACGCCTCCGTCTGGCGGCGGAACCACGCAGTACCAAGTCATGGCCGAGGGGTCCAGTGCTGCGCAACCTGACAATAATCACAGGTCAGTCAGGAACAAGGTCTGTGATGAATTCCTGCCCGGAAACATTACTTCATCCATACGGAGAGCGTCGTCGACAGGTCTTAGCTCACTTGAACCGAGCGATAATCTTCCGTACCGCCTGGAGGAGAATGAAGCCTTGGAAGTGCGAAAGACCAAATCTGCAGGCCGAGGCATTTTTTGGGCGCCCAAAGGCGATGAAGTTTGCAGAAAAGGTGAAGCATTTACATGGCTTGTCCAATGTCGTCCATTTCTTGGCGAATCCCGGACGCTGAGCAACGGTTCTTTCGCGCGCAGGTACAACACTGCTCCGTCTTAGGCCGCACATTTCTGTGCTTGGGCAGGAAGAGGTTGAGTCGCATTGTCATGTATGCTTCGAGCCCCAAAGACATCCCTCGCGCTTTCAAAGGTGCTCAGCCTGTCGGTATGTTCGATACTGTAGCGTAAATTGTCAGAAAACAGACTGGGCGATTCACAAGACGGAATGCAAAGCTCTTCAAGCTTGGCAAGCCCACGCGGACGCAAGAGATCCAAGACCGGACTGCCATACTCGGACTCTGGCCAGGCTGATATGGAAAAGACTCACGAAAGGCGAGAAGTGGTGGACTCAGCTTGACTCCATGCAATCGAGTGAGTCAGCATTTCGGTACGCAGGCTCCGTCTCTGCAATGGTCGCGCTGCTGACCTGATGTGCCGTAGATCGTGCTCAAAAGGCCTCAGAGCAGATGCAGTCCATTGCCGGGCAGGTTTTCAGGTTGTGTCGGTACATAGGGATTGGGACGTTTTCAACAGCCGACAAAGAGGAAATCCATGAGGAAGAAGCGAATCGACAAAGGCTCGCTGATCTAGGATTCGACAGCGTACAGCAGCTGCTCGACTTTGTCTGCAAGGTGAGGGCACAGTTGCTTCTGATATAGATACTCACCTACTCTTCAGTCTTTCTGACTCGGCACCCGCTCGTATCCAGTTCGAGACCAACTCGTTCACGGCGTCTTCCTCAGATCTCAGTCCCTGTGGGCTTGCTGTCTGCCCCACGGCCGCACTGATCAATCACTCGTGTCTTCCAAACGCTGTCGTCGTATTTCCGTTTGGCCCGGGAGATAGTGGGCACACGGCTGGGCCTATGCGCGTCGTGGCCATCAAGGATGTAGAGCCCGGACAAGAGGTGAATCCCCTTCCAAAAGGGCTCCTGTAGCAATTGCTTTGTGGCTCATGACACGTCCAACATTCTCAGATCACAACGGCCTACGTCGACCTGTCAGACTCGTACAGCAAGCGACGGAATACGCTTTCTTGCACGTACAGCTTTGAGTGTAGGTGCAAGATCTGCAAAGCTGGTTCAAAAGCATCAAGTCTGTCCAGCAACGCACCATGGGTAGATCCCAGAGACTCGGTCTGGTGTCCAAAGAAGTGCGGTGGATGGTGTGCCGCGCCAAAAGGTGAGTACTTTAGCTGCCTACCTTCATTTGATGCTGCTGCTGACTCTGGGACCCCCCTCGAGTAGAAGAAGGGACCGGCACATCGACGATCCGATGTCCGGCCTGTGGTGCATCCTCAACCATCGATCCGAAGACCTTGCGAACGACTGTCGAGTCTGCTCAGAGCAAAATGAAAGAGGCGAAAGAGGCAATCAGTGCTCTTGAGGGTGAGTCTCTTCTCTACTGCTTTGACACCCAATGAGGACAAAGGATGCAACCTGTGCTGACGCTCGCTGGCATCTCGTAGTCGACAAGACCATCACATGCCTACGGGATGCTGTAGGACTTCTGATTGTGCAGATGCCTCCTTCGGCGTATCCGCTCCTCTCGATGTTGCGCACAACGTGCGAGATGTTTACGAGCATGGCTGCTCGCATTGACGTTCTTGAGATGCCGAAGAGCCTCGTTCGTGCCCAGAGCATGACGACAACCTTGGCGGACCATTACCTGGTGGAAGCGACACGGCTGGCGATGCTCGTCTGCACAGGCATGACGGTATCGAATGGCATCATTTTTGCCGAAGGTCATCCCACTCGAGCCATCGCGCTCTTGACGCTAGGCAAATTGCTCATCTCTGACGCTGTAGCCGCCTACGATGAGAACGAAGCGGTGGACAAATCCATTTTGCCCAACCCTCCAAAGCTTCCAGCTGTAGGCATGCCGCGTATTCTGATGGGCCGCAACTTTTTGCTGCAGGCGCTCGAAGAGCTCAAGATTGGATTTGGCAAGGAGAAGGGCACGAGCGGAGGAGACGCAGCAAAACACGCCGAGAAAATTCTGCACAATCTCGACGCTGAAATGCGGATATTCCAGCAGTCAGGCATGCCTGCATAGCTCCAGCAGCAAGACAAAGGCACACCGATCACGAACGGGCTGTCGGGCCCGAGCACTCTCAAGGCTCCGTCGTGGTCAAGCTTATGGCGAAGGGTCACGAATCGCAATGACAATCTCAATGGTATTCCAGAGCAAGCCGCCCGTTTGAGAGTGTAGGCGGGCGCGCGCGTATAGACGTTTCAGAGTAGTACATGGCTAGTCAGAGGAAGGGGCGAAGTAGGAGGACCAGTGACGTTATAAGAGACCTCAAGCACGCTGGCTGACAAAGGCAGGGCGGGATTTTGAAATGAAAAGGTGAAGAATCGTGGGGAAAAGCGTTTAAGCTTGCTCCAAGATGTCCACATTGACCTTCTTGAAGAGCGGAGCGGGCTTCTCGGGGTGCTGCAGAGTCGCAACTTTGATGGCGTAGGGTAGCGTCTTGGTGAGCTGGTAGCTGGCGAAGCGACTGTTGCCGACGGAGAAGACACCGTCAAGCTCCTCGAGGGAGAGACGCTTGGTCTCGGGGACGAAGAAGAAGATGAGGACGAAGGCGATCAGGTTCAATCCGCCGTAGAAGAAAAATGTGCCCAGAGATCCAAAGACGTGCAGCATTCTAGGGAAAGTGATGGACAGGACGGAGGCCCAGAACAGGCAAGTAGCGACCGCCCAACCCATTCCCTGCTCGCGCTGGGCAAGGGGGAACACCTCGGCAGAGTAGGCGAAAGGGACCGGGCCTTCGCCGATCGAGTAGGCCAGGGTGAAGAGGTAGATGAAGATGGCAATACCGGCGAGCTTGCCCTTGGTGGCGATGAATTGGTCCGCATCGGGGACAATGCCAAAGTCAGGGTTGGCGGTGTTGGGGGCAAGGAACATCAGACCGGCGGCAAAGAGGAAGATAGCCATGATGGGGAAGGTCGTGAGCAGAAGGGATCGGCGACCGAACTTGTCGATGACAAAGATGGCAGGAATGGCGCCGCTGACAGTGAGGGAATAGTCAAGAGCGTCAGCCGCAATCCTGTCTTCTCGCTAGCTTTGATGTCAGCGCGCTTATACTCACACGAAGTTGAGGGCTCCGAAGCCAACGGACGACTTTAGTGCTTCGCGGTCGCTGAGGCCGGCCGTCTTGAAGACGGTGCTGGAGTAGAAGGCCATGACGTTGATACCGCACATTTGTTGAGCAAGCATGACAGTCGAAGCTGCAATGGTGGCCATGCGAACACGAGGGATCGTGAAGAGCTCGGTGAAGCGGCTGACGAAGGTAGCTCCGCGGATGACGCGCTTCTCCTCCTCGAGCTGAACATGAATGTAGTAAAGGTCACGTGCGGCTTGGAGCTTGGTGAAGCGAAGTCGTTGGAGGGCTTGGTAGGCTGCGGTGTAGCGCCCCTTCTTCATGAGCCAACGGGGGGACTCGGGGCAGAGCCAGATGAGGAATGCAAGAGGCAAGGCGGGGATGAAAGCAGATCCCAGTTGAAGTCTCCAAGCGATGCGTCCAGTGTCTGCAACGACCAAGTTGGCCACAAAACCAGCGAAGATACCTGAGTCGCAGTGCAAGATGGATGGTCAGTCTCAGAGAGTTGCCTGCGATGACTCATTGCCACTTACCGAAAGCAGTCCACAATTGCCAGGACATGGTCAGCGCTCCACGAATAGCGTTGGGAGAGTTTTCAGCCGCAAAGATGGGGACAGTGCTTCCCTTGGCACCCATGCCGATACCAAGAATAAGACGAACGACGAAGAGGGTCTGCCAAGAGTGAGTGAAGCCGGAGGCAATAGGGGTGGCGATGAGGATGAGGGCAGTGATGAAGATGGTACCGCGGCGTCCGAACATGTTGTTGAGAGGGTCAGAAAGCCAGCAGCCGAGGGCGGCCGAGGCAAGGTATGGAGCCGAATTGACCACACCAACGATCCACTCTCCACGGTCAGTTCCGTCAATGCCAAACTCCGCGGGGAAGGACAAGTTTGCACCGTTGGATCCGGTCTGATCCCAACCTTGGGTAGCCGCACCAATGCTGCAGGCCAGGATGGTCAGGTAGAGTGTCCAAGGGGCTGCCCATCTATATCGCGTAGTGATTTGGTTCAGACGAGGTCAGTGCGTGTTTCGACTATGCCCGTCGTCGTGCGAGCCGATAACTCACCTGCTGGTCAGCTCCTTTTGAAGCGCGCTGCGCTCATCCTCTTGCAAGCCATTGATCGACTCGAAACGTGCGGGTTCTTGAGCCGCGAGGGCTGCGCGGTGGAACAAGGCGGGGTCCTCTTGGATCTGCTTCTCTTGCAGGAATTGGTCAACATCGCGGAAGAGCTGGTCTTGAGAGATGCCGGAGAGCGCGTTGACCAACAGGCCCTCGGAGTTCTCCTTGGACAAGTCCAGGCGTGGTGCTGCGGGAGCATCACTGGTTTGTTGCTGCGTGAAAGACGCCTTCTCGCTTGAAGGCGACTCTTTGTGAGAGACGTCAGCCATTGTGGAAAGAATGGAGGAGGTAAAGGGATGGAGTGCAAGATAGCTTACAGGCAGGAGTGGGCTCTGGGGGGATTTTGGGGAGCTGGGAAGAGCGGGTTGCGCATCAAGATGGGGGTCACATGCTGTATTTATACACACACGCACAGGCACCTGGCTCCCCGCGGCTGTGATGGCGGAGTCTTGAGACGCAAACACTGACGCCGTGCCCAAAGCCAATTTTGTGAAAGCAAATTGAGGAATGTGAGAGATGATCCTCGCTGATTGCTCTGACTATGCTTGCTGCAAACAAGGAGTACAGGCATCCTGCCGATGCATGCGCGAGGGGACTGAGTGAACCCACTTCTGACCACAACGCCACCTCGACACGCTCACTTTCCCATTTCCGATCCGACGACGAACCATGCTCGCGTGCAGGCAGCTGCAGCGTAGCCCTGTCTGCCATGGCTGCCGTTCCATATCCCGACCCTGCACTCTATAGGCGCGGTCTCGTTCCTCCAAGCGGGCCTACCAACGGGGCTGGAGGTTCATCAGCGTCAGGGACCCTGCTGCAATAGGAGCAGGCTTTCAGCCCTCGCAAGCTCCAAAGAGATGCGCGCTTTATTCTTTCAAGACAAGACTAGCGTGCTTACTTGAGGCACGTCCACCTGCCCGAGGAGCCAGGGGGCAGGCAAAGGATCAGCGCTTGCTCGATTCGCAATTCCCTATTGCCCGCAAGTGCCTGCATCTTTTAGCGCCGTCAAGCAGCTGCGGGTGGTCTGGACCTGCTGCAAGCGGGCAAAACATCCACAGCATTTCACAATTTGCCTCCGCAAAAGTCGAAGAAGAAAATGAGACCACGAGCGAGCCGTACCTCGAAACATTGGGCACAACGGACCTGAGACATGAGCGCCGGGTAGCCGACGTCTGGGTGTGGGCCGTACAGCTGACACCTTCTACAGGCACATAGGAATGAGCTACGAGTGGCCAGGAACGTATATCCGTGGCAGCAGCCAGCTTATATAGTCTATACTCACGACTGTGACGAGCACGCAGCAGGGCTGGGGAAGGTTTGCTAGGAGACGCGGTAAGTGTGGGGAAGCGCGCTCGGTCCGGCGCTTCGCGGGCGGACGAGCAACTTTCAAACGGCGGAATCGTGCGGATTCGTGAGGTTGGGCAAGCACAGGTCCTGTACGGTACCTTTGCTCCTCGTCGAACTTGGCGTCCGCTCCGTCTCAGCAGCATGCCTGCAGCCTGATCACGAAAGCAGTTGCCGCACTCCGCAAGAGCAAGGCGAAGCGATTGCGGAGACGGCGGAGCAACGGCGGGGGCATGCGGGGACTCATCTGCATAACTGCCAGCAGCAGCAGGAGCGGACAAAAGTACGTGTGAGTGGCGGGATGGCTGGAGCTGTCTTCGTGCACTCACGACCGACGGAGGGCGATGGGGGTTGACATTTTGATTCAAACTTCTTGAACGAAGAGCGGAGAACGGCGAGAAAGTCGCGCCGAGACGGAGTTTGGTTTTGCGTGAAGTGCACCCCACACAACAATCACGAACTTTTCGCCGTGCCAAAAGCGCCGCAAGAGCTCGTAGCTCGGCGCAAGGCCCACCACCATCAGCAGGCCCCCCCGGACTGCTGATGCGTCGGGAAGATGAGGGATGCGAAGGCTTGACGCTTTGAGGAACCCGAGTCGCTGCTCAAGGATTTTCTTTGAACGTCTTGCGTGTGAGTCCGCTTTAGCGTGCCAAGCTGTGCCTTAGCGCCCTACTACTGCACGCCGCGTCCCGTACCTGCCCCTCATTCAATCTCGCAAGTGCAGGCGTGGAACTCATCACCCTTTTCCGCATCGCAAGAACAGCACTCTGCCGCTTCGAACCTTGCAGCGGTAGCAATCCGCGCCCATGGTCAGCTCTGGCAGACAGCCGGTCAAAGAGCCTTGTGCAAGCTGTTCGAGCGAAGATCAGGTCAACGCTCGCAGCAATCACTCGATGCAGCTTCAGCCAGCCAGCTCGTCTTTCGCCCTCTTACTCGCTTACGGGGGATTTCTTGCACGCCAACGAGGTCTCATGCAGTGTCCTCTTCTAGCGCGCGTGTCGGTCGGAGGGACACATACAGCATGAGCCGGCGTGGCATGCACGCAGCTTGCTGCTTGCCTGCCTCGTTTACCTTTTCAACTTCCCAAGCAGTCAGGCGATGGCCCGCCTTGTGAGCATTTTTCAACGTTCGGATGCACAGCACAGTCTGAGTACCGACTCGCGACTGTAGCTCAAAGCGCGGTAAGAGCTCAAGCATCCAGCTCCGTCAGTGCCCAAAGCGCCGTCATTTGCAGGAGCACCACCATTGTGGACTGCGACGACGGCCGCTCGCTCGCCTTGTGAGCAGAGGGCTGGTCACACGACATGGTTCAATGACCGACTGCCCTGGTCAACTTGATCAGACCACATCCACATCCGTGATTCTTCTTCATTTGCCTCCGAGCGTTCCCTACTCAAAGGCACACCGACAGGAAGTCCGCTGAAGGACCGCGCTCGGATTGGTCCGCTTCCAGCCACAGCCATTACTCAGCAATACACCCAACGCTGAATACCAGCCACGGCCACGGGGATCTGTGCTCCGGACATGACGAGAGTCTTTGAACGAGCAGATATGCGCAAAGCACACAGCCTACCCAAAATCGAGCAGGGCTCACGGCATATTCACGCTATGAAAGCAAGCGACCTAGGGCTGATCTCACGTGCCGGCCAGCAAAAGTCGCTGGAGCAATGCTCAGACAGTCCCCCGCCAGCAAGCTAAGGCCCCCAGTTGGACTGAGTACTGCGTAACCTCAGCACATTCGCAATCAAGAATGATGATCGCTGAGCCCGATTGCGCGCTGTCCGATGCAAGAAGAGCCCCGACCAATCATTCAGGATTGATTATGACAGGTTCAAGCAGTGCTTTGGCCCGCTCGCTCCAAAAAGGCCCAGCTGCGCTCGAGGCGTGGAGGTGGCTTGCCTCGCACCTGTCATGCGAGATGTGCCTGCCTCAATGAAGCTCTACATGCGCCTCTCCGTGCCTCATCCCACCCTGACGAACGTGGCAGGCATTGTCCCGCCATTTGCGGGATTGCCACGACCTGCACAGGGTATCGCCGTCCTGCGTCTTCTCAGCCGCTATTCGGTGCCCAGCAGAGCTCCGAGCAGGTCGCTGCCGCACGCTTAATCAGCCACTCCAGCCGTTGCGCTACAGCATTCAATTCTCATCACGCGTACAGAGGTTCAGAATCGGAACAAGTTGCAGCTGTCGCGCAAAAGCGGACGATGTTCACGATTGATATGAGACGATTGAGAGCTTTGCAATTGTTATGCCCAACTGTCGGCATGCAGTGAGCACTGCATCATCGTTGCGGGTTTCAATTGAGACCTCAACGAGTGGAAGGAACCGCTGCCACGAAGCCACCGTCCACTGCGAGGATCTGACCGTTGGTGAAGGTGTTGGTAGCTAGAAAGAGCACAGCAGACCCCTGGATTGGATGCAAATGAAGAGGTCAGGACACGCTTTTGCTAGGCGCGGTAGTCATCCTTGCTAGGCAAAGGCTCACCATCTCCTCGGCAGTACCCGTTCTTCCAGCTGGGTTTGCGTGGTTGGCAAGGTCGCCTGGATCAGTTGAGCCGTCCTTTGAAGGACGCCCTGAGGTCATCTCAGAAGGGAAAAGACCAGGAGCCAGCGCATTGACTCGGATGTTGAGCTTGGATGCGAAGTTCAGCTCGTGCGAAAGCATGGCGGTGAGGTGATTGGCTGCGGCTTTGGAAGCGTTGTACGCGTAGCTGAAGGCGGGCATTGCGTTGAGTGCATCGATGAATCTAGATCCTGCGATGAATCTTCACCTGCCTATGCGGCCACTCACTGATACTGCGAAAGCTTGACCAGACCCGATATGGACGTGATATTGATCACAGCGCCGCTCCAAGGCGCACCGCTGCCCACGGAGGATGGAGGACTCTTGTTGCCTGCTTCGAGGAGAGGTAAGAAGGCGAAAGTAGCGAAGAAGACGGCCGAGTTGTTGAGCTTGAAGGTCGAGTCCCAATTCTGCAATAAAGCGTCCGTACCCAGGGAGCATTTTCAGCCGTCGAGCATGCTAAATCTCTCGACGCGCACACGCACCTCGAACTCCTCGTTGGCGAGATGCTTTTCGCTGAGGTCTTTCGCAGACAGCGCTTCTTTGTCTTCGAGCCGTGTAACTGGACCTTCGACGCCTGCATTGCTGCGGTACAGGGGCGAAGCGAAAGTTTGAGGTCAGCAAGCGTGTCTGTGACTGGGTGGTATGCAAGGGCGCAGCTCACTTGATCAGCACGTGCACCTTTCCGTCAGCCTTCTCGATTTGAGCAGCGAGAGCGCGCAGGTCATCCTTGGATGTGACGTCAGCTTGAAGGCTGATGTCGAAAATGCAATGCCGTGTCAATGAGAGTGCATTAGCTACACGAGAGGCAGCACCTCGTACATGGTGAGGCTGGCCCTCGAACTCACGGCACGATGCTGCCGCCTCCACTCAGATTAGTGCCATGAACTTTTGCGGAATTCTGCAACACCTCCACTCGACGACCGGTGATGTCTAGTGATCAATCAAGACATCCAAATGTCAGCTCTTGCCCCAAGAACTATGCTCAAAGCGTCGGAGACTCACACACTTTGGCTCCCTGTGAGGCGAGCCCTTTGGCTGCCATCAAACCGATGCCTGTTCCTCCACCGGTGACGACCGCAACGGCTCCGGCCAGGCTGAAAATTGAACTCGCGGCAAAGTTGGACATGTTGACAGCTCCAGATGTACTTTGACGGAATGGATGATGCTATAGTAGTACGTTTAGGGTCATGTGTCGTAGGATGAAGTTTTGAGCCATCAGGCGAGCCCGTCCGTGCTTATGAGGCCCGCTAGGAAAATACGTTGGGCTCCCATTATGTTGGCTAAGCACAAGTTCATGCGGGCAAGGGAAGATTGCCGGGCAAAGAGGGAGGATTTCCGGGGTGGAGGTTTATACTGCACGTGACCCCCCATCGTTGATGTTGCAACGCGTCGAGACGCGGCGCGACGCGAGCTGATTGAGCACTGGCGTAAATTGCGTCCACGTGATTGGAAGTGTCAGCAAGCTTTACTTTGCATGAAGAAGTTTGGGGTTTCGTAGCCACCTGACCTGAGCCAGGCTTATTTGGGCGGCAAGTGGCCGTTCGATGACTGATTAAGTGCCTATGCCCCGTTCACTGCCCTACTCATCGTGGTTTTGCAGGCATTCAATTGATTGCGATTGCAGCGGTCGCGTCCGCCGGCCGCATCAAGACAAGACGGCGCTCTCACTCACCACTCGTCACTGTGCTCCTTGTGTCGCTAGGCACGACACGTTGTCCAAGTGGTGTTCATCACTGTCAAGCTTCATTCTCCTCCTACTCCAGAAAACCCTACTTGAGATCCCTTCTTGTTTCGAGAGTATACCGGACGCTACAAGGCGCAGCGCTGCGATTTGCCACCGAGTCCGTGTGCACACGGAGGCCAACTTCAACATGCCGCGTCCTCGACAAGCCTTGAAACGCTCACCAGACAGCGTCAGCGATGCGGTCTCGCCACAGTCATTCAAGAGCACCGAGAGCGGAAGCGGGAGCCGAATTCCTTCTGGACTAAGCACTCCGAACACTTCCGTAGCATCTGCGCGTCCTCAACGCAAAGCCAAGGTACGTGTGATGGGCGTCATTCTCCATCCTGTCGATGCTAGTATATTGACTGTTGCTGCTGCCTTGCTGTAGCTTAACCGTCCCTCCTACGCCGAAGATGATGGGCAGCCTCGCAGAGCAAAGGCTCGAGAGCCCAAAAGCTCCCCCGGTCCTCGTTCCAAGCTGCAACGCTCGCGCCGGGGAGGACGCAACGTCACCTCAGACTCTGAGTACGACTACGGCTCCCCTTTAGCGAGTCCTGAGACTGGCCGAAAAGCGATACCCGAAGTGGTGCTGAAATCCGGCATGTCACTGGCGGATATGTACTGCGATAACACGGATGAAGAGCTCGAGCAAGTAGCGCTGCTCTCCAAGCAAAGTCTTCGTGCACTCAACAACAAGAGAGGTGAAGGTTCGCGTTCCAAGAACCAAGCTCATCAGGCTTTGAGCGATGTCAAGGAAGAGGACGATGGAGGGTTTGTCCAGCCTTCGCCACGCTCCAAACGCGACACAGCCAAATTTTCGGGTGGTAGCAGTAGTCGCAAACGTCCTCGAGTCCTCAAACGCGAGCCCTCTTTCTCTCCGCTCACCGACGTCTCCCGAGATCTTCCATTCGACATCTACGATCTCAAAGACGATGGTGCTTGGAACGAGTGGAGGGATGCAGGGGATGGGCAGTCTGACTCGGAGTTCGAAGACTACCGCCCGACGAAGCGCGGTCGCGCAAGTTTCCAGGCCAGAATGGCTCCAGCTTTGCCTGAAGCCGAGTCTGAAAGTGATACTGGACTCGACACCAGCGATGATGAAAAGCCTGCTGATGAAGCAGGAGGAAGCACCATGCCTGGTGGAGAAGAACAACGATGGGAGACAGCCAAACAGCGAGCAGCTCGCCTGCGAAGCGAGGCTCATCACAAACGTCTCAAGAAAGCACAGAGATCTCGGGTGAGTCCATCTTGCCGCTTCTTGGCAGCCGGGCGTTCTGACCAATATCTTTCCACCTGGTGCAGTATGCCAAAACTTCGGACGCCCTAGCTGTGCATCACACGCACCTCAAAGGCTTGTGGAAGCGATTGAGCAAAACGCCCAAGCCAGAGCCTACTCGAGCTCAACAACCAGAAGGCTTGACCATTAAGCTTTTGCCTTTCCAGCTGGAGGGCCTGTACTGGCTTCGTCAGCAAGAACTTGGGCACTGGAAGGGCGGCATCCTTGCGGACGAAATGGTGAGCAATTAGTCGGCGGTGACTGTAGACAAATGCTGCGAGCCATGTTGAACCGATCGCTACACTTCTGCAGGGCATGGGAAAGACGATTCAAATGATCTCGCTCTTCTTGTCCGACCGCCAAAAGCCTATTTTGGTTGTACTCCCGACCGTAGCCATCATGCAATGGAAGCACGAGATCGCAAAGGTGAGCTGTTGACTATGGATGCTAACCCTCGAGAACCTCGCAGCTGATTCAGCAGGCCCGTCTTCTAGTACACCGAAGACTTCAAAGTCATGGTATGGCACGGGGCTACTCGTGAATCTGACGTCGATGAGATTCGACGTAATGATGTGGTTCTGACGAGCTACGGCATCCTCGAAAGCGCCTATCGGAAAGAGCACGCTGGATTCAGACGCAAGGGCGAGCTGCACAAAGAGAAGAGTGCCTTACACGCAGTGCGTTGGCACCGCGTGGTGTTGGACGAGGCGCACAACATTAAAGAGCGCGCCACAAATACCGCCAAGGCCGCCTTCGCTCTGCGAGGAACTTACAGATGGTGTCTGTCGGGCACACCTTTACAAAACCGAGTAGGCGAGCTTTACAGCATGGTGCGCTTCCTGGGCAGCGACATTGCCACCGACACGAAGAAGAAAGCTGCTGAGCAGCGCCAACTGGCGGAGCTGGATGCGTCAGCGACTGTGCCCGAGCCCATAGAAGCTGGCGTCAGCAAGCCAGACCATGACCATCTGGTTGAAATCGAACGCACCCTGAACGAGGAAAATGACGAATGGGTGCCCGAGGCCGGCACAAGATCACGCAAAGGCAAACAGAAGCTCAACGAACGTGTTGAAGAAGCTGTGACCCTGGATGTCACTCCTGACAATACAGCGCGCATTTTGGCAATGTACTACTGCAAATCGTGCCCTTGCACTTCCTTGCATTGGCAATTCAGTGACCGAAGGACTTGCGACAAATGCGGGCATTCTCCAATGAGACACATCAACCTGTGGAACCAGGAGATTCTCAAGCCAATCCAGCGCACTGGTGCCGCGACCGGCGAGGGCGGGCATGCGTTCAAACGTCTTCGACTACTTTTGAGCCGAATGATGCTGCGTCGAACCAAGATTGAGCGTGCGGATGACATGGGTCTGCCTCCGCGCACCATCGTCGTACGCCGAGACATGTTTAATGAGGAGGAGGAAGACTTGTATGCAAGTTTATATACTGAAGGAACGCGCAAGTTCTCGACGTATCTCGACCAAGGAACTGTTTTGAACAACTACTCCAACATCTTTACGCTGCTGACCCGCATGCGTCAGATGGCGTGCCATCCCGATCTTGTTCTTCGCTCCAAATCTGGCATCCAGAACAAGCTGCTTGGCGACGACCTCACGGAGAGTATCTGGTTCTGCCGCATCTGCACGGAAGAAGCGGAGGACGCGATCATGTCGAAGTGCCGCCACATCTTTTGCCGTGATTGCGTCACCAGCTACTACGAAGCGGCTGTGGCTGAGGGTCACACCCCAGATTGTCCTCATTGTCACAACAATCTTACCATCGACCTGGAGGCCGATGCGCTTGAGCCGCCCGAGCAAGTAGACGCGCATGCCCGAGGACGCCAAGGCATTCTTGAGCGCCTCGACATGAGCAAGTGGCGCAGCAGCAGCAAGATCGAGGCGCTACTCGAAGAGCTCGAGCGTCTCAAGTCGGAAGACAAGACAATCAAGAGCATCGTCTTCTCCCAATTCGTCAACTTCCTCGACCTCATTGGCTATCGCTTGCAGAGGGCAGGCTACCGCATTTGCCGCCTTGAAGGTGGCATGACACCGGCAGCCCGCGACGCCACCATCAGGTACTTTATGGAAAACACTGAGGTCTCTGTCTTCCTTGTCAGTCTGAAGGCCGGAGGTGTTGCATTGAATCTGACAGAGGCTTCGCGCGTCTTCCTCATGGATCCTTGGTGGAATCCTTCCGTGGAGGTACAGGCGATGGACCGCATCCATCGTCTTGGTCAATACCGACCCATCAAAGTCACCCGTCTAGTCGTCGAGAATTCGATCGAAAGCAGAATTATTCAGCTGCAAGACAAGAAAGGAGCCATGATCGAAGCAGCCATCGGCTCAGACGACACGGCAATGACGCGTCTCACCGTCTCGGACTTGCAATTCCTGTTCTCTTTGTAGATCCTCACACCGTGGATCACGTGCTTCCACCTCAAACGCTCAAGACGACCCTTCCATCCGGTCCATTGGTCCAGTTCCAGCTTCCGATACAAACGCATCCATTCACACACGACGCGCTGACTTGACTTTCCGCTACATCAGATCACCAAGCTTGTGCGATCAAGATTACGCACAAGGGTGCTCATTGAATCGACGATGTATTCAGCGGAAGTCAATGTCGTGACAAAGAGATCATCGGTCTATGTGGGAAGTCGTGAGCGGATCAGAATGGTGAGGCGAGCGGTCGCATCAAGCTGGTACACGATGAACGACAGCAACGGCGGTATCGCCGCTGTGCGTGATGGAAAGCAAAAGTTTGGAACCCTTGCAAGCATCCTGAGCCTCTCCATGGAGCCTGAAAGATGGGCCTTGAGGACTAGAGACTACCTCGAAGTTGATCAGAGGCGCAGCAGCTCCGTGTCCTGTGATACCGAGAGCCTTGAACGCGGCTTCTTTCGCTGCCCATCTGCGAGCTCGGGCTGCAGTGGGATCTGGCTGAGCGTTGCAGTACTCTAACTCAGCTGACGTGAAGTTGCGCTTGAGGAAGGCTTCGTCGGAGGAGAATGTTGACACCTGTTGAGCATCAATGCCGATCCCTTGCACGCTAGCCGTGTTACCAGCTAACGCGTTCAATGCGCCCTGAGCTAGATCGTCGGCTGCCGTGCTCGTAATGGCCGTGCCAGACTGGGCGGACGCCGGTTTGATGGGATCTCGGGATGGCATGGGTGCCAATGGAGCCTTGAAGCCGTATGAGTCACCAATCTCAACGGCTCGTGCGTTCACGTTGATCATGACGGCATCTTGAAGCGAGTCAGGGTAGGGTGGCGCGTCTTTAATGCGTACCAGACTATTGCTAGTGAGCATCGCGTGCATGCGAGCATGAGTCTTGCCTTCACGACGCTCGCGCTTCAACACGTATGCTTCATACTCTTGCTGCGAGACGCGAGAGAGCAGGTGGGCAGGGTGCAGAATGGCCGCAATGCCGCCGACTTGTCCGAATCCGAAAGACGTCACTAGTCCGACGTTGAGGTCCTCAGGGGTTCGATGCAAAGTCTGAGAGGCGTACAGCAAGTACGTGAATTTGCGTAGCTCTGCACTGATGTCGTCTGCGTTGCGATTTCCAGGTACGGTCGCTGTCAGAATCGATTGCATCAGTCCGTTCAGAGCCCATGCAGCTGCACCACCTTTCGCGTGACCGACCAGCCATTTCTGGGCGATGACGGGCACCGAATGACAGGGTGTGCGGCCAAGATGCTTCAAAAGCTCGTGATAAACGTGACTCTCGTTTTTGTCATTCGCGTTAGTGGAGGTACCGTGGATGCTGATGACGCCAATGCTGTCGCCATCAAGATTCCACTCTGCCAGAGCACGTCGCAGAGGCTCGGCGGCTGCCAGAACTCCGTGTCCAGGTGCCGGAACGGACCTTCCTTGCTTGTCGGTGTGCGTAGAGGTGTATGCGACCACCGATTGGATAGGGCAGCCGAGCTCCAGGGCGGTGGCGGCCGACATCAGAACTTGGGCACCCACACCTTGACTCTCCAAGAAACCAGAACGGCTGGACGTGGTAGGACGCGACGCTTCTGAAGGCTCCCTGCCTCGCGCCAGCTCGTCTACAGAAGAGACCGTTGCGCCCATATTGGCAAACTCGTACGCACCCTCCTCTCCGTAATCATCTACACCACCGGCGAGCATGATCTTGGCTTGGCCACTGCGAATTGCCTTGACGGCAATGGCGACCGACTGCAAGGCTGTGGCGCACGCACCGACCGGTGTAAGAGTGGGGCCGCTCGAGGACATGAGTAGCAGTTGTGTCCAAGCGGATATAGTGTTGATGAAAGTTTCCTGAAGGATGTCCTTTTGCACGTCCTGATTCTGTGCTCGATCTTTGAACATCTTGCTGAGCGACTCCATACCACCCATACCAGACCCGATGGCTGTTCCGACTTGAGAGGGGTGAACGTACTAGGAACAAGCGAGATTGGGGCTCAGCTACAGCCTGTGAACCGCGCCCCAGGCGTGTGCTCACCTTGTAGAACTCGTAGGGATCAGTCACGCCGGACATCACCAAAGCTTCAGTGACCGCGATGAGCGTCCACAGAGCGCAGCGGTCGACGTTAGCGCAGATGTCCTCCGGGATACCAAAGCGCTTGGGATCGAAGCCGGTAGGAATTTGTCCGGCAACAGTTCTCGAGAACTTCACAGATTGCGGTACCAAGACTCTAGCACCTTTCTTGAGCTGAACGTGCATGCCGCCACTTGCCGATGGCCAGACGTCAACCTTCTCGCCCTGCTCATTCTTGTACTTTTGTGCCTCCTCCTCCGACACATCCAAGGGTTCGAGGTCGTGCAGAATCTCAATTTCCTGCATGAACGTCTTGCGCAGAGGATCATAGCCGCGGAAAAGCTCGGGCTCTAGTAGTCTCACGCCTGTATGCGTTCGAATCTCCTTCTCGTACTTGGCCTTGACGTCAGCATCCGAGATGGGCTCGCCCGACTTCGCTTCGACCCAGCCCACGTGAGGCTGACCATTCTTGAGAGGCCCTTTAGTCCAACTGATGAATCCCATCATCCAGGCTGCGAAAAAGCATGCGCTTCAAATTTCAGCAATCGAGACAACCTACTGTGCCGCACTTTGCACTAGCTCACCTAGCTCGATGCAGCCTTCAATGGTGAAGCTCCCTGAGACTTCCATCTCCCATCTTGTGCGACTTGAGCCGTATGGCCCGATCTGTAAACGGATGCAAGCTTCCAACATTAGCTCCTGGTCGTTTTGCAGAGTTCTGTACAACGAAAGGAACGCACCTCTCCAAAGCCAGTTGCCACGACGACCTGGTGCAGATCAAGACCATTGAGGTCTAGTGAGTGTGTAGCCATGGTGTCGACTATTTTCTCGTTCTTCGAGGGGTGAGGATAGGTGTGCACCTGCTAGACGCTTCCTGTGCTGGATGTGGCTCGTCTTTGGAATGCCACATGCGCAAGTCTGAGGCGCTGAGAGATAATGTCAGCCGACGAAGGATTTCCGGTCTGAAATAGGTGAACGTGTGTGCAAGAGTCTGTGCGAAGGGTGTGAGCGAGGGTCACAACGCAAGCTTTGGTTAGAAGGATTCCGAAGCCCTTGGAGGCAGCCTTTGGAAGGATTGCCAGCCGATGGTCATGTCCCTTCCTCATCAAAGAAGTGCACACCTCACCTCTCTGCTTTAGCAAGGCGCTCTGAACCCCGGACTTTGCGAATGCGCCATAGCCGCTACGACCATTAGTCGTCTGACTGCTGAACTCATACCCTATAGACGCGCGGCTGTGAGTACCAGCTGCGACCCATATCACGCTGCGCATCAAAGTCTCTTGATGAGGTCGGTCTCCTCAGCCAATGTGCCAAGTGCAAATCCATTTGGGGCGGCCCCTGGAGGAGTATATATGCTTGGCTTCTTTCCGGCACATCAATCACCAATGGACCGCTCAAGCCCAACTTGGCCTCCTCGTCAAAAGCTTCTCGGCTGGGCCCTAATCTGTGCAAGACTTGCTCTGCGCGCGCTGCACACGCTGTAAGTCAGCGAGGGCCTTGTTGGGTTCAATTTGCTGAAGAGGTCCGTTCGTGGCTGTGCAGCCATCATATATGAGATTTGTATACCCACCTATGAGCTGACCCGCCGTTTAGCGACTTGACTGTGTGATTTACTAACCACTCAAGACTGTCTCACATCGGACGTTTGCCCCAACCTCGGCGCTCCATCTTCGTTCGCGGCTTGAACCCCTGCTGCTGCCTACAAGGGCGTGGGCGGAGTCCCAATTCACCTTTGGTACTGCAGGCAGCATGGTCATTCCGCCGCGGCGTCCGCGCGTTGGGGTGCAACACGCGAACTTTTGGCTCACCCGGCGCGGCGCGCGGTGGCGTGCACAGACCCTTTCGCTAGCTGTAATCGCGCTTGCACGACCCATCCCCACACAAATGGACTGTTCAAAGATGGATAGCAGATCCGGTGAATGCGTAAGTCTCTGATCCTACTCATCTCAGATTTTGTCGCTATAACGGACGTCTTTGGCAGCCCGGCCGGCGAACCCGCAAATGAAGCGCCGCGGCACGAACCCAAAGCATAGGATTTGATCCATGCAACTCGTGATTGCGCGAACCACAATTTTGAATGAGTGAAACAAGTTTTGACTTGACGCGAATGGCGACGCGATTCCAGGACAGTCTCCAGTCAGCAGGCGCGGGAGTCTGAATGTTGGAGAGTGGGTATAGGGGCGGAGCGGACGCGCCCCTTCAAAAAGGCCAATTCAAGTTGCCAGGGATGCCGTGTCAACGCTTTGGATTCGGCCCAAGCTTGCCGGCTTGTGAAGTCTCGGGCACAGCCGAAAGGCAGCTTCAGTCACGAATCAAGAGATCGAGGACGGTCTGAACTCAAGTCGTGAACGGAAGTCTCCTATTTCGTGCGGACCCTCTTCTCACACCACCTTCACGACAAATACAGCGCCCTTTCTTCTTGACCTTAGTCATCACACGTTTCGTGCAGTGTACACCAACCTCTCACACTCTTCGTGCTGATCTGGGCCACGATAGGGAACTCTACAGCCAAGGCTTGTTCAGCCTTACCATTCGCGCGATGCCGACCAGTGACTTCTTTCCGGGCAGTCCCGTCAGATCTGACGAGGACTACGTCGATATTTCAGGCTCACCACTCTTGATCTCGGGACAATTGTCAGAAGGAACGCTGCGACCGATTCAGCTGAGCACGCGCATCTCGCAAGTGCGAGTTCCAGTCCCAACTCAGCCTTACGAAGCATGGATCACAGCCATCGTAGTGAGAGATGACTTTCATCGAGCACTCGCAGCCTCTGGAAAAGATGGTTCGGAGGAGGCAAGCAAGCCTGCAGCGGCCGACGAAGACGAAGACGAGGATGAAGGGGCAGCGAAGCGGCGATCAGACAAGCTCAAAGCGCAGCAGCTGGAAGCTCGAATCGCTTTGGCAGCGCGCTTCCTCGGCTTCCTTGCAGCCAAGCTCAACGAAACGCAGCGGAGCGGCCGCATTGCGTCTGCAGCTGATCAGCGCAGGCACAGCGTGGCCTCGCGCGAGAGCAGTCGAAGCACCAGTCCCAGCCAAAAGCCTGGGGCAATGACTCACGAGTCGAACATTCTTCAATGCGCATGGGCGGCATTCAACCAGCAATTCTTGGTCAGGCAACTGACTGACCTGCACAAAGTCACCGCTACCTTCGATTCTGATTTGCGCACCGAGGTACTAAGGTCATATTACGATGCTCTGGTCGTCTTGGAGCGAGCGGCTGGATCGGGAGAAGGCGCGGTGCAGAAGCCTGCCCTTCAGACGCCCCTCTTGCTGAGCCTTGCAGCCAAGAAGCAAGCTGGCATATTTGCAATCTTTGGTGGACAAGGAAACAATGAAGTACGTCTCGCGGATTCTCGAGGTTTCATCGATGCTGGAAAGCTGACTGGATGCTGCTTTTGCGCAGGTCTACTTTGACGAACTTCAAGAGCTCTTCAACACATACAGACCTTTGGTGGCGCCCCTGCTGCAGGCTGCAACAGAGCAACTTCAGGCTCTGATTGAGGAGGCGACACTTAATGGCTTCGAAAGCTACTACGTGCACCAAGCGGATGTGTTCGGATGGCTTACTGGTCGCACTGCGAAACCGCCCACGAGCTATCTCGCCAGCATTCCTTTGAGCTTGCCGTTGATCGGTCTTACACAGCTCACTCAGTTCTTGGTGTCATGCAGAGCCAGTGGTCTGAGCCCAGGACAGTTCCGCGACCGTGTGCTAGGCGCCACAGGCCACAGTCAAGGCATCGTTGCTGCGCTCGTCCTGGCAACTTCAGATGACGAGCCCTCTTTCATTGAGAACTGTGTCAAGGCACTCGGCCTCTTGTTCCACATTGGCAAGCGCGGACAGGAAAGCTTCCCTGCTTTGTCATTGGACGCCGCCCTGGTCGCAGACTCCGTCGAAGGAGGGGAAGGAGAGCCGACGCCAATGCTGTCTGTCCAAGGTCTCGCTATTCGAGCGCTCGAGGGAGCGGTTGCAGCCGTCAACAAGCATATCCAGGATGCAGCACACAGGATCGACGTGTCTCTTTTCAACGGACCTTCGTCCTTTGTCGTGACTGGTCCGCCTCGTTCCCTCTTTGGCCTCGTAGGGCATCTGCGCTCGAAGAGAGCCGATCCAAACGTCGACCAAAGCAAGCTTCCATGGAGCAAGCGCAAGCCTGTGTTCACTATGCGCTTCTTGCCAGTGGGCGTGCCATATCACTCATCACATCTCCTCGGCGCTACAGAGAAGGTGGCGTCCATCGACTACCAGGAAGCTTGCATATGGCGACCGAGAGACCTCAAGACGGTCGTGCGCAACACCTATGATGGATCAGACATGAGCTCTTACGCAGAAGACACTAGCCTCCTGCGATCCATCTGCGACCAAATTTTCACCCATCACATCCATTGGACCAAGGCCTGCGACGTTCCACCCTCCACTACGCACTGCGTCGACTTTGGCACGGGGGGTTTGTCAGGCATTGGAGGTCTCACGTTGCGGAATTTGGAGGGGCGTGGTGTTCGTGTGGTGACAGTCTCGGGCAGACATAGGTACAGCCCTGAGCTGTACGACGTTGCTGCCGTGCAAAGAGAGAGACCGTGGAGCGAATTCGCACCCAAGCTCGTAAAGACTCCCAATGGCCTGCAACTCGACACCCCTCTCTCGCGCATCCTCGGAAGGCCGCCGATCACCGTCGGTGGTATGACACCGACGACAGTGCAGGCAGGCATCAATGCTGCTACTGCACAAGCAGGGTACCATATCGAACTTGCTGGAGGTGTGAGTGTAACCTGCGTCAAATACATTCTTCGGCTCAACGCTCACTCTGCTTCCTCTTTCCCAATCGTGTCCTCCTCCAGGGTCATTACAACGCCAAAATGCTGCGAGACAAGATCGACACGCTTCAAGACCAGGTCGATCCCGGAGTGGGGTTCACGCTCAATTCTCTATACATCAATCAGCGCCAATTCAGCGTGCAGTATCCAGAGTGGCTGGCTATGCGAAGGGAAGGCTACCCCTTGCAGGGCTTCACATGCGCTGCAGGCATCCCCTCCCCAGAGAAGGCAAAAGAGATGATCGAAGGTTTGCAAGCGGCCGGCTTGCGTCACATCACTTTCAAGCCCGGATCTGTGGACGGTATCAGGCAAGTCTGCACCATCGCAGAGAAAAATCCCACCTTTGGCATCATTCTTTGCTGGACGGGTGGACGTGCGGGTGGACATCACTCACCAGAGGATATGCACTCGCCCATTCTCTCCACGTACGGCCGCATTCGAGCGCATTCAAATCTGGCCTTGGTCGGCGGATCAGGATTTGGCTCAGCAGACGACTTCTGGCCTTACCTGACCGGCGATTGGAGCAAAGACAAATTCGGCACCCAGCCCATGCCCTTTGATGGTGTCATGTTCGGCTCGTGGATCATGGTAGCCAAGGAAGCTCACACTGCAGACCCTGTAAAGGAACTGATTGTCAAAGCGCCTGGATGCGGAGATGAAGAGTGGGAGACCACTCACGGCAAAGACGGAAAGAGCGGAATCATCTCCGTGAGTGCCCACAGGTGCTGCATTAGTGGGATCATCGCAACTCATACACTAACGACATTCGGACTTGTTCCCATACCCTGCAGGTCGTGAGCGAGCTTGGAGAAAGGATCCACGTTGTTCAGAACAGGTGTACTGACCTTTGGCGCGAACTTGACGAGAAACTATTCTCACTATAATGTGGATAGATTTGGCTTGCCAAGACCCCTGCATGTTCGACTCTGTCACTGACGCGCAATAGATGACTTGATGATACGATGACATTGCGGTCTTTGGAGTGAATCGAAGAGAAGCCATAGGTGTCACGCCTCAAGCTAAGACAAGAAAGGGTGATTGAGAGCTTCTCTGGGAGTGATGCGCTTCGCGGGATCGAGTTCCAGCGTGCGATTGAGGAGGTCGATGAAGTTGTTGGTCAATCGCAACTCTTCGTCAGATAGCTTCTTTGCGGTGTTTGCCGGCAGTAAGCGCGCGCGTAGATCCTCAACAGGCTTTTGCAAATTGACTTTGCGGATGACGTCCTAGACGCAGGTGGACAAAAGAACATGCGTGTCAGCGAGGCGCCACTTCCGACAAGCTTTGTTCACCGCTACTCACTACTCCAGTGTTCTTGTCCTTTTCCATGCTCAGAAAGTTGTTTGTGTCGTCGAAGTGCTGAGCGGCAAATCTGCCCTTTTTCGCTTGCTTTGTGGTGAAGCGTCCTCTAAGTTCTTGCATCAAGAGCAGCATTTGGTTGTTGGTGCGGCCCGGGAACAGAATCTTGCCAGTCGCAACCTCGTACAGAGTACATCCGATGCTCCACACATCGATTGCGCAATCGTACGGTGCCCCAAGCACTGCGTACACGCAGGGCGGATAAGCTTCACGCTAGAGCCGGTTGAGAGGGAATCTCACTCACCGATTTCGGGAGCACGGTAGAAGCGGCTGACCAGATAAGGGGTAATCTCCACTTCGGTGGCATCGGATGCCGAACCCAGATCGCAAAGCTTCAAGACATTCTTGCCCTCGTTGACCTGACATGAGCAGGGTGGCGATCAGGACACAATGATCAGTTTCCTGTCGTTGAAGTGCGGCTGCAAGAGACCACCTACCAGTATATTGTCCGGCTTGATATCGGCATGAATGACGTTGGCTTTGCGTAGCAGAGACAGAGCCAAAAACATCTGATGGGCATACGCTCGAACTGCGCGGTAGTTGAGCCCAACGTCTTTACCGAAACGCTTGACTACTTCTCTCAAATTCATGCTGCAAGCAGATGACGGCGTGGCATGAGCGGGATGACGTCTCTCTCAATGATCCACGACATTCGCGCGCACCTGAGAAGTTCAAACACCATGCAAAGGTGACCTCTGTGTTCAAAGTGGCTGTCCAAACGAATGACGTGGCGCTTATCTTCAGGGTCCAGCGATGCCAGCTTTTGCAAGATAGCCATTTCCTTAATGCCGGCTTTATACCTGGGGGGTATTAGAAAGTGGCCGTTGAGAAGAGGTGCACACTATTGGCTGCACGACCTCACTCACATGGTCTCCTGAGATCGCACGACTTTGATGGCAACTTCGCGCTCCCGCGCAGGCTCGGTGCTGGTGGAAGGTATGGTTTCTCGAGCCTTTACGACATTGCTGAACATACCTCTGCCGAGGTTGGCAAAGACCAGATAGCGTCCTTCCGGACCTATACGCTCGCCAAGATTGATCTTGTAATACCCGTCAGCGTCGTCAAAGTTGTCCAGAAGATTTGCAGACACCTCGGGTGCAGTAACGATGACGGGCTGTCGGCGGTACTTGTAAATGTGAGTCTAGGAGTGCACATCATTGAGCTTTGTGCTGTGCAGGCTCGAGCATACACTCACAGCTTGTGAAGCAATTGCTCCTTTCTTCACTCGAATGATCTTTTTCTTCGGCTTGCTACTTTCGTCATCGCTTCCCAACGCGAACATGTCTTCTACTTCGTCATCGTCATCCACCTCTATCTCTTCATATTCGCTTTCAGCGCCCTCGACGCGTTCTTGAGCTTCGCCGATGCCAGCAGCAAGCGATGGTTCCCCCTCGACTGGTTGACTAGCGCCATTCGCTCCTGTACTTGTCTGCAGCTTTGCTCGAGCCCTGGCTTCGTCTTCTAAGCGATCAGAGTCTGGATTGTAATCGGCTGCGGACACCTGAGGACCACCAATGTGTCCGTCATCGGCCGCGCCTTGCGTGTCCGCCTTTGCAAGCGCAAAGTCAGCATCTTTCTCTTGGTCGCCGATTGGCGAGTCGGATGGATGCGTGTCCAACACAGCTACGAATTTGGAAGGTGGCAGAACGTGAATGAACGCTCTCACTCAAGTACGCACAAAGCTCGACGCACCTGGAGACTCTTGTCCGCTGATGGAGATGCCTCTGAGATTTCGCGTTGCAGAAGTAGCGGTCGACGTGCTGCTCTCAGCGCCCGCATGCTTGGCAAGGATTGCGGCCCTCTTCCTTCTCCGCTCTTCAATCATACGCGCCTCTTCTTCCTCCGACGGTTCCAGCTCGAAATCGATTGCGGTGTCGCGAACTGGCTGTACAAGTTTGATCTGAGCCGGACTGACTCTGCCCCGGGGCGCAAATTGGTCTAGGATTGAGCGTGCGCTAGCCGCAGCAATAGTACGAACGTGACTCACTGCCCTTCCTCTAGCACCTCTGATGCCTCGAGACCACCAACAAGACTATCTTGCTCCTGCCGAGGGCCACGCGGGAGGCGTCCTTCCTGTTGAAGAGATCTATGGCGGTCCTGCTCATGATGCCTCGGATAGTCCCGGTATCCTGAGTCTGGCATCGCATCGCGATGCGAATGTCGAGAACCATTTCTGGAGTCTCTATCACCATGGCTACGATGTCGAGCATGATGGTTCGAGCTGTGATGTTCTGATCTGTGACTGTCGTGGGGCGCTCTAACAGCGCGCCCCGAGTCTAGCTCACCTCCATGCCTACCGGGTGGATGAGTGTCCTTGCGTCTCTCATCTCTGTATTCTTCCCACTCTCTGCGGTGCTGATGAGCACTTCCGTCTTGGCGACGAGAGGTGGCATCCCGCTTGTCATGAGCTGAAGGGGAAATCGCTCTCTTCCTGGAGGACATTACCACCACGGATGAACGATTAGAAGCGCAAGAGTCAAGAAGAGCGGAGGGTAGCCGGGCGAGGCTCTCGAATGGTAAGCAAATGCCAATCAACTGCACACAGAGAAGGTCCAGGGTGGCGTACCAATGCACGGTATCCTTGGCTTTGCTCCGATGCGATGTCCGCTCTCTTTAAGCTGCTTGTAACCGCACCGGGACGTCACCTAGCGACGACAAGAGCGCTTGCTTTTGCAAGCTTGCGAAGGAATGGACGATGTTGAGAGGGGTCGTTGGTGATGGCGAGTGGTAAGCAAGAAGATGGGCTGTGTACTGAGTGACCAAGCTGGCATACTCTGCTTCTGTACGTTCAAGAGTCACGAGTACGAGTGGCGAGTCAAAAGTGACCACCAGCAGTAGGTGATGTGATGACCATCTCCATCACGCGCTGATTCGCGGCGCGCACTGCGCATCGCGCACGCGGGCGCGCATCTCCACATCGAGCATGTATACGCTCCCCTGCTGCTGATCAGGCCAAGTTTGGACACCTCTTTCATCCTTCCTGCGTGGCTTGCACGGCATCCGTCTGTCTTCTTATCAACTCAACGTGTTCACACCTGAAGGCTGCACTCGTCACTACCTCTCACGCCGCGCGCTCTCCAGACCAAGGCATAGTCTTTGCGAGGCAGCAGCAGCAGCAGCAGCAGCAGCAGCAGCAGCAGCTAGTCTCATTTCGTCAGGTTATTTCGACGTCAGCAGATAGACTCATCATCGAGGACTGCATCGAGGGAAGATCTAGCCTTCGAAGAAAGGTTCTGAAGATGCAAGACTCTCTGGGCGCGCTTCTGGCGATTGGCCTGATCTGGCTCGTCTTTCGTTTCGCCTTTGGCTCTTCGTCCTCGTCAAGTTCTGGAGCTGGCCGCGGACAAGCGGCAATAGGCGGCGCCGCACCTGCACCTGCTCAGAGTATAGCGCTGCGAGAAAGGGTCAACAATGTACCAGCAGAGATGGTGAGTCCCTAGAGCCAAGTAGAGTCGATGCACACGTGCTCTTCCGGATCTCTGACCTGGCTTGCCTACCAACTTTGTTCCAGGTCCAAACAGTACAGACTATGTTTCCTCACGTATCTGCAGAAGCTATCCGATACGATCTAGTCAGGAGCGGCAACGTGGAGGTGACTTGCGAAAAGATACTCAATGACGGCGGTTTGCCAGAGGTGAGTGAGCCTGGAAGGTGGATGCCCAGCGGCGCTTGTGTGGTGCTCACCATCACGACTGTGCCATGTCAGCCGCCTACTGGACTCTTTGGACCTGCAAGACCTCCGCCGCAGACACGACCGGCAGAGTCAGCACGGACAACCAGCGGAGTGTTAAAGGGCTCAGGCAGCTCGAGCTTGATAGCTCGCTTCGGCCTAGAATCAAGGCTCGGTGCTGCAGATGCTGCAGTAGGGGACGAGATAGGAATTGGCAAAGGCAAGGGCAAACAGGTGGATGATTTGACGGATTCTACTCCTCAGAGTGTTAAGAAGGCCTGGAGCGATGATGCGGATATCAGGACCAAGGAGCTGCGCAGGAGGAAGGAGCAAATGATCTTGAATGCCAGGAGGTGAGTGAAAGCAGCCTTCATTGATGTGTAGTCTTCAGTCTGTTTCGCTCACAACCTTTCTGGCCCGAGGGCTTTTTCCTTGTGGGACAGGCGCATGGAGACTGCAGCTGCTCAGAAGAGCTCGCCCTCTGCGTGATGCTGCTACGCTCAGCACACAGACCGTGTCCATCGTCACTCAGTTGTCTTGCGCAGATCCAGAGCACGTCGCTGTTGGCGACCACGAGAATCAGACAACAGGTCACCAAACAAAGGAATGTATTACTGTGTCGAGTACTTAAATGCTCGAGAAGAGTGTGGGCGAAGCAGGAGGGGTATGAAGCGTTGACTCGCAACTCACTCCGGACGTTGCGGTGTCCCTGTTCGCAAATGTGATGTGGCAGGGAGATGAAAGAGTGTGTAATGGTGACGTAGTGGCTGCACGGATGTTGAGTTGAAGTGGCTGTTAGGGCCAGAAAGGCAGCAGATGACATGACGTCTGGCGCGATTGCATGGAGGCCGACGAAGAAGACTTTCAGGACAAGTGATCATTCAGTTGTAGTCCCATCTGAAGCGGACACGGAAAGAGGAAAGATGTGAACACAGGTGCAAGGTTGCGGCGGATGCTGCTGCAGAGGCCGCAAAGCAGCTCACCCAATCCCAATCACTCCTTCACTCTTGGGCGCGAGCTGCGAGAAGGCGCTTGGACTGAAGTCAAGCGACCCAACGTCTGATCAAAGAAGGGATCCTAGGATGTTAGCAACCTTGAATGCTGCCAGCTCGCCTCGTCGCCCATTGAGACTCACGGCAGGAAGGGCACATGTCGACGACCTGGACGGAAATGCAGCGGCCGTCGTGGCAGACTTTGCATTGGACAGGGTAGTATGAGTGCACGCAGAAACCAAGCTTCCGCGGCTTTCGTCTGGCTTACCTCTGATGTTCTCGCCGCAATGGCTGCCTCCGTCCCACTGATGGACGCTGATTGCGACGATGCTATCATCAGCAGAGTTGACCCATCCGCAAGCTCCACGATCGGGTTGATACTGTCGCAAGGCACGTCATGGGTCAATCGAGTTTCCAAGTCGGCGTCCTCAAAAAAGAGAGAGAAGCTTGCACTCACGTAGGTTCCTCGCCCGTTAAAAGAGTGACGCTTCTCGAGCGTGTGGTAGCCAGTGCTGGGTGCGGAGCTGCCATCAGTGTGGGTGGTCTGCATGCGCGTGTATTGGTCAGAAGCGGCGTCGTCCAAAGGCAGCGGACTTGACTGTCTGCGGGTCTTGACCATGCCTCTAGCAGGCTTAGAAGCTTTCGGGGACTCGGAGGCGTTCGTTGTTGCAGAATGAGACTGAACATCGCCGGAGCTGGGTTGTGCAGGGGAGGCATCGTCTTGCAGGACGTCTAGATGCTCCACATCGGGCTGCACAAGGTCTCGTAAATACGCGGCTGGAACAGGGTCCCGCTGTTCAAGCTTGCTGATGGTGGGCACCGATGCTGTAAGAGGTTTCGCTGCGATGGGTAGGGTTGATGCGCGCACGATCACGACAGTGGCCATGGACCAAGCTGTGAAGCTCCACAGAGTGATGAGCCTCATGGTGATGAGCTGTGTTGAGTTGTTCGAAGGGTTCGAAGGGAATGAGGAGTGGTGTCGTTGTAGTGGATGACTAAGAGACGACGGAGATGGTGGCTGGATCTGTAGAGTCGAGCTGTCATACACGACTACTTCAGCTTCGAAGAGGTCGAGTCGTCACGAATAACCAGTGGCTTGACGACGCTGCGATGGCAAGACTTGTTCAATGGAGCGTCGATGTTGGTGGTCGAACTGCAAACATGAGACAAAGGATGGCGAGGATCCGTTGAGCTGCCAAGACTGGAACTGGGTGAGGCACAGCGGCGTTCAAAGGTCGAGTCGGGTCTTGTGCTGCAGCCGATAGCAGTCACAAACCAACCTCTCAAGTTGCCGAAAGCGGGGATCTTCTACCGACTCGCATAGATCCTGCACGTCGTTGAAATCATGGGTTTACTGATAGGCTGTTTAAGACTCCCTATCTTTTTTAACAAACAGGACCCCAATCGGCATTTAGGAGGGCGGCAACGGTAGCCGTAGTGGCGATAAGGCGTCCAAATTCGCTAAACCCACATGATCGCCCAGCTAGAATTGAGCCCTTCTCACTGCGAGTAGCACGAGCGCTCAGACCCCTGAGTCTCAAAGGGGGTAGGCTCCTGATCTAGAAGCTTCGCACATTTACCATAGGATCGTTTGAGAGACAGCGGTAATCAACGTGCTTGTTCGACCTGCGTGAGAAACGCTAGACGCCTGACTCGGTGAGAAAGGCCATGTCATGTTCGGGGCGTCCGCTGGTTGCGTCATGCACCTTGACCGTTGGTGACCGTTGGCAGCACGCTGCTCCTCTGCTGGACATGGGTCGTGCGTCGTGCTATCGTATGATTCGCATTCGTGAAGCACATGGGCCTGGTCGCCATGCAATCATCTTGCAAAGATCTCAGCGAGCGGGGTGTCTTTGCAAGGGGAGTCTGACTGATGAATTACAAAATAGGCGAAGGGAAGGTGGAGGCAACGAGGTAGGTCGCAGCTAGGCGGCTGCATGCCTATAGATACCATGAAGAGCCCGCGTCACGAGACGACCGCGCGCAATATCACGTGATACCACTCGAGTCAAGCCAGTGACACGGGTCACGTCACGTGCAGACTTACTGATTCCAGTCAGATGGTCACGAGTCACGAATATGTACACTCCTCTGGACGCACAGACGTACCAAGCAGAGAGTCAATTGTCGATCAGCACGCACGACAGGTAGCTGCTGACACTAGAGTCCATCCGAGCAGAGTGCAAGTCGAGTCCGAGCACGACTGCGCTGACTGTTGACTCTAGGTATGCTGCCCGTGTCAGCACGCTACATCCAGCATATATGTATTATACGCGCTGCACTTGATCGTGACTCGCACGCAAGCCAAGCGCGGAGCCACGCGTGATGAGTCCTCACGCCGGCCGCCCACGCCGCTTTGGCTCGCCGCTTCAAATTTTGTCGGTGCGCGCGGACTCAAGTGTGGAGGCAGCTGAGCAGTAGGCCTCGCCTGCCTCACTGCGATCGAATGCGTTCAATTGCAAAAGGCACTTGACTTGACTACCCTTCCCCCATTCATCTTTACATCCATCGCCATCCACGCCCGACACTTTTTGTTTCACAATGGTGCAAACTCGGACGATCGTCAGCATCACGGCCGCTACGGCTGTTGCAGGCCTTGTTGGTTACGCTGTGTGAGTAATCGAAGCACAAGGTGCTCGGCTTGCTGCGCTGCGAGCGAAGGCGTAGCTGGGTGGGGGACGATTTCATCCACTCAGGCCATGCCTAGAGGCATTGATGAAGACGCTGACTCGCATCACTTGGCACCGTGCACACCTTGCATCTCCATGCGCAGATACTTCGACCACAAGCGCCGCTCTGATCCTCAATTCCGCAAAGCGCTGAAAAGGGATAGCAAACGGACGGCTCGCGCTGCTCAAAAGGCCGATAAGGAATCCAAAGCCGCGCTAACCGCAAAGATCGAGACTGCTGTCCGTGATGTGCGGAAGCCAGGTGTACTGCCCAGTGGTGTCGAGGAGAGGGAGCAATAGTGAGTCAAGCACTAGGCCGCCGCATTGCCGATTAACTCGGTCTCACACCGCGCCCGTGTTCAGCTTCATGATCTCCGTCGGTGAAGGTGAACAGCTCTTTGCTCGCGGGCCAGCTTCGCACTTCGATGCTGCCGTCGCTTTCTTCAAGGCACTGAAGGTGTATCCTTCACCTTTGGAGCTCGTCATGATCTACCAGAAGGCCGTGCCTGCAGAGGTGTTCGCCTTGATCATGGAAATGATTGGTCTGGATGTGAGTTATTTCCAGATCCAGGACTCGATCTGCACTTGGTGTTTCACTGACTGATCGCTGACGTGTTCCTCCACCTTCTCGGTGCAGGCCAAACTCGGTCCTGAGCCAGGCAGTGCGCCAGTCGATCCACGATTGTCTGAATTGGCGGCAGCAGCGTCGGGTGCACCGATTGCCCAACAAGCTGGCAACCTGGATGAGGTGGACGACGAATCGCCCGCTGCAGCAGGATCTTCCGCACCTGCGGCTGGCGCCACCCCAAGCACCGCCTCGCCATCGTCTGCACCCGTCAGTTCCAACGTATCTGGATCCGGAAATGGAGCGGACAGTGTTGCTGACGCTTCCTCTCAGGATGGAAGAGGTCCACCTAGCACCTACTCGTCCCAAGAAGGAGGCGCTGGAAACAGTAGCGGCGTTGCTAGCGGTTATTCTTCGCAGCCTGAGGGCAGTGCAGCTCCTTCCGTCGCTGGTGGGAACGGACAAAGCAGCGCTTTCTCATCTCAAGAATGGGAAAAGGTGTCGGAAGCTGGTAGCGGTGCTGTTCCATCCACCTCAGGAGCCGGACCTGCCCAGGCTTACAACCTCAAGCCAGAGGACGAAGCTCTCGCTTCCCCACCTCCAGGGACGAGCAACCCTGCTTCAGACGTGACGGCTACTCCTGCGACCGCAGCACCTCAAGCTGATGCTCAAGCGAGAGAGGCTGCTGCAGGGACACACGCATCTCTGGCCGCACAGCGAGCTGCGGGTAGTGACTAGGGTCACCGTGGTAGTCGAGTGCTCAAGGCGTACGGAGGTGGTCGGACTCGTCTACTGGACATGGGAGGGACGGTCCTGCCGGGCGACATGGTATTGGATACATGGCTACATACATGGAGGCGAAGATGTTTGCCCCCACGACATGGGCTACATACATGGAGGCGAAGATGTTTGCCCCCACCAAATTCATGGTTTCTCTCCTTCTCAATCAGGACATGTGAAGATGTCAGATTTCGCGCCGAGATTGATACAGAGTTGTGCGTAGCAACATCAAGGTTCATACGTCTACGCATCGCTTGTCGATCCGTCTACTTGCCGAGAGATGCCTACCGAGAGCTCTCGTCGTGCACCAGCTTCCAGACTGGCGAATACAAGAAATCATCGCGTATGGTACGGAGCGGATAGTATACAAGGTGGATCGGTAAACGCATGGTGTTACAGGTATTAGCGGGGTCGCATTGTGTATGAAGAAGCGTGTGAATTGTTGTGGTGCAGTGCAGGTATGATCCTGTCGTGAGGCGATCGGGGGGCAAGTGGGCCCAAGTGTCGCACAGAAGCATCGATACCAGACCTGCAGCGTGTTCATGCTCACTGGAACAGACGCATGAGGGGTTCGCCTGCCACAAAGTCAGTGATGCAAATGCGCTTGTCTTCTCCGGCGCTAATGATTCTCTGCGCGTCCAGTCTGACGTCAAAGATGCGACCTTCGGTGCCAGAGAGACGCATGATGGGCGTCAGTGTGGGCGTCGAGGCCGTTTGCGTGTCAATCGATGCAAGAGACGACGATTGCGAAGGCGGTACTGGAAGCGGTGTGGTTGAAATGCCGGCATCCACCTCAACTGTCGGACCCGCAAGAGCGTCCGCTGCATCCCACAGCATGACTTGTCGATCGTAGCCAGCTCCAGCAACGAGGTATCTGATGGGGTCAAAAGCCGTAGCTCTGACAAGTTGCGCATGTCCTCGACAAACGGCTCGGCATTGTCCAGTCTTGGCATCCCACACGCGTACGGTCTGATCGTTGGACCCAGTGACGACCGTCATGTTGGCGAAGCTGATGCAGGCCAGGCCCCTCTCGTGCCCTTCGAACACGCGCAGGCACTCGCCAGTGGCCGGATCCCACATTTGCACAGATCCATCACCACTGGCGCTGACGGCAACCGTCCGATCGTCATCGAGCTTGCCAAGACAACCAGCATTCACCGGTCCAACATGCTGCCTATAAACGCGCTTGAGGGCCATATCCTTTCTGCTCGTGATACGGATGGTCGTGTCCTTGGAGGTGCTGATAATCCATTCCTTGTCGAAGCTGACATCTAGTACGCCGGCTCCGTGACCCTCTAGCTTTCCAATCTTGCTCGGCACCCACATCTCATCGCTCCTCGCGTCGACGCCCGGATCCGTGGCCTGCGCTCGAGTGGCACAGAGCCTGAAGTCCCAAATGATGACAGTCGCATCGGACGATCCTGTGATCAGAGTTTCCTCATCGTAGTCGAGACACAGCACGCTGCCCAAGTGTCCTTTCAAGGTGTACAGGCACAACCCTCGTTGACCGTCCCAGACCCGAACGGTGCGATCTCTTGAGCCAGAAACGATAATGCCCCTGGTACCTACCCCCTCAAGATCATTAGCAACACGTTGTTGCTTAGTCCACTTAGTAGAGCTGCCAATGTGCGGAGCATTGCCAACTTGCTCATCTACCTCCATAGAGGCAGGACTCATTTGGGGCTGGCTTTCCTGGGAGGGCACCCGGAGCCGAAAGCTGGTCTCGATTCCATTGTGCGCGTCGAAGTCTGGTTGAACGATGCGCTTCTTCAAGCACGCTCGCGGCCACCACACTGTGAGATCGCTACGCGCACAGTAGATGCTATCAGTGTGACCTACCAGGTACCTGGTCGTCGGCTGCCATTTGGACTCGAACACGCTCGCGCCTGAAGAACCACGTCGATGACGTCCTCTGAAATCTCCTGGACGAGGAAGACGCGTGGGCAAAGTTGGATCAGGAACGGGAGAAGATGTGATTGTGCCAGGGATGAGGAAAGGGTTGTCGCTGGAAGGTGTCGTCGGAGTTGGCCGATCTGGTATTGGCGAAGGTGAGAGACGATCTGAAAGCTCGCCCGCACCGGTGGGCGTCAGATTCCAGCGCTTTGCAAGGGCATATCGTGCGGCGTACAGCGCTTGCCAACTGATCCTCGGTGCGCTGGTTTGGGAACGTGGGAGCGGCAAGCCACTGTGGCCAAAGGTGGCGTACAGCGCCCCGGTGATTGCGCACTCGCTTTCAGCAAAAACGTTTGATCGTTGGTGATTGGCGGATTCGCCAAACCCGCAAGGAGAGAAAGAGGTGGCCTCATAACCGCCAAATAGACCTTCTCGTGGTCCTTTGCCGTTGTTTGGCACCTCTGACCACAATCGATTCCAGATCTCGAGGGCGTTTGGACGCAGCAACCAGCCCTGCAAAGCTCTGTCCAAGTATTGCGCTCGCCACACCCTGGCGTCCATCGCCCTCTCGTTCCAGAGGTGACACACCAAGCGACACCGCACCAGATCGCGAGGTGCAGAGACAAATATCAAAATGTGCAACGCCAGCTCAGGTGGCAGCTCTCCGATAAAGTCTGCAGCAAATGAGAGCGGTCCGCATGAAATGATGCGCCGATTTATGCATAGAAACTGGGGGCACTTCAAGGAGGCATAGCACTCACCTTTAGTTGGAGCGGTCCAGTCCACCTCGCAGCCCTCATCGATCCTCTCTTCCGCGCTCGTGTCCATCTCCTCCTGACTGCTGCTGCTCATGACCGCCTTGCTCGTATCGAGACTTGTGTGCTGCGCCATGGCCCTGAGTTGAGCTCGCACATCTCTAGCGCTCGTCATTCTTGATCTGCGTGTCTTTCTCGGCTCTATCTGAGTAGCAGATATGGAGCGGGATGAAGGAGGTTGTGCGTGGTGAGGGTGTGGTCCGGCCTCACGAAGCTTGCGGATGCGAGGGTCTTGCCAAGCCAAGGCGAAATGAAGCTGAATGCTCCCGTATTGTGTCCTGTGAGCGAGAGCGCTGATCACAATGGACGGTACGCTCGAAGGGAATGGGCGCTGGACAGATGTGCTAAGGCGCGGTCAAGCAAGAGGGGAAGCGGAGTCCAAGCGGTCGTTATAGATCCAAGGGCATGCTTCGTAGTCTGATTGCTTCATATACCGCTAGTCAGCATATATATATCCATGCGACGGCAATCGTGAACACATGGGCTTAGAGCGAGCGCGTGTAGGTCGTTGCGGTGGTTGGTTGTGAGCTCACCATATACGTATACTCACACTGTAGTCACGCCTGTTCGCGCAGCAGCTGAGTCACAACACAACAACAGCGCCGCGCTTGATTTTGATCGATCGATCGATCGCCCAACATCGGCCGCGGCCGCGGACGCACGCGCCGCCGCCGTTTATTGCATGCGTGACGGACGCGGGCTGTGCGCGCAGACGCCGCCCGGCTGAATGCATGCATGCATGATCAACAGCGCTCCTCTCGACCATACCCCTCCCCGCACCCTCGTTTGTGGGTGCCATTCAGTAGGGTCTCCCAGCTGGAGCAAACAATCTTGAATCTTGGCTGCATGATCTAAGATCAATGTGAAACACGCTTCGATTTGCTGGCAGACCGTCGACAGCCAGATCAATCTCAAAAGTCGGGATCAACATGGACGCCAAGCCCAAGCTTGCATTCTCCTTCAAGAAGACCGTTCCCTCCATTGGATCTAACGGTGTCTCGGCATTCTCAGGCAATGGGCTTAACCAAGCTTCAAGCTCGAGCTCTCAGGCATCCTCGAAGTCGCAAGCACCTAAGACGACGCCCATTACCGGGTTCGGCGGAGATGATTCGGGCGGCGAAGATGATGAGGATGTAGCGTCTGCTGCAAGCGGGAGCAGGCAAAGTCAGTCAAGCTCCAAGACCAAACGGAATAAATTCGGCATGGGTGCGGTCCCGCCTTCGAAAGCTTCCGCCGCTAGACAAGCGGAAGCATTGCAGCTTGATGCTAACATCAATGATTACGATGGGGTTTGGGATGCCATGAAGAGTGCAGAGAAGGAAAAGCAAGCATTGATAGACGAGCAAGCCAAAACTCGAGAGGTGCGTGACGTCGGAACGCTTTCTTGGCCATCAAGTGTCTTGCTGACGCCAATGATCCCTCGCGCCACTCTCCCAGTCCAAATACTCCTCCGCCTTTGCAGCTTCTGCGACGAGGAGAAAGATTGACAGAGCGAGAGCAGAGGCGAAGAAGATCGCTAGGGAACGAGACGCGGAAGGCGCTGAATATGGAGATACGGAGGAATTTGTTACCGAAGCTTACAAAAAGCAGATGGAGGAGATTGCAGAGATGGAGAAGCGCGAAGAGGAGGAAGAGAGTGAGTGAAGAGTGGCGCGATGCCGCTCCGACACAAGCGCTTGCTAACACTCGTCCTATAGAACGCAACAGGGCCGCCAAAGCTGGTGGTATGGCCACTTTCCAAAAGGATATGCTAGCATCCAGAGCTTCGGCGCACGATGCGGCCGTTGCTGCTTCTCTCAGGCCTCAAGAAGATGGCAAAGACGCGGCTGCGTCAAGAGGAACACAAGAGACAGCCGAGGAGAATGCAAGTGCGACTTCTCATCGCAAGCTTGCGGAAGAAGCACGGGCGAAGGGCTTGGATGTGAGGCTGAACGATGATGGAGAGCTGGTCGACGAGAGGTCTGTGCTGTCCGCTGGCCTCAATCACGTCTCCAGACGCGCTAAGGGCAGGGACATGGACATTGGTCGGGGAAACAGCAGAGCCGCATATCAAGAAGCTCGTCCTGGTCGAGACGGAGCGCAAGAAGCGAGGGAGATGAGGAATGGACAAAGAGCTCGACACTCGCAAATGCTGGAAGAGCAGATGATGGAATTGCAAGCGAAGAGGGAGAGGGATGAGGAGGATGAGATGAGGGAGAAGAAGAGGAAGCTAATTGGAGACAGATCGAACGACGAGAAACAAATTGGCAGCGCAAAAGAGAGGTACATGCGAAGAAAGGCGGAAAGGGAAGCAGCTGCTGATGGCGGTACCATTGCTGCGCAGACCACCTTGAGTGCCGAGTGATGCGGGCACCGAAAGCACCGAAGGTCTTGTAAACATGCGTCTCAATGTTATCTGCGTGTACTGAGCATACGTAACGCATCGTTTGAGACTCACGGGTCTCTCCAATGCAAAGTCCGGAAGACGAATCGATGCCGGGGACGTCGGGAATTTGCATGCATGTCAGCTTCACATCAAGCCACATGCTGAGAAGAAATTCTTGCTGGGCTTCTACAGCTGCGCGTGAAAAAAAAGGTTAACACCTCATGCAGAGATGAGAGCCCATTCACATCCCTCACTCTTGAAACACTCATAAGTCCATCAATATTGGAGCAATCTACCTCAGACTTTCAGGTCATACAGTTCAAACATTGAAGAATGTGGAAATATGTTTTGTGTACCAAATATCAGTAGAGTGTTGCAAAGCCTCTAGTTCTTTTGACAGCTTTCAATCTACTCTCCATACTGTCAATGGCCTTGTCAACCAAAGATTGTGGCATGTTTGCCCAGAGTTCTTGTGCCTCCTCAAACCGCTCATACTCATTCTTGGGGTGTCTCTCTGAGTTCTTGAGCTGATTCTTGAGCCATGCCCAGCAGTTCTCAATGGGATTGAGGTCTGGAGAGTTGGGAGGGTGGGGAAGAGGGGTGTATCCTAATTGTCTGGCCATTTCCTTTGTCAGTCTTGCTGTGTGAACAGGAGCATTGTCCTCCCCCAATGTAGGAGGGCCTCCTATCATCCCAAGACCTGTGAGGTAGTCTCTGAGCTTGCCTTGAGTGATCTGCTCTCTGTAAATGGTGGCATTCACACCACCCTTCTTTGAGGTACTTTTGCTGGTCTCAAACATGTACAGTGGATGCTGCCCATGCTTGCTGATGCCAGCCCAGACCATGAAAGAGAGTCTTTTGCTGCTGACCTTAGGTCTGACATTTCTTTTAAGCCATGCTTCATTAGGTTTGCTCCAGACTCTTGTGCTCTTTGAAGGCATGTTAGTCGATGTGGTCTCATCTGTAAAGGCTGTCTGACTCCAGTCATGTTTGAGGTACTTTTGGGCATAATCCAACCTCCTTTTCCCATGTGCCTTGTTCAGGAAGGTGGAGTGCCTTGCCACACGCCAATTGAGACCCATTTTACCTTGTCACTTGGAGCACCATGTACTGTGTGAAGTGGACCTCTGATGTGCTGGCCATGTTGGCAATCAACTTTGCATTCACCCCCTTGTGAGTCTTGAAGAAGTAGCCAGACGCCTCAAGGCTTGAGGTGTGTGCTTAGGGGTCCTTCCTCTTTGCTCAATTGCATCCTTGGGTCTCTGGGGTCCTTCCTTTGCCATCCTGGCAGCTGTTACATGACTAATCCCATCTTGGGCCCCAACTTGTCTGCTTGACATTCCCTCATTCATGAGTGCCAAGATTCTATGCTTCTTCCTGGGAGTCAAATGCTTGAATGAACTCCTGTGATTGTTGCCTACATTCTCCTGCAAATTTGACATGATTTGGACTGACATTGACAGAGATATGGCACTTTGATGGTGCAAGTGAGTATACACGTGAGGAGGCATGTATGCAGCTGTTAGCCTTTTTGTTCACACACAGCTGTAGAGCCCATCAAAATTGCAGGAGATCAGGATCAAAGGTGTGAACTCAGGAGATCGACCAATAGCGTGCGTTGTGCGGCATGGCACATGCAATTGGGGCCACACAGGACCAGCTCTCTCATCGTAAAAATGGACCACCACCTGTCTCACAGGTCAAGGAGAGAGTTTTCTAGTCAGCGTCATCAGGCACAACCTTGCTGGGTCAACATAGACTTCAATTGGTATGCGGTGGAAAAAGTTTGGGATGTTATTGACTTTCATAGATCACTATTGATCCTAATCAAACCTTTGTCCCAGTCTTGATCAACACTGTACCCATGACCTTGCTGGCTAATGGCAGGCCAGGCTGTAGTCGTGAGGGCATTTTAGACAGTCAAGATGGATCTTGGGTGAGACTGAGAGCTGCTCATACGAATCCTTATTGGCATCCGGCATGCCAAGCCAAGCCAAAAAGGGTGTTCACGGATCAAGCTGCTAAGACCCCAGATTGCTTAAGACCATGTCAAAATGAGCCTAGGGACCACAATTCTGCTGTACAATTGCCCAAATAGAATGGTTGAATTCTATGTTGCCCCTGTCAAGATGATGATGAGAGGGGTCAGTCAGGTGCCACTCTTTGAGCATATGTGCGTGTGTGCACTATGGTGGCCAGCAAATGCTGGCTACATGCTTCATTGCAAGGCTTCCTGACAGAAGCAAGTCTTGCAAGGCGGAATTAGAATTGTGAAGGAGAGACAGGGCACCTTTTGCTGGCTATCTACATTGCCAGCAGACAATCTTAGGCAAGGAGGTTGTTTGTTGGATTTGATGGCATCTTGGGGTGGCGCTGCTTGCTTCTGGCCCATGTTTGCAGCAACTGTGACACGTGTCAAACAAGAGCTACCAGGTATTGATGCCCTGGTAAGTGTATAATGGTGGTGTTCGGCTGTAGGCATGGATTCTTGAAGCTCACAGGGGCATCTTGGATGCATGATTGCATTGTTGGCAGTGATCTGCATGATGTGCCAGCTTCTAGTCATAAGCCATGAAGCTGCATGTTGGTAGCAGCATTGATTGACATAAAGTCTTGCACCTGTGCTTGGGACCCCTAATGTGCAGCAGCAAGTATGGTACAGCAGGTTCACACAATAGACAGAAATGAACTCATCTGATGAGCAGCAACTTTGTTCAAGAGCGCAGAAGAGCAATAAACACAATGTTCTGGCATCATGGATCGTGCGAGCCATGCAGAGGCTGTTGACCGTGGGGACACCAGGCTGGGCCGTGCCAGATGTGGAAGTCATGACTAGGAAAGGCAGGCGCATCAGCAATTGGCAGGCCGGAATGACAAAGAAGGGCGCCACTTTCAGACTGGAGCAAGCGCTGTCATCTTGAGAGTAGCCAAGGGATCGAGCATCCTGCCAGCCCTATGCAAGTCGAGTATCCGTCTAAGTCAAAGGAGCTGCAAGCTGAATATGAGCATCAAGGGTCACGCAAGCGGGCTGAGACATGTTGGGTGAAGTCAATGCGTATTGTTGAACTTTGCTTTGTGCGAGTGACATGTGGGTGCATGTGGACTGGTAGTAGTGATTCAACGGGGTGGGAAAGGCTTGAGTGAGGAGGCTGGAAGGTCGGAGGCAGGGAGCTGGATGTGACATCTGCTGGCACTCTGGACCATTCGAGCAACAAGGAAAATGCTCAGCGACTGCTGCGACGAGCGCTCGAGACGCGGACCTGCTTGAGGCCATGCTTGTCATTGCCATTGCGCTTCGTACCAACAATCACCTTGTGGTCGTCGGCGCTTGCTTGGATGAGTGAACTGATCTCCATATCAGTCTGATAGTCCATAGCATTGAGCTGCTTTTGAGCTGCAGCATTGAGACAACTAGATCCTTTGAGCTGGGCTCAGTGCATGTTCTCCACGGAGGTAGGCAAGTCGGCACAGAGCTGCTGAAGAGGTTTGTGGAGGAGACCTCCCCAGACAGCCACGTCCTCCTCCGTCATCTCGCGAGAGGCATCGCGCAGGTCCTGGCCAGAGAGTAGACAGTACTCAGCTATGCCAGCGTCGTCGCACATATCTGGAGACTGCTCACCTTGATCGCACGCAGCATCTTTGCGTGCGGCTTCTCGGGCTTTGGCTCCTCAAACGACCCCGTGGTGGTTTTGCGTAGGGTAGAGTCGATGGCACGGGCAGGGAGGCTCTTGACATTGCGAGGCACACCGACCACGTCAGGGATGGGCTGGTATTTGTTTGCAGCATAGCGCCATAAGGCACCAAGAATGCTCTGATAGTTTGACGGCAAGCGATGAGAGGGGGTCCACGGACCGTTGCAAATAGAAGGTGCAGGCGCTTGTGGGCATGTGGTTCAGTCAGCAAGTGAAGCGTCAATAGCTGTGAAGGCTGGAGCACGCAGAGTGCTGACCCGGGCTGCTGCGCAATCAGACTGCAGGAGGCTCAAGTCGTCTGTTGTTGAGATTGGGGCAGGCTGTCAACCTAAAGGGAAACGGCTTCTCAAAACCACAGGGGATCGCTTTGAACTGAGTCTTCCGAAGCTTAGAGAGCAACCAGACGATGAAAACTTGGAATCTCCCTAGTAGTTGCACTTCTCTCAGATCTCACTCCTCTGGTTCCTTATAGACGTTCTGGCAAGAAGTAAACGCTGGCATGTCACTTTCCCGCTTCCCAAACTCGAGCTTTGTCCACGGAGCAATCAAGTGAGCATCGTGGTGCTCTGCGTTTTGAAGCACAAGCTGCCTTATAACTCACCTCACTGTCATGCATGACGTCGAGAACATCACACAGAATGGTGATGAGCTTGGAGGAACAAGCAGCTCTGTATGGTTCTCGGACAATTGTGACCCACAAACACAATCATTGGAGTACCGTTACCAACGGAGACGAAAGCCTCTTCAGCAGCTGTCAGCTCACTAAGCAGCTGTCATCAAGCGCATGCGCTGTGTCCAACTAGAAGCCTCCTCAGAGCTACAGCTCAATCAAATGGACTTACGGGGTACACAAACACACAGACGCAAAGCGCTGTCAACCCTCTTTGTATAGTGACACAGGGCCACCCATTGGCTCTGCCTGTTCTGTGCGCTGTACGTGTGATGCAGGCTCTATCTCTTGGACAAGGTGATTGGTCTCCAGGTCTGTCTGATAGTCCAAACCGTTGAGCTGCACTTGAGCAGCAGCATTGAGACAACTGGATCTCTTGAGCTGGGTTTGGTGCATGTGCTCCACGGTGGTAGGCAAGTTGGCAGGAAGGCCAGGGATGTCCAGGAAGTGCTCATCCAGCAATCCGGTTGAGGTTGCAAAATGCCAGACGGCTGGTCGAGGATTGCGGACGGGCTGCAGACATAGTGTTGTGTCTGTTGAGCCGTTAAAGGGAACCTTGGAAGGCCGTCGTGTCCGCCAAGGTTGAATCGTTAGTGCAGCAGGCAGGCATCTAGCTAAGAACTGGAAAGCACGAGGGGCAAGAGGGGGGAATGAGATTCTGCATCAAAGAGCAGCAAATGCGCTCACAACTCACCTGCTTTGCGTCCACCTGTAGAGCCAAGAATCCATCTTGCACAGCACACCTTACTCAAGCTCAAAACAATGCAAGACCCCTTGTGCGGTCTGCATAGATGCTCTAGCATTGTTGAGCGCCTCACTCTGCCTGCCCTCTTGCATCACAGCCTTCTCGCATAGCTCCAAAAATTCCAGTTGACTCAAGACAGCTTGTGACACTGCAGGCACCCAATCTACAAAACCAGCTTCAAATGCGCAAGGGGGCAGCTGCATTGGTGTCCCCTTGGACTTGGTGGCTGAGCATCAACAAAGCAGCGCGCAGATTGCCATAGTGCTCTATTTGCTCAAGGTTGGAGTCGTTGTCAAATTGTTGGCAAGCTCTTTGGAGCGCAGAGGGATGCGTGAGCCCAAGAAGGGCGTCAATCTAGCCAATAAATGCGCTCACAACTCACCTGCTTTGCGTCCTCCTGTAAAGCCAAGAACCCGTCTCGCACGCAATGCCTTGCTCAACCTCAAAACAATGCAAGACCCCTTGTGCGGTCTGCATAGAGATTCTGACTTTGTTGAGCGCCTCACTCTGCCCGCCCTCTTGTAGCAGAGCAAGATCCTTCTTGCGTAGCCTCAAAAGTTCCAGTCGACTCAAAACAAATTGTGACACCGCAGGCACCCGATCTACAAACCCAGCTTTGAATCTGTCAAGCTTCAAGCGCACGGACGCGCTATCGCTCCAAATGTGCAAGCGGGCGGCTGGATTGGTGATCCCTCGGACTTGGTGGCGGAGCGTTAACAAAGCAGCGCGCAAATTGCCATAGTGCTCTACTCGCTTGAGGTCAGAGTAGTTGTCAAACTGCTGGCAAGCTCTCTGGAGCGCAGAGGGATGCGTGAGCCCAAGAAAGGCATCAATCTAGCCAATATCAGAGCTTACCATGATGCACCAATGGGCTTCGCTTGTAGCCCCTGTCTCGCGCTGGCGGGGGGAGCGACGGCTCATGCGGCTCGTGCGGCTCGTGTGCTGAGGGGTGTCTCGAGGACGCAAAGCGGTTTGGACTTGAAGGCTGCTGAGGCGTGGTAGCTCCTGTCAAGCGTGAAGGCTGGCAAGGATAATGAGCTTTCCTATCGAGGATTGCCCACGCTAATAGGGCTACTTTGAGCGCTGACTGACCGCTTTGAGCTGCCAAAAGGGCAAATCGGTGTCCTTTTGAATTGACATAGAGGCACAGAGCGCACCGATAAGAACGCTTTGGACAAATTACGAGAGGATGATCTGTACAAGCTTTGACCTACCGGCAACAGCTGTTGCAACGTCTCCGGAATAGGGATCGAGAGTCCTACTTTGCTCAACAGATCTTCCAGGAATCGATGATCAATCTGTGTATGTCAAAGGCTTAGCCTTCTTTGATCAAGACTCACTCGCCTCGGCTAAGCTGAGACTGTTCCATAGACTCCAGACTCACCGCTCTGACTCTTATTCAACCATTTTGTGAGAGCGCGCCTTTGGAGGCGTTCATAGAGTGAAAGAAGCCCGCTATTGTTTGCACAGAGGATTATGGAGACCATAGTGGAAGACAGTTTGGACAAATGAGTACGACTTTGACTGGCCTGGCGTCTGAGAGGGAAGTTTACTCACCTCGAGCTCGCGCTGCTACAGGGATCGCGGAAGTAGCGTGATCGAAAGCATCCAGGTAACGAAGAGCAGCAACAGTCAGTGCCTGTGTTGGGGCTCACAGCTAGCAAGGGTACGCCTTGTCTAATAGGTCGATATCGCCTGAATGAAGGGAACGAGGCTGTTCCCCTGCCACACATCGCTACATCGCCCGTCTGACTTTGCGGACTGATCACGTCCTTAGCGCTTCCACTTTGCCGCCTGGTGACGTCTTGAGCAGCTCAGTACTGGCCTGCGGTACTTACAAGAGGCAAGTGTATGGAAGAGTCTCAAGAGGCATAAGAGCAGCCTGAGCACTTGCAATGCAGCCAGGCCCTTTGGCAAAGTACCGAATTGCCAGCTGTCCCATATTGGCTGAGGTTTTTCCGAGCTTTGAGAGTAAGCTGGGCAATGCTTGGTGCAGCAGCTCCTGAGTTCAGCTGTATTTGGAGGATTCAATGCACTCCAGATATGAAACAGTCACAAGTGTTGTGCCTCCAGTCTCACTTGACAGAACGGCAGAACGCTCTGGGGTGCAAGTTGTGCAGAGAAAGGTGTGAGCGCAATGCTTCCAAGGTCTAAAACTACTCACCAACTTGCAGAGCTGAGCTGTTTGCTTGAATGACCTTCAAGATTGTCTGCTTCAGCAGGTCACAAGCCACGTGCATTGAGAATCCTCAAGATGCGACACCTTGGAAGTCAAAATTCTTGAAAGTCTCATGCGCCTAGCTTTAGCACTGGGGCAGCTCTGACGTGGTCTGAGTCTCCTGCGCATCAACGCCTCTCCAGCGCAAGCTCAAGCGCTACGTATAACACAGTGTCAAAGCTCCCTCCTTTTTGGCACACAATGACTGTATGAGGATCACGGGAACATGTTCTTGCTTCCTCCAAGACTCTTTGAGCAAAGCAAGATCTTGAAGGCTTCTCACAGACACATTGCAAAAGCAGGATCAATCCGCCTTTCTGCCAAGTGAGACTGGAGGTCCCACATTTGCCATTGTCTGGAGCCCAGAGCATCTTGACCCTCAAGAATCAGCGGAAGCAAGCATTGTTCTGCCAGCAGCTGTTGCGCATGCTACAACTGATTTGGCCCTTCTATAGGGGCTGTATCACCATGAATGTTGAAACACATGCGCAACGAAGAAGCTGCGCTAGGCACTGGAGATGATAGATCACCCTGGAGGAAATCAAGTAGGTGCAAAGAGCGCGCCACTAGCTTGGTGCTTGGCCCGAGTCCTCCCTGTCCTTCACAGTGTTGCACAAGCTCAGCATCAATCTGAACAATATCATCAGTGGGCATACTGTGTCCAGACTCGGCCACTGGCCATGCAGCCACACCATGACCACTACCGGCAATGTACTTTGATAGGTAAATATAGAACTAAAGGAATCATAAGAAGGGCTTGTTCTGTGCGCTGTATGTGCATTGCAGGTTCTATATTAGAACACAAACGCGCAGAAGCCTTCCTCCAGACTGGAACACAGTGTGGTAGTGCTTTTACGCAGCCATGCCTGCTACCAGAAATGTACTCTGGTAGGTAGACATGCATGATTGAAGGAATTGTGACGACGGCTTGTACTGTGTGCTGTATGTGCAATGCAATTTCTATCTTAGAGTATAAGGGTTCAAAGCCAAACAACTTGTTAAGCAGAGCCAAAGAAGAATCAGGCATCGAGTCAACGACCATGAATGTTGTGGGGGTGCATCACCTTTTGAAGCAGGTGAGCTTGCGGCGGTACGTGAAGTGGTAGTGGTCCTCATCCAGAGATCAACAAAGGGACTGTGAGGGGCTGAGCTGGCTGCTGTCTTGCGCACACATTCATCCTTGGACTCATCTTTCACAACCACAACCTCTTCACCAGCCTAAGCCGAACGGCTTGCTCAGCAGAGCCAAAGAAGAATCGGGCATCGAGTCGACAAACATGAATGTTGTGGGGTTGTATCACCTTTTGAAGCAGGTGCGCTTGCGGCGGTACATGAAGTGGTAGTCTGTGTGCCATACGTGCGATGCAATTTCTATCTTAGAGTATAAGGGTTCAAAGCCGAACAACTTGCTAAGCAGAGCCAAAGAAGAATCAGGCATCAAGTCGACAACCATGAATGTTGTGGGGTTGCATCACCTGTTGAAGCAGGTGCGCTTGCGGCGGTAGGTGAAGTGGTGCTGGTCTTCATCCAGAGATTGACAAAGGGACTGGGAGGGGCCGGGCTGATTGCTTTTCTTGCGCGCACATTCATCTCCTGACTCATATTCCACAACATCCTCCTCTTCGCTAGCTTCGTCGACCTGATACTCGAAGATGGTGTCGAGTGGAGCAAAGCGCATGCAGGGATACTTGTGAAGATTGATTGCCATTGCCTTGTCTCCTGCTGCCTCAGCCCCAAGCTATCCCTCCTCCAAGTCCAAGTCAAAGTCAAGGAGAACGCTTTGTTTCAGCTTGGAGCAAAATTTGATAAGAAGACCGTTAGAAGCTTTCATCCAAACTGAAGCACGACGTGGCAAGGCTTTGATCTTGCGATGGGCAAGTAGAACAATGACATGCTGCAATGGTCAGAGGCAAAGTTGGTGCGTGAAAATGCGGTGGCAAGAGCTCGACAGAGTGGCTCACCCTCATATACACCCCCACATGTTCGCTTGCCAATCCATTCAGCGGTTTCGCTTAGCCTTGCCCTGCGCAGCTGGTTACGGCACAGTGACTGGGTCGCGTGGCCAAGGCCTCACACCGACATTGGCATTCTTCTGTCTGCACAATACCGCGCCAACGTGAATGTCTTTGCGCACACAAACCAATTGTGCAGTTGCTCTGTGCATCAATTATTTGGGAAAGTACATAATCAACGTGTTCGCGTCCCAGAGAAGCCACAGCTGTGGAGGTGTATGAGCCTGCACAGTGAGAGCATGTGCTACACTGTGTGCTGATGTAAAGAAGCGATGCCGTCCTGTACCCAAATCCATGCCTTAGGCTCTGCATGCACCACCCCCTGACTCACAGACATCCACTACTGTGCGTCAAGCACCACTCTGCCTCTCAGACATTCTACAATGTCTCTCACACATCCAAGCATGTCTCTCACACATTGTTGATGCAGTCAGAATGTCTCTCAGACATTCATGTGCACCTCATGCAAAAGAATGTCTCTCAGACATTCCTCTCTGTCTCAGAGACATTTCTCTCTGCTTCTCACATATTCTGTTACACAACACGCTGTCTCTCAGACAGACCTGTCAGGTATATAGAGAGGCCCCCCAAGGCCTCTCCCCACTTTGCAACACAACCTTTCCTCACCCAATCTTCCTGCCCTCTTCCTTGACTAACCTCCATGTCTGACCACCACCCAACACTGGCCTGATCACCCAGCTGTCTTCCCCTCACTTCCTCTTTCTCTACAGTCCACCACCATCAAGTTCTGCTGCCTAACAACAGCTAGCCTTCTGCTCAATAGCATAAGGACCTTACTTGCGCCAGTATATGCCTTGATCCAGAAGACATGTTGTTACAGCTGAGGCAGCAAGCATCTTTGCTAGCTGCAGCAAGCTTGATTGGGGAGCAGAGAGAATGTGTGCAAGCTCCTTGCAACGACTTGTCGTCTACAGGAGTACGGTGATGGTGGGTTGAGGCAAATAAGTACCCACACAGACCAGAGCTTGGCAACTAATAAGTCCCGTCTAGGACCCTTTCAGCTTGACAATTAAGAGGTTAGTTTAGCATCAAGTTCAGTGTGGGTGATAGAGTCCTAACAGTAAGCCAAAGTGGCTAGGCAGACTAGCCGGCTGGCCAGGTGTGGGGAGTCACTTTGCAGAGTAAGCTTGGCAGGAGTCTGAAGCTTGGTCATGAGATGCTGTTTGGGGGGTCATTGTTTGAAAGTGGGACGATCATGGCTGTCAGTCTTGAGAACACAGCATGAGCGAGATACAAGCCAAAGTTTGGGCTAGCAGTCACCACAATGTCACATGAGCTTGGACCTCAGTGCCTCAAACACATGAATTAGGTGTAAAACTGTGCCCGTGCCTGAAGATGGACACAGACTTGCAAAGGGCTCATTTTTTGGGTATCTTTGGTGGATGGCGTGATTCAACCCTCTGGCTTGGAGCAGAAGGAAGGAAGGTGAACGAGCTGCATAGTCAAGTAATCATCCTGACGCTAGATGCTGGCAGAAGGTACTTGTGAATCATACAAAAGGGCAGATAGCAACCACAGGTCTGATTGCCAAGGATGTGCCTCCTTTCCACATCTTGGTGTGTCTTGAAGTTGGTAAGACGATGTGCAACAGAGTAGAAGCTGGGAAACAGGTCTGGCTTTGACCATCAACTGAGCTGAGGTGCTGGACTGACCAACAGCAGCTCATTTGGACATTTCAGCGCTGCAATGTAAGAGGCACATTGGGGATATGTACAGCAGAGATGGGCACGTCTATGTTCGACAAAGTTGCTTGCATCACAAGTGTCCTGTGCGGGCAAAATTTCACGGGTCAATTACAGAACAAAAATACCCATAAGGTGCAATGTAGTGGAAGGAGACAGTGAGTGGCACGAGCAGCATACACATGAACTGCAAAAGCTCCAGAAGTGTTGCTGCACAGCTGACAGTACAGGCCACATTTTTGCAGCATCACACAAGGCTTACATGGAAAGGCCAGGTGTAGCCAAAGGCACTTATGGCCTGGTTCAAGCACTTGAATTAGTAGAGTGATCACACAAGATTGTGACGGCTGAGGGCAATTCTCAGTCTGTTCCCTTCCTGAGAGCAGCTTCAACACCTTGGAGCTGTGAACGCGGCTGGTTGGCGATGATATCTGCTTTGAAATTGGGCCAGCTGCACCGCGAAGCACGTGCTTCGCCATTTCCCTTCAGCCCTTGACGCGCGTGATGGCGCTCCACTCATGACTTGTGCCTCAACATGCATGCTGAGGCAGCGCTAAGTGCAGAGCCTCTTCTTCGTCTTCCACCGTCGCGATTCACGACTGCACTCACCGCTCTACCAGGCCCATCATTCCGCTCGACATTCTTGGTCGCCGCACTAAGTCTCAGCTCACTCTTGCCAGTGATACCAGCTACCCAAAATCTTTACATCTTCTCAACGACGCACAGGCACGCTTATCGCAACACACGTCCAGAACAAGCATCACAGCGACCTCCCGACTCTCTTCAAGACCACAAATTCCAGGCTTTCCACCTAGATCGCACGCTCAGCATCATGGATGCCGAATCAATTCTCTCGCATGTCGCTTTCACAACGTCGGGATCCATCGTAGACTGCATAGATAGTGAGCAATTGGACGAGCAGAGTGGTCGTCATGTGAAGCTTGAGCACTCATTAGTGCTTTGGTGGCCGGATATCCTCATCGCGATCAGAAAAAGTGCTCATCATTCTCAGAGATGGACGCAAGCTGATTGGCGTATTCAGATCTTTTGATCAATTTGGTGAGGGTTGGAGTGCTATTCTCACAGCCTTTAAGCTTCGCATGGCCCTGGGCTTATCACTACAATCACTTCTCTGCCCGACATCAGCGAATTTGGTGCTGCAGGATGCTGTGGAGAGGGTTTCGGTGGGCAACAGATACGGGGACATTCCACGAGGCTTGTTCCTGGTCAGGGGAGAGAATGTGGTGATGCTAGGAGAGATCGTGAGTGATGCGTGGTGATGGATATGGCGCAGGAAAGCGCTGGTACCCGCACAGCAACGCTCTCGTCTCTGGCCGATTATTCTGACTGTGCACCCGCGGTTCGCAGGATCTGGACGCGGAAGACATTCCTAATCCAGCAGCGGTGCCTCTACCTCCTTCGGCCTTGCCGCAATTGTTGGAAGCTCACAAGGCGGAAGCTGCAGCAAGGAAAGTGGTGGACAACAAAAAGTCAGAAGTGCTGAGGAGGGAACGCGGTTTTTGTGCGGAAGGTGCAGAGGGGGATGGGTATTGAGCGCGAATGCATACATTCACTCGAGCAAGCTGGCCTCGCCTTCAGCTGGGATTGTGAGCCGGTGGTTTCTGTGCTAGGAAGGGGCGGTAAGCTTGATGCGGCAGCTGCATCCGGTGAGTGAGTCGAGTTTGATGCCCGGATCGCTTGGTCTTAAGTCGGGGGAATTCGTTCCAACGAGAAGCTATACATTCACAAATGGGGGATGGTTAGCCGTTCTGGGGCAGAACACTGCCCGCCACAATAGATGCCATTAGTATTTCGCAGGCTGCGAAATGCCTATAAGCCCGGCCCGAATGGCTCAAAACGTTGGCGCAAGGCCGTTCGCTCAGCTCAGCGCCAACGAGGAGAGACACGGCAAGCAATTTGGTTCTCGGCCACTGCCATGTAGGTCAGTCGAGAAGGCCTTGCTGCGCTTGATCGGTGACTCTAGCGTCTTTATCGGGTGCCACTCTGACTGCCTGGACTCGTGAAACCGTCTGTTGTGATCTAGCTGATCGACAAGGCGGGCATTGCGAGCTGCACGTGACTTAGCACGATTCTTGATTGATGGGTGAATCGTTGGTTTTTGGGGTTATTCCGCAACCCGAATCACCGGTCACAGTCGTAAATGCAGTCAAATGATCGAGCTAAATGCGTGGGATGCAAATGCGAATCAGAATGTGAATCCCGAATCATTGAATGCTGTGGGTGTCATCCTCGAAGCACCCGCGTCTCGAGTGTCAGCCGATTCCGAGGTCAGCACGCGTCCCAACTGACGCGACACATCACGCGCGCCAAGCAACACCTGCCACGCGCTTGCTTCTCAACTTCCAACATCCTCGCACAAGCTAGCACACACGCAGTGCGGACCACGACCCAGCATCTCGAAGCAGTGAGCTGCATCGCAACCAAACCACTCTGCATGGCGATCCAACGGTCACACTGAATCGGGCCTCTGTCGTCCGCTGCGTGACTCTTGAAGAGCAAGGAGTGGGCGAGCTAGGTTGACTAACATTCCACCATCACATCACACACGCTGACACGACATGCACGCACTTCCCGTAGTTGCTGAGATGTAAGACAGTACAGCATGCATCGCAGCGGGTGCTGCGCCACCTCCAACGGATTCGGTGCATGCAGTGCAGTATGAACAGGGGCGTCCTGTCAGTATTCGTGCCAAAGGGACGGATGACTCGTTGACTTGCCGCTTCGAATCACAGTCAGGCTGCTAGCGCGCGGATAGATCCTGTACTTTCTCTAACGACGCCGCGGGCGTCAGAGCGCATCGACTGGGCCAACACCTTCCGGCTATATGACCTTGGATGGACATGCAATACGATGATCACCTTCTTCCCAAGGTTGTTGCTGACCGCCAGCCTCCGCTTCATCTTCTTACCTTCTCCTCAACCTCCTCCCTTTTCCTTTCACTTTTCTTCGTAGTCCGGCGGCTCGACGCTGCTGGTGGCGCTTTATTGCCTGCTGCCCGATTGCACCTCATTCGGCACTAAGGTTGCCTCTGGCAGGCCGACCTTCTTCCTTTACATTCTATTTGATCAACACCTTTTCCTCTCAAACACCATCACCATGGAGCACGCTTCAGCAATCACGGGCGCCGCGCTGAGCCGCACGCCAGCCCTGAAGCCGCTGGTGCTGGCAAAGACGTCAGCCTCGAGCATCGCATCCACAGGAGCGCCGAGGCAGAGTAGAGGTCCACTGGGGAGTTATACCCCGCGAACAGTGTCTTGCAGCGCAGACAGGCCTTTGATCATCCAGCCGAGCCGACCATCTCCATGTGCTCGACAACAAGCTCACCGAAAATCGTCAGGCAACGCCAACCACCGACGTGTAGTATCACGAAGTCGGTGCGTCACTGAGGATAAAAAGCCAAGGCGAATCTATTCCGGTGAGCATCACGCCCGAGCGAATCTGCGATCAGGTCAAGCGGAAGTCATGAGATTCGACCTTCGCCTCGACGAACACGCTTCATCGCCCGACGTCGCTACGCCGCCCATGCCCACACGCCGTCAGCCTCGCACGAATGCGCAACGCCAGAAAGAGGGAATGCACATGGCCCGGCGCATTCGCTCAGAAGCCTTTGCCTTTCCCGTACCTCCAAGTGGTGGCCTCCAAGGGCTAGGTCTCGGTCTGGGGGTTGCGGATGCCCCATCGCGCGCGACGCCAGAAGTCGAAGCCGCTTTCCGACGCGCTGCGACTAATGGGAGGTTTCCAAGAGGTCACGAGTGGGTGGAGGACGCGACTACCTACATTAACAGACACAGTCCGGTTTTGTGCGAAGGGACGGATGAAGGACTGGTGGCAAATCGCAAGGATCGAGGGTCGGACACGGATGAGCTCACAGGATCGCAAGGCTGGTCGCCGTATTCCAGTGTCGCTCCATCGCCCGCCCTTGGAATGACAGCAAGCACTGCTCCTTTGATCTTCCACAGGCAGGAGCCGGACAAGCTACGAGCGCCAATGGCTCGTCGCACTGTATCTCAACCTGGCACAGCAAAAGAAGAGAAGATGGCGTACTCCCCAGAGCCCGACGAGTATCCCTTTCCCGAAATGCCGGGTGGCCACAAGCGCCTGTCGATGACCTTCTCGCCTTTGCAACTCCCCAAGTGGGGCAGTGTGGAGCACCACGCACCCTCATTGGCAGAGCAGATGGCCTTCGCGTGTGGGTTGGGCAGCGACCTAGAATGGGACACCCAGACGAGTGCTGCCAACGACCACCAAGATTCGTTTGCGTACACCTCAGCTTCCGCTTACGTCACCGTCCCAGAGCTGCAAGAAGAGCAGACCGCGGAACTGTACAGGAGCTGGACGTCGCACATCGACGCTGGAGCCGCGCTTGCTGACGAAGCGACTTTCTGGACTGGCGCCGGTGCCGATCTAACTCGAAGCAACACGACAGCAAGCACTGCTTACGTGCTTGCCGACAGCCCCATCCTCCAGGGCAAGCTTGCGCTCTCGCAAAATTCACCTGGAGGGAGCGTCTCTTCGGAGCGGTCAGATTCTGCATTCTCGCAACCTTCCGTTGCGTCTTCCGTGACGTCCATATCTTCCGATCATTTCCACGAAAGCTCCTTGTCGAAGAGCATCAGCATCGATCAATTGTTCGAACGGAGTCTGCTGGCTACTCCGCTAAAGGTCACCGACAGTCCTCAAGTTGCCGTCACGCGCGAGGGATCACCACACCAACTAGCGGATGAATTCAGCTATCTTGCCGACGCCGCGCTTGCAGCTCTTTCACCCGTTCCTTGCCAGGTGTTCAGTCCTGCTTTGACTGACGACGAGCTGGGCCTCATTGGCACGCCAGCTCCGATGCAAAGTCTGCCTTCGCCCATGCCCGCAACTCAACAAATCGAGCCGGCTCGCTTAGCTCTGGCCTCGACTGTGTCATGCCCAGCTGTTCCAGCATCATACCGTCCAGAGCTTGTGCAAGAAGATCAGCGCTTGTTGCGCTCCACGAGCGAAAGACCCAGCAGTATGTTCGAGTCCCAGCCAGCGGCATCGTCGCGCCCGATGAGTGTTCTCGAGCGTCCACGGCCAGGCACGCGAGGCTCCATGCTGTTTGGAGGCGCGTATCAGGACGTCGAACGGGCGCAGGCTCGTGGCAGCGCTCAAACTCAGAGGAGAGACTCTGGAACTCTGAGTTCGGAGCAGCGTCGACCAAGCGTTCCTGCTCGTCCCTGCCCGCCGGTCCCAAAGCGTAGGAGCTCTTTGGACATGCGAAATTTGGTCGGTGAACACAACGATGCGGCCCAATGCGGAATTGCGAGTTGCACACCAGTCCAGTCTGGACCTCGTGCAATGAGCCGCAATGGGTCTCAAGCTTTTTGGGAGGAGACGAAACACGCTCTCGGTGAAAAAGTGGCCAGCAAGCCGACGAGCGCTGCCTTGCCCGACTTGGAAGCTAGGAGGCTCTCTGTGAGCATGGCAGGTATACCCATCTCGATGATGACCTCTGCTCAGTCGGCACCTCAGATCGCTCGCGTGCCACCAAGCACGTCACCAGCTACTGGAGCACGGAAAGAGCTGCTCGCACAACTTCAAGCTCAGGCAGCCACCATGACGCGATCCAAGTCCGAGCTGCCAATCTCTTCTGCGCAGCACTCGGTCCGCCGCAAGCCCGCTGGAATCCTGACCGCGTCAGAGATGCAAGAAATTCGCCGAGCGTGCAAGCAAAAGCAAGACTTTTTGCGTGCTGCTGCTACTGCTGGGGTGAAGGGACCCTCCGACATCCGCCATTCCGTGCATTTCGACGAGAGCGTTCGACTCCAGCACCAGTACGCGAGCGGGCAGCGCTCAACGCCAAGAATTGTGGTCAGTCCCGCCCAATCTCTGCCAGTCCCTTGCACCAGCAAATCGACGTTGCGACCAAAGTCTGCCCAATCCTCTCGTAGCGTGGGAGGTATGTCCAGCTCGCTGTCGCTGCCGACTCTTTTCGTAGCCCGTACACCCAGCCAACGTAGACGTGGGCACACGGGTGTACCTGCAACTGAACCGGGCTCCCTCGCTTTGGCAAAGCTTGGCATCAGCTCGGGCGCCCCGACCAGAACCTCGATGGTCTCCGTCGGTGGCAATGGACGTGGCTCTTCGAATTCGGGCAAATCAGATGTGAAAACTCCCGAAGGTGTGATTCTGGTCGTTGAGAATGTCATTCAAGAAGAGTCGAGAGTTCTCGTGGTCATGTAGATCCTGCTGCGGGTCCTTCTCTTCCTTTTAGTACCGCGTAATATCATGTGTCTTTCCATCCTTGGCCGCAAATTGACCAACCTTTGACCTGATCTATCGCTTACTTTCAGCCCACGTCTAGGTCACACTGGATATCATGGGTCGAGTGCGATGCCAGTGAGTCCGGCAAACCGTATGTATTTCGGTTGCATTCACGTTCAGCTCAGCGCTCTAAGTCTGCAGCAAAGGCAGCATACGAAGATCGTTCAGCATCGAGTTTGAATGGAAAGGGCCTGACGTGCAAGCAGAAAGTTCTCCTTGGCCAGAAAACGGGACTTACTGATGTTATCTCCAAATTTGGCGTAGAGCTTGACCTTCAATTCTCTCATACCCTCCTCACAAGACGCCTTTTCTTTTGCTAGCTTCTCGACCTCGGCTGTCAGCCTTTCCGACTCGACGTTGGCCATTTCAACGGCTTCGCTTGGCTTGAGGTGCATGTATGCGTCACCAACTTTGAACCTGTAGCACAAGATGAGCCCGGAACGTGATCGGGCGCGTGAGTTGGATCTCGTCTTCAGTCGGACTGCGTGTGCGGCAAAGGATTCAGTCTGCGCATCTGCGACTCACATAACTTTGCCAACCTCTGAAGCTCCACCTGTCGCCTTTTCATCTTTCGCGTCCTCTTCCAATCCATCATCGCCCTCCTCCAGGTCGTCTTCGTCCTCATCCAACTCCAGCAACTCCAGCTCTGCTACAGCATCGCTCAGAGCCTCCTTCTCGTCCCGCAGCTTTTCCAGCCTTTGTTCGAGATCTGCGCTCTTATTGTTCAATCTCGAAAACTTGTTGATGGAGTCCTGATCTCCCTTGGACACTTCGACGTCATTTGATGTCTTGTCATCTAGCTGCATGGCGGACGAGCAGTTGTGGAAAGGACAGGCAGACCTTTGTCAGGCGCGCTCGAGGTACCTGGGAGGAGAAGTGCATCGACTCACCATTCGCATGCTGGGCAACCTTGAGCAGGTTTTGGGCACTGCCTGCAATGTCCTGGCTCCGCGACGAAAAGTATGAACGGGGTGGGTGTGAGCAGATGTGCGAGAGCCAGATGGAAGTCATGAGTGTATACCCTGCCTCGGTCTCGACAGTCACTGCTCGAATCAAAGTCGCACGTCCCAGTCGCCTGTTCCGTCTGTGCCGCGCGGTGTGTCTGCGGTGAGACCGAAAAGCGCGCGCTGCATGCTGCAGGCAAACGTGACTTGCACCTCCACTCGAAATTGAGCAATTTTGAATTTCGAGATCAAATTGAATCTGAATCTTGAATCAGGAAACCGCTCACGAGTCACGAGCGACATCACAACTCGTGACTCATCATGCTCTTCTCGCTCTTACTGTCTTCCCCTCACCCTCGCACTACAAGGCGATAAATGACGCTGTGGTACCAGCAAGAATCTTTCAGTCGCCATGAGGCTCACGTGTCGCTCAAAAGCGGAAGGACTAAGACTTGCCTCACCTCCACGCTAAGCCCCGACCGCATCCCATCACCATTATGGCAGAGCAAAAGCAAGTCGGATCGAGCCAGCATTTGACCTCGAGATCGCCACTGTATGCGGTAGCGTGAGTCAAAGTCAATCGTCCCACTGTCGATTCCAAAGTCCACCGAATCGCCGGCTGATCAACGAACCCTTTGCACAGGGATTTCTGCCTCATCCCGATGGGGACGCCGGGCACCTCCGTAGGCCCTTATATCGCAGAGTGTCAAAGGGTGCTGGAGAAGCTCGTGAAGCGGGGCGATCTCAGGACGTATGAGGTGCGCAGATGCAAGGCAGGGTGCCGCATGTCGGTAAGGTCTCGATTGACTTGACGGCAAGACCGCTGATCCTCTTCTTCTTCTTCTTCTCCGTCCACCCCTCCAGATGCAGTAAGTCGGCCGACGCAGCCCGTTGCCGAAGCGTACACTCACTCAAGTCGAGGTCATATTATTCCCCTCAGCGGCTACGGCACCAATTTGGAAGGCACATTCGCACAGGTCTCGGCGGCGATTGAGCAGTGCCATGAGGCAGTGCACGCGAAGGGAGTGCGTACAGGATCCCGAGTAGCGTTGAATGCCAGGTCGAAGCGGTGTCGTCTTGCTCACCCGCTGCATGCCTTCTCACAGGCACCACGCATTGCAACGGATATCCGGATAGGCACACGCACCGACAAACCAGCACCAACGCAAGGGACCCCAGAGCAGCTTACGTCTGACGAACAGGAAAAGAAGGAGGACTGGACTGCAGGTCTTGGAGAGAACGAGCGAAAGAGGGAGAGTGTCAGGAGGATATTGGCAGGCGATGCATAAAGGAGATCCCGGACACGTCGAGGAGCTGCGTACAGCGAGCTATCATTCTGCTGCGTCGGAATGTGGTGCAGGTCCGCTTCGAAGAGTGTATGCCGTGTGTAAAAACCGTCCCACACCTGGTGCGAAGCTGCGAAGATCGCGTTGAAGTGGATTGTAGGCATGCTCGAGTCATCACTCTCGACACATTTGTGTAGACTGTGAATGTCCAGAGCACTCATCGATATGAATGCGCTACTGTTGCATTGAATCGAATGCAGTCTTGAGTGTTTCATCTCTTGATGATATCTTCGCAGGTAGCTGAAACCAGTCAAAGTTAGGTGGAAGCGGCACGGCCCCTCAAGGAGCCCACAAAGGTGGCTCACGTGACCGACACCTCCCACAAATTTGTTAGGCTGGCCTGTGGAGGCACCGCAGGTCAGCTAGGAGCGAGGTACCCGTACATGTCACGGGCGCCTTCCCACGCAATACCACATCCATCAAGAAGGGTGCGTTCTTGCCACGCACACACACAAGTCCACTCTGCGCACACCACCTCGACTCAAGAGATACATGTTAGCGAAAGACGATGTACTCTATTGAAGTGCAATACTAGGTCCTCAATATCACATCACTTCTCCACCGCCTGTGGCCAGACTCTGTTACCTCCGTCGAAGGACGGAGCTACATGCCGCGGTGGCAAGATGGCGAGCGATGAAGAGGACGACCTCTGGCTGGTGGAGCCTGTGAGGCTTTTCACCCAGACGATCAAGCTCGGGCTCGATACTTCTGTGGACAAGCTTAGCAAGGACAGGCTCAATCGTCCTTCTACGTTTTGCCCGGCACCCTACGAGGATATGCGGCAGACTTTAGTGCAGTGGTTTCCTGATGCTGGTCTTCGCAGAAGCAGCGCCATCGAAGACGCAGAAGAGCAACGGAGGCTCGCAGACCAGGAGGCATCCATCTCTGCAAAAGAAGAAGATGCAGTACCCGGTCAACAGGATGGCACCCACCCTGAATCTCAGACCACGCCAAGGAAACGCAGAAGGGTCAAGACGGAGACAAACCCTGAAGCATACACATTGGATGCAGATTTGATTCTACTTGAAGACGCCTTGAGCGTGGAGCATCTCGGATCTCTTCCGGACAGCGTTTATGGAATCCATCCCGTCAATGCCTTCGCGGTCGTTGTTCACGCTCCTCGAGCTGCTGCTCATCGCCTGCACGGCGAGCTGAAGTCGCGTGATGTAGTCTCCCCTAACAGGCACATGAGTGACAGTCAGGCGATCCATCTGGACGACGACTCAGACGATAGCTGCTTGTTGATTGGCCATCTGGTGCGTTGTGCCCGGTGGTGCAGGTTTGTCTCAGCCACACGCTCATTTGAGCGCTTTAACATCCTTCCAATCGACCACAGATACCAAGCGCTCTGAAAGATCCTGCAGCAGCGTTGCGTCAGCTTCCTCTTCCAGCATTTAGAGGGGATCGTGTGAGCTTGGAGCGAGCTGCGCCTTGTTTTGAACGTCTGTCGCTGAGGCAAAACGCTGCTTGCGGCCGCTGCATACAAGCCATCCTTTACCTTCAGCAAGTGCCAGGTCACACTCAGGGCTCCTTTTCTCGACGCAGACGACGTGGTCGGACCTTCTAGTCACAGCCCATGGGGTAGAGCTCAAAGAGGGCCAAGTGGCTCCCCTCTGAGCTCTTACGACCCTCTCACTAAGCATCATTTCGATCAGCATCTGTACAATTTGCCGGGTACTGATCGAGAGAAATCGAACTGGAAGAGGAGGGGCATACGCGCGGGCCCATCCCTTGCTAGCTGTTCGACTTCCGATGTATCGCAAGTGGTAGATCCGCGCAGTCGAGCGACGCCCAAAAGGCTCTTTGGCGAAGTGAGTCCAAAACTCGAAATTGCTCGCTGCAGGTCTGAGTAGCTCAATGTCATCATCGACTTCTCAGTTGAGATTTGATGTGGTCGCAACAAATGAGGCGTTCGAGTATGGCCGGAAGCGGGATCATGATCACTACGTCTTGGGCGCCGCGAACTGGCACAGAAAAGCTCCAGCTGAGGAGATGAAGTTGTTCTTTGGAGCGCTTCTACAAGTGAGCTAAGATCCAAGACTAATAATTAGCAAGCTCGACTACACAGCTAATTATGTGACGCCAGCATCCCAGTGGGAATGTTGAGCTTGATGACCAGGAAGCGGATGTTTGGTCTCGAGGCACCAGTTACTATGCACCTGCGCCTTGCCAGCCACTGCCTTTGCACAGCTTTGCTAAGCCACAGCGCGGTGAATCAAAGAAGGCCAAGAAAAAAAATCTCAAAGCTTTGCTAGAGTGCTACGCTCATCGCGACCGGCACTCTAGGCCCAATCAACCGGGGACTGGCTTGCTCGAGGACACTGCATGTTCCGAGGTTGAGGCTATCCACGCAGCGAAGGAGGAAATGCAACCAGCTCGTGACATGGGACAGCCTCACTTGCCTCTTAATAACTGTATGTGTGCTATCTTATTCGTGCGCCTGATGGCCTACTGAGGTTCCAACTCCACCAAACAGCCCTTGAATCGCTACTCGAGGCATGTCGCCCACCGACAGACAGCCCTGAACTATTCCCACCGTCATCACTGATTGTCACGCCTTTGAAGCGTTACCAGGCTCGCGCTGTGGCATGGATGGCAAGTCGCGAGGAGCCTGAAGGCGTCTCTCATGGACTTCTATACCCTGAATGGATCGCTTTACGCTTCAAACATTTAGCCGAGCCCTTCCTCTCTGTAGAAAAAACATGGGAGCCTGTACCAGCAATTCGCGAGTCGCGAAGTCAGAGCCCTGAGACACGAGCCTCTTCTCCGCTTTCACCACCCCCATCACCGTCTGACGCAGGCCAACGATTGCTCGAAACGACGACTGGGGCGCGATCTTTCTATCTGGATCTTCTCACGGGCACGGTCAGCTTGAAAGCCTTCCGTGGCGATGGAGGCTTTCAACCCGGAGGAGGACTGATGGACGGCCTGGGATTAGGCAAGAGCCTTGAAATTCTAAGCCTTATTGCGGCTCGTCCTCGCGATTTGAAAGCTGCAGACACCAGTCGCTCGGCGCTTATGGTCGCGCAACTACCGGAATCGCAGAGACCATTCATCTCTAAGGCTACACTCATAGTGGCGCCCGCCGCACTGATAAGCCAATGGACTATGGAATGCGAGCAGCATGCGCCATCTTTGAGTATCTTCCGCTGGGATCAAGCTACGGTTGACTGGTCCATCAAATCCACGATGGACGACATTCGCGCAGGAGCGCGGCATTGGCTGGACGAATTCGATCCGGATATCGTGCTGTGCAGCTACGAGTTACTTCGCGACGAGCTCAGGAGAAGCAAGAAGAAGACTTACGCAAATAGTCCGCATACACCACTCCTGGAAATTTGGTGGCATCGAGTCTGTCTGGACGAAGCTCAACTAGGTTCGTATACGGCATGCAAGCTTCTGCGAGGCTCGAGATCTCATGTGTGGTGTTTTTCCTCACCCGATCCCTCATCTGTCACCATAGTTGCTAACTCGTCGGGCGCGGCTGCAGAGGGGGTCGCGTGTCTATGGAGAACAAATGGCTGGGTGAGCTACGTCTACGTGCTCGCAAATTCAATTTGTTGCTCAAGGATGTGTGCGCACTCTTTCGGGCAGGTGGTTACCAGCACGCCAGCATCTAGCTCTATCACAGAGCTCGCTGGCATTGTGTCATTTTTGGATCAGTGAGTGAAGAGAACGCGATCGAAGCCCTTCCAAGCTTCTGACATTACGCTGCATCTCAGCGACCCACTCGCAAACCCTACTGCATTCGCAAATCTGATCTCGAATGGATTTGCTGCTGGTGACTCTGAGCACATTAGACGTGCTCGTGGTTTCTTCTCTCAGATCTTCTGGAGAAATACTCGAGAGCATGTCGCCGATGAGCTTGAGCTTCCCTCTTCCTCTGACGTCGAAATGCGGGTGAGTTTCCACGCTAGCGACTCTACGACATTTGCGCTTACGGACTCAATCATTCCGATCTGAAGGTATCGATGAAAGGTGAGCATTGCCTCTAACAATTCACCATTGAGGGTGCGCGATGCTTTTTCGCTAACAGCAGTCGCCTTCAGATTTCGAGCTCACGATCTTTCAGCGCGAGATGCGCATTGCGCGCAATTTAGCGGAGAAAGTACTGACGTACGGAAATTCTTCGCAGCGAAAGCGTCTGCACAGCCTTATCGTGGCGCTGCGGCAGCTCATATCACATCCTCAGATTGCGACGGGCCTCGGCTATGACGCAGGCAACAAGAGAATGAGCTTCAAAAATCTGACCATGGGACTCTTGTCAAGGCTGCACAAAGGAATCACGCTCAAGCACATGGAAGTGGTCAAGGTGAGGAGCAGGTCAGCCCGCAACTCATTGTTGCGTTTCGATATTTACTTGCAGAGCTGCTGTCTAGCTTGTGATCACGATCGCTGCTGGTCATCGCTTCTTCGAAGAGGAGCCTGAGCCCCAGGAATGGCGTGGCGGTGTACCCGTGTGGGCAGATGATGTGTTGACAGAGGCTCTGCGAAGGGCAATTGGACTTTGCGAGCTCCATCTCGCTGCAAACACTGCCGACGAGGGCGACGAAGATATAGAAGAGGAAGATGCAGCTAGCGAGGCGGAAAGCGAGCTGGGCGATCCAAGCGTGCGGCCTGAGCGCGGAACGGTTGCAGACGTCAAACGCCGAATGCGGTGGAACGAGGCCGCGTACTGGTGCCGAGTTCTTCTCAAAGAGCCCACAGGAGGGCCGCCGGAAGTAAGTGCGCTGGGCCTTCCCTCCAATGGTCACGTTGTCAATCATCTGACCTGGACTCCATCGTAGCTATACGACGCGATGCGCCTCGAAAACCTTTTCTTTGAAAAAAGAAGGGTCGCCAAGAAAAGCGTAGACCCGAACAACCCTCGATACCATGATGTTGTGCTTGATGCAGGAACCCAAGACATGGCCGAGCGAATGGACGCGCACGACGCCTCGGGATCCGGGCGAAATGAATTCGAAAACCCAACTCTCAAGATCAATCGTCTGCGAGGAAACATCAAAGGCACAAGTAAAACGAAAGGGGCCAATCAGCGCGGTGCTACACAAGTGTGGTACTATAGTCCTCGTCTCAAGCTCGAGAGACTGATGGAACGCTTCCACGCAGCTTTGAGTAAGTACAATTGCACGACAAACGGCTACTGGGAAGTCTCTCACTAAGACAATGTCATCGCCTTGCAGGTCAGCTCTTTGAGCAAGAAAAGGAGCTGGAATTTTTGCGAAACCGAATCGTCGATGAAGGCCAGGCTCGACGCGAGGGCTCCGCAGGGCCGTCTAACGCTCGGTGTTGCATTTGTCTGGAAGATGACAAGCATCGTGGTTTGTTGCCATGTGAGTCACCTTTTGTAACGCAGCGATGTTGTGCTAGCAGCGCACTGACCGAATTGTATCCCCAGGCCTGCATGGTGCCTGCATGGACTGTCTCAGCGTACTGCTGAATAAAGGCCATCAGGCGGCAGATTGTAGGTAGTATAACGCGCTTAGCGATACCATATAGCGCAAGGCTCTGACGTTGTTCTTACTCTCAGGTCCAATCTGTAGACGAAAGTTCCGACGCACCAATATTACTGAGATCCTACCAGAGGCGCCAGCGACCGGCGTCACCCCCCAACAACTTGAGTTGGGGTTTGGAGCGAAGATTGATGCTGTGATCTTGGACATGAGAGCTCGCAAGTTCGCCGATCCCCAAGCTCGATTTGTCGTCTTCTCCGTCTGGAAGCGTTGTCTGGCCCTCATCTCAGAAGCTTGTACCACCGCAGGCATCATGAGCCTCACTTTTGAAGGCAGTGAGCAAGAGCAAGTGGGTCGCGATGCCTTGGAGTAGATCAAGCCTGTGCACTGCTTACTGACGTCGTTAGCTTGGTGTTCAGGCTTCAGCGCTCTCTCAATTTCGTATTGACAAGAGCATTGATGTGCTCTGCGTACCTCTTTCGCACACGGAGGGTGAGTCCTGGACGTGCAACGACACCTTCTTTGCTGCACGGACCTAGACGAAGACGCCGAGCCTTCCAACCCTTCAATTAGGTGCTGCTGGTCTGACTTTGACCATGGCCAACGTTAGCTGTGAGTGCTCGGTGGAGGCGCCCTGTACGTCCCAAGTCAGCTTTTCACCCGCATGACCCCTCTTCTGTCAGATTTCATGGAGCCTTGTCTCAACGCTAGTCTCGAGCAACAGGCCCGTGGCCGCATCAACAGAATCGGCCAGACGCGAAACACGACCAATGTCACCATCCTCATGGAGAATACTTTCGAGCCCAAAATCGCCGACATATCTAGGGAGCGCTTGAACGCCGCACGTGGCGCACACGGTCATCCGTCGGCAGCCGGACGATCTGAGCCGATTCGTGATCATCCCTTGGGGGAGAATAATACCTTCTCGAATAAAGAGATAGCTAGACTCTTTGAACTCGACATCAACGCCTTGCGGGCTGCCGAAGCCGAGAGGCGCTCTGCCACTCAAGCCCAGTTGAATAGAGAGAGAAATGCTCAAATGCAGACTTACCTTCAAAATTAAACCCAAAGTCTTAGACCCACCTTCCTATCTGCAACGTGTGGCCCGCCCATCACCTCCTGCATTGTAGTCAATATCACCTTCACGTAACATCAAAGGCCTCACGCCAAGCCTGCATCATCGCACCGACAGGTCGCCGGGCACTCTTGTCATGAATACGACCACTCGACGCCAGGAACATTTTGATGCTGGAGAAGATGGTGACATTTGAAACGGCAATGTGCCCGTTGTTTGTATTCAAGCCTAGAAAGTCGTTCGACTGATCGAAGTCAGAATGGAGCCGGCCTCGCTTGTGATGTGGCCGGCTCTGGGATATCCGTGTTCCTCAAAAGTTGATCTTTGCGTTGCTGAAGTCCATTTCGGGATGCTTCTCAACAACAGCAGCATGACGAGCATGTTCAGCATAGCTTTCGCTGAGACCTATATCAGCCTTTCGAACCGCATACACACCTGTTGCTTGAACTTGTCTAACGCCTACGTGGGAAAAAAAGAGGGAGAAGATTAGGGCTGATACAGCCAGCGACGTGGCACGCGCATATACGAATCTGCATTTGCCTGAATGAGGCTCACCTCTGATTGCTTGAGCTGGTCGGAAGTGGGCTTGCCGAGCGCTTTCTGCCTGTTGTCAAACTGCAGTAGGCACAAAGAGGTGATTTGAGGAGAAGTAGAAGTGCTAGCACTTCGAAAAGCGCACGTGACCTACCATCATCTTTTCGACCATCGCGCTGAATGGCCAATCAAGCGGGGATCGCTCACATGGTGTTAGCATGGGGATCATATGGTGGCAAAGGTGCTTGCAGCACGTACCGAGTCTCGCCATCCAGATCGCTCAGCTTTGAGTTCTCGGGCACAAGCTTGGTGGTGTCGATCTTGGGCGCCGAGGTCACTACATGTGGCCACCATTCGGACTGATTTTGCTTTTCGAGATGAATCGAGACAGTCTGAGAGTCCTCTGCAAAGCACTCCGAGCAACGTTCCATAGCGTCTTTGAGCGACAGCGCGCATGGGAACGAGGACACTGACGCGCAATCTGATCTCACCTAGAGACCATGTGCTGTCATCCTCCACAACATCCTTGAACAGCTCTCCCTGCAAGTAGCGGCGCGGCATGACGCATTCAGCTCCGCAGCTTCATAGCTTCACTCCATCGATTCCGCGCTCACACTGAAGACGGGCTCCTTGCCCTTTCTTCCAACCTTGATGCTCCTCCTCTTGATCACGACGTCCAGCTCCTTTGCTCGAGTTCCCTTCTCGAAATCCACCAGCACGCTGACATTTTGCAAGGTCTGATCCCACTTGTAGGGCAAAGCCTCTTGCTCGGCCGTTTGAGCTGCTGCTCGAGCTGAGTCGTAAGCTTGACGCTCCGGCACCGAAAGCTCGTCGTACTGGGAAGCTGTGAGCTCCTTTGGTTTGGAGATGCTCGGCGTGTCGCCGGCGCTTGAGGATGCTTCCGCCGACATCGTTGCTGTGATCAATGCAATAATGAGTTGTCCAAGCAAGCCTCTGTTTTGAGCAGTGTGAGCACAGAAGATGACAGGCTGCTGGGAGGTCCCAGGTCGTTTGTATCAATGCATCAAGCAAAGGTGTCTGCTTAGAAGCCATCTCGCCGTGACTTCGCTGCAACGTGCGTACCCAATGTCGAAGTTGTTAAATCTGATGAATCTTGAATACAAAGCATGGCTTTCTGCAATTGTCACGTGATCGCATACCAATTCCAAGCATCCACGCCGTTCTATGGAGAAGTGCGCTGTCGCGATCGAGCGTCCGTGCGTCACCATCAGCAGGCGAACGAGAGTGATCCGAGCGCCAGTCACGCCATTAAGCACAGGCGCACACGTTGGGCCAGCCATGCAGCCTTTTGCGGTCTTCGCGTGCTGTCATGCAGCATACAACGACCTCAAACACCATTTCGGACGGACAGCAAAGCGCCGCTGTGCTTGCTACCTCTTGCCCGTCGCGACCACCTTGACAATCACCATCGTAAAGCTCAAACTCAAAAATTCCTCGTCAACTCACTTTTACCTCTCAAAAAATTACACAATGGGTCCGTTCACAGCAGGATCATTGTCAGGTATGCGACAGAGCTTAGGGCTGATGCGCTCCTCCTCTTCCTCCCTCCCTTTCTCTCTCGCTCCTGCAAATGTCCGGGCATTCCACCAAACGGTGCTGCGGGCAGGTGTTCAAATCGAGCGAATCACTCCCGGTGATGGCAAGACTTTTCCTCAAAAGGGACAAACCGTCTCCATCCACTACACTGGCACGCTGGAGAATGGAAGCAAGTTCGACTCTAGCCGTGACCGCGGATCGCCTTTCCAGGTGAGACATTTGCGTTGATGCTCACAATCCTTCCGCAGCACATGTGCTGATCATCTTTGCATCATTACCATGCGTTTCGAATGGTAGACTGCCATCGGCGTAGGCCGTGTGATCCGAGGTTGGGATGAGGGTGGTGAGTGGTAGAGCCAAGAGTGCTGGTAAGCATGAAGGCGTCGCTTTTATGCTTCTTCTCACACGCGACTCTCTGCAGTCCCTCAACTGAGCGTTGGCGAGCGCGCCAAGCTCACCATCACTCCTGACTACGGCTACGGTGCTCAGGGCTACCCCGTGAGTTACCCTTGGGTTAGGCGCTCAATGGCCGGGTAGCCTTCACGTACGAGGCTAACTTGTCCTCTCTCGCCTTCATGCCTCCCACTCCAGCCTGTCATTCCTGCCAACAGCACCCTCATTTTCGATGTTGAGCTGCTTGCTGTCCAGTAAAGGCTCATCGGTGACACACGTCCTCTGTACACATGTGCACTTCGGATCTAAACTCGGCGGACGTCTACAAATGAAATTAAAACGAAGCTTTGCTATTTGCGCTCAGGTCTGGTCTGTAGACCCGCACGCAGGGTTTGTACGCTAGACCGTGTGCTGGCCAAGATGGACTGTACCTGTTTGAATCTCACTATTGGCTTGTTCACCCCGCTAAAGGATGACAGCTCAGCCGGCGACGCTTCACACCTCTCAGTAGACTGCTGCTCCTTTGTGATTCACTCATCGTTGTAGAGTAGGACTGATTGAGATCCTTCAGGCACAAGCAAATGCAGCGTGCGGAGCAAAACTCTCACATCAGCCATGATCTGATTGGTGGGGTTCTCGTTCACGAAACGTTGCGGCAACAAGATGTGCCATGACAGTACCAAGGACTCGTTCGTATGCTGGCATGACGAAGCAGTCTAGAGCTTCTGCATGGCAGCGACGTCGCTAGACTGAACGTGATCCTCGTCCTCTGCGATGAGGTCTTGAAGGGCGTCGAGGGAAACCTTGGCATCCTCCACGACAAGAGTGATCTGCAGCTTGCTGACACCGTAGCCGACAGGCACCAACTTGCTGGCGCCCCAAACCAGACCATCCTGTTCGATGCTTCGCAAGTTCTTTTCCAACTCGGCCATGTCCGTCTCATCGTCCCAAGGCTTGACTTCCAGAGTGACGACAGACTTGGCGGCGGGCCCAGGACCCTTGTTGGCCTTCTTGGCCTCGTACGCCTTGACACGCTCCGCCTTGATGCGCTCAGCCTCCTCGTCTACTTCATCGTCGGAACCGAAAAGGTCGACATCGTCGTCATCATCGTCCTCCTTGGCAGCGGGCTTGGCAGCAGGGGTAGATCCGCTGGCAGCGAGGTGACTTGCGGGTTAGGCCCGATGCAGAGTCTGCCTAGTCAGTCACCTGAACATAAGCGCGCAATGACGCATCTGATGCTACTACTCACGCAAAAGCGGCAGCTGCGGCAGTCTTGTCGCCTGCAAGAGTAGAGTGCTCGGCTTTGTAGCTCTCAATGTGGTCCCACCAACGAGCAGCGTGAGGGTACTTGTCCTCGGAAGGACGAGAACCTACTTGCTCGTAGACGGCCACATCTGCCTGAGATGCAGTGAAGCTGAAAAGGAGGGCCTCGCATGTCAGCATTGCGGCTGGCAACGTGATGTCGTGCAGGAATCGCCTCAGCATGCAGCCAAACCCAAGACCGTTGCTAGCGAAACGAGCTCTCTGGCCAGGAAGCTCACTGCTACCAGAGACCTGCCACTAGGCCCTCCTTTATACTATGCCGCAGCACCAAATCATGATCAGAGAGCTTGGTAGATGCGTTTTCGTCAGAGCAAAGAAGCGCGGGGTCTTAAGCCGCATTGGGGCTCGGAAACACGGACCAAAGCGATGAATCATCTCTTCATGATTGGATTGCGGTAAGCACGGGAAAGCGCGACAGCCTTCCCTGCCCGCTTTCTTTTCCCTTCACCAGATACTAAGGTCCTGCAACATGTGGTGGTGCAAGTCAAGACTCACCCGTTGATGTAGGAGCGGGTGCCAACGTGTGTGTCGAGCAGGGCCAAGCCGGCATCAGTGTTGAAAGCAGGCAGCGACATGTTGAGCGGTGTTTGAGAGTGCTTGTATGGAATGTCTCCTTGCGATGGGTTGGAAGAGGTTGTCGAAGCGCTCAATGAATCACAATGTGAATGAAGCACGAGTCGGTTGAGAGCGATGTGCTGGACTGCGACTCTTGGTGAAGCGTGCCCTGTGACTTGAATTCTGTGGCCGCGAGCACGAATCTGCACCTTCCATGCAAAGTGTTGCGCTGAGCTACCGGCGCACGCACGCACGCACGCACGCACGCACCGAGGATGCTGCTGCTGCTGCAGGCGAGAAGTGATGAGAGTTCAAAAAAATTCGTGTGATGCATGGCGCGTGCGTGCTTGTGAGGGTCCCACGTGGGACGGTCTGGTGCGCTCGCATACGCGTCCCACTGGAGGCCAAAAAATGTTGCCCGTTCAGCGAGCGAGCGACATGAAGTGCAACAATTACACTCACAACTCCCGACTCCTTCTCACAAGCTTCAAACGGCATTCTCCAACACGCGGCATACACGTCGACACTGACCTTCAGCGTCTGACGACTTCAACACTTTTCGTGACATTCGCGCGCAAGCATCGTTTCCTGCTTTTCTGCGACAACACCGAGCAGGCCTTGTCGCGATGCCTAGAGCTCCATCTTCCCGACCAGTCGGACGGGGTCCTCGAGGTCCGGTCGAGCGTCCGCAAGCTTCGCTAGCAGCCGAGCTGGAAGCCGATCGGGCCAGTTCAAAGTTTGGCAGCGTATCCCTGCCAGGTAGGAGAGCGCGCCGGAATGGTGTGGCGGACGAAGAAGAAGGAGTAGAAGATGGGGCCTCCTCGAGGAGGTTGAAGGTGACGGGCTCCAAAGCTGGTGGTGATGCAAAGACGCGGGACACACCAAAGGGATTCGTCGATGCTAGGTTGAGCAGAAACATTCTCAAGCTCGCACGGGAAGAGCAAGAGGAGATGGAGAGAGAAGCCGAGATGGACGCTGCTCAGGCTGGTCCCAGTCGTCTCTTCGACGCTGAACTTCGTGGCCCGCCAGTCGCAGAGGACAATGATGAGGATGAAGTGGACAAAGGAATGCTGGATGGCGCATCCGTCACTTCTTCACAAGCAGGATCTCTGCTGGAAGAGACCGAAGAGATGGATCCAACAGATGCTGCATTGCTAGCCAGGTTTGCGGAGGAACATGGTGGAGGTGGAGGTGCAGAGGAGTACCAAGAAGAGCCTGGCATGAGGGATCACGAAGACCCAGATGGCGGAGGAGGACAGACGCTGGCGGACATCATCATGGCCAAGATCAAAGAAGCCGAAGCGCGCGGCGGCAAAACCGCCAGCTTCAAATTGGGCGCTGTGGACGGTCAAGAGGCTCAGGAGGATGCAGCTCTCAATTCCCTTCCACCGGGTGTAAGCGTCAAGGTTGGCGAGGCGTACACAAAGTGAGTATATCGTGGCCATTGAGCTCTGTGCGCGCTAGCAGCTGTACTAAATCGTTTCTGCTTTGCTTCTACTCACCAGAGTGGGGATGCTGCTTTCGCGCTACAAGTCAGGTCCCCTGCCAAAGGCTTTCAAGATCATCCCATCTTTACCCAACTGGGATGCCATTTTGTATCTCACAAATCCCTCCGGATGGACCCCTCACGCGACGCTTGCAGCAACACGAATCCTTTGCAGCAATTTGAAACCTTCGCAGTCGCAACGCTTCTTCAAGTACGTCTTGCTGCCCAAATTCAGGGAGCAGGTTCAAGACACCGGAAAGGTAACCCCGCAGGTCTTCGAAGCTTGCATCAAGGCTGTATACAAGCCGGCGGCTTTCTTCAAGGGACTTCTCTTCCCGTTAGCAGAGGTGAGACTGCCAATCTGTACTCTCTGTGACACGGTGATCATTGGCGGTGCGCCTACCTACTCATGCTACCCGCCGTCTTGAACAGGCTGGCTGCACGCTCAAAGAAGCAGCCATCATGTCGGCCGTCCTGTCTCGTGTTTCCATACCCGTGCTACACTCCGCTGCAGCGCTCTTGCGTCTTTCGGAGATGCATTACAGAGGACCAACGTCTCTTTTCATCCGAACTTTGCTCGACAAAAAGTACGCTCTGCCTTACAAGGTCGTGGATGCGCTCGTCTTTCATTTCTTGAGATTCTCCGATCCTGAGATGGGAGTAGAGAAGAATGATCACGGGGAGAAGAGGATGCCGGTGCTGTGGCATCAGAGCTTTCTAGTCTTCTGTCAAAGGTGCGCCAGCGCGATCGTCAAGTCTTGATCGGAGCGAAGCTTGCTCATGCTCATCCTCGCTCTTGCCGCCTGCCTGCAGGTACAAGCAAGACCTGACGCCAGATCAAAAAGCGGCACTTTTGGATCTGCTGCGCGTGCAAAAGCACGACTCTATAGGACCAGACATCAGGAGGGAATTGACGACTGGGCATGCGCGCGGAGAAATGCTCGACGAACCCATCGATGAGGATATGGACGATGCCATCAGTCTCTAGTTTTCTGCGCATCCGGGATACCAGTAATACATCCTGTGATCTATGTCTTACGCGCTGTGGCAAAGCAGATCTGCAACACACAATCATGATTGCGCACGCTGCTTTCACGACTTATCCCACGGCAGAGCCATCAAATTCGGAGGAGGGTATGAAATCTTGACTACTACAGTGTGCCCAAAGATTACTCTTCGTACCTTGTCTGATGACCAGAAAGTGGGGACAAACGGGTAAGAGATATCGCAGCGCGCAGCAAAAAATGGTAGCCAAAAAAGAAGACGGGATGAGATAAACGAAAGCCAAGAGAGAACCCAAAGTCGCACAATGTAGAATAACAGAAGTAAAAGATGTGCAGTAGCCGATCCGATACGCAAGTCGAAGAGTAGGAAGACAGAGCTGGCAGGCGCGCGCTCGCGCGGCGCGCTCAAGCTTTGCGTCCCTTGGCAAAGGTCTTGTTGAGAAGACCCAAAATCTTGTTGACGTTGAGTTGTACGTACTCCAAGTCGAGCAGCTGCACATCGTCCTTTTGCTTCTCCAACAAGTCGTCCAGTTTGAGATCCATCTCCAGGATGGCCTTTTCTCTGCCTTTGTAATGGAGCGCAATGATAAAGGTGCCGGGCGACGGAGACGCGATGTTAAAGAAGATGTTGGCTCGCCTGTAAAGGAAGGCAGAGCAAGATCAGTAACGATCACGAGAGCATCTGAACAGCGTACTCCCTAGACTCACCTGTTCTCGGGCACGTTTGACTCGACGATGATGCCATCCTTCTCCATTTGGGCATGGGTGAAGCGGTATGGGCCAAGCATCTGGCTCTTTTGCGGTTTCTTCTCCTTTCCACCCACGCTGACCACGCCGACTCCGCCAGACGCCTTGTCCTTGCCACCGCCACTGGTCATGCGGACGTTCTGCAGGTAAGACTTGTAGGTGTCGAGCTGAGAGCGCAAGTAGTTGTTGTGTCCGACGATGGTCTTGTAGACGGCTTCAAGGCTGCGCATCTCCTGAATGACCTTTTCGCGCATATTGCCAAGGTGCGCCAACTCGGACGCGACTTCGTCCGTCATGAGACTGTAGCCATCTCGTCTGTCCACCACCTTGAGCTCCTCGAGTTCACGCAGCATCTCTTTGACTTTGATACCTTTGCGCACAAGGGTTGCGTCTTTGGTGGTGGCCGCCCTCTCCGCGATGGCGGGCAGGTTGATGGGTCGCTTTTCCGCCAATTGTGGGATGGATCGGATGAGCTGGACAAAGATCGACTTGGTCTCCATGTACAGAATGTCATTTTGAGTGACGTTGTTCTCCGACATGAACGCGGTCGTGAGATCCTGAATCGGTGTCTCCCACCGGCTGAACAAAGGAAGCTCCAGAGTGCGGTTCTCCTTGCGAGGCACTTGTCCCGGCGAAGGACCCAGCTCAGCCAAGAGCGTTCGGAGGTGATGCTTCTCGTTTGGCGCCAAGGTGTCGACGTGCTGCGCGACGAGAGAGTGGGTGTTGTACAGCTCGTTGAGAGTGATCTGAATCTGCAAGTCCTTCTTGGACAAGGCCATGTACTGATCCATCTCGAGCGTCTCGTAAAAGTCTGCCACGTCGCAGAGTGAGTTCAAGAAAGAGTTGATCCTCGTCTTGTTGGATTCGACAAAGGGGTTGAGGCTCATCATGTACTGCTCTTTCGCGTATGAGGGCTTGTTGGCCAAGTTCTGCAGCATCTTGGCAATCAGCGTCAGTGTCCTCCTTGGATGCTTCGCTGGCGGCCCGTCCACAAGCATGTACGCTTGCGGAGTAACAATCGCGGGATTGATGAAACGCAGGAAGAAGAAACCACCGATGAGACTGCAAATTGCAAAGTCCGTTGCATCGGGATACTTGCGCTTGGTGAGACTTCTAATTTGCTTGCAGATCCATCGAATACCATACGGCACCTCGTCGATGGAATTGATGATCGTCTGGAGGAAGCTGTTGGCAATCTCCATGAGCATAGTCAAGCGAGGAGCGATGATCGCTTGCACATCTGCGTTCTCCGCTGCGACCTCAGGTGGAACACCTTTGGGCAAGTTAGGAGGCAAGGAGCCTGTGTCCTCCTCAATCTGGGCGCACATTTGCTCATAGACCTGCAAGACGGGAGCGGGAGGGTGCAGCGATCAGCGAGCGCAACAGGACACGGCGTTGCGCAAGAATGTGGCGCACCTTCAGAGGATTGACTTCCAGATTCAGATCCTTGTGCTCGATGAGAGAGTTGATGCGCTCTGCTAGCACATCTTTCAAGAAGCTCTGGCCAGGGCCTCTCCTGGTGTAGGTGGTCATCATACGAGACACCGGTGTGTTTGCTCGCAGCAAAGAGCCGAAGTCTGTGGCTGTCTCGAATTGAGCCGACAGCACGGACTAGATGCAAAGAAAGGAGCGCCACGAGCAGACATCAGCCTGCGCTATGTGACCAGACAGGCGCAGCACTTGGAACCCCGAACTCACCTGGAACATGGTCAAAAGCAGGTGCTCTTCCCTGCTTTCGTATTGATTTCCGTAAAGCGTGAACATGACTGTCTGTAGCAGAGTGTCGATCTCGGCCAAGCTGACCAATCTACAGAGCGCGGCAACGTGTCTAGGCTCAGATTGTAGCAAGAAGAACAAATTGCCATACTGCTGCGTCTTGCGATCATCCAACGTCGTGCCCATTGACGACTCATTGTCTTCGAGCGTCGAGGCCACCTCCGATTGCTAAGGGTCACCGAGGTCCTGCCAGTAAGCCTTGAGCGCTCACAAAACGGAGTCGCCGACACAATCTCACTCACCTCATCTAGCGCCATCCTATTCTGAATCAACAGTGCGATCCGGCTGTCCAAATATCTGACATCCCGCTCGAGGACGAAATTCTTCTTGCTCTGTGCAGAGATGCGGCCTTTGAGCTCTCTTAATCGTTTTTGAGCTGCGTGTCAAGGATGAGGCAAGAGTGAATCAGTACGCGTATGCGGGCTCCCACGCCATCGCTCCGAGGACGATTGTAGCCAATTGCACGCCAATGATCTGACCACGACCGAACCTTCTCGCCGAAGAGCCTGTCAATTGTGGCGGACACGAAGAATTGCCACTTTGCTCGACTCGGCAGGCAGAGCATGACGTGACCCATCACGACACGGACGCGGACACAAAACGACTTCCAAGCGCGAATGACTCACCTCTAGCCAGATCGTCTTCCACTTCGACATCCTGCTCAGCAGCCATGCTGTACAGAGCAGTCACGCTGTACCTGTTGGTATTTCTGTTGCTCAGACTAGCAGCCGTGAGTCTCCTTCCCATCATGCTGCCAGACCTGTCCCCCGCGCCTCCTGCTCTTCCATTGCTTCCACTGCCCTCTGGACCTGCAGGCGTAGTGGGCGTAGTGGCAAAGGAAGAGCCATTACCGTTGTACATGGCTGTCGCCATTGTGCTATCTTGCGACTTCAGTGAGCGCAGGGCAAAGCGATCTCTTCGATGAAGGGCTTCCTATTCAGTTGCACGCTCGAGGCTGAATGTCCCAAAGTATAGTCGTTGCGACGCCCGAGTAGAGTTGAATGAGCCGATATGCTGGGCAGTACGTCGAGTAGAGTGTACCGCAGAGGAGAAACACCAGACCAAGGTGTCGTTGAAGAGACGATGAGACCAACGATCCCAAATACGAGCTGGCGGCAAAAGAAATTGGAGGGTTTGCTCCCTTGGGTGTGTTGAGATGAATGGCAAAACGGAAGCTTTGGCGCAATCTCGCTGCAGCGTCAGGTCCGACGATTCGACTGAAACTCAGCGCGCGATTGCCGTCGGCACGTGAGACGAGTGCTCAGTCGAGGCTTTGCTTGCTAAGGGCGCTCGAGGTACGGTATGGCAGAGAAGACCGGGCTAACTCGATGAGTCGGCCCAAGGTGAACGCTTTATATTTGCCGACTATCGTAGGTCTCGCGGATTGATGCTTCAGCTTGCTTTTTCGACTTGCTTGGTCGCCTCTTATGATCTGGAGCGCGGTGGGAGGAGCAGATAGGGTATGAAGCTTACTTTCTGATGAGCTTCGTCGAGGAGATGAGGGCTGATGATGATGAATGAGATGAAGAGGGCGTGCTGAGCAAGGCGCGGCCGCGGGATGTCCCTGAGCGTTGACTGGTCGCGGCGCCGGCGCGCGGCTATACGATTGATGTTTCTCTGACCAGATTTATTCAGCTGAGTCAAGCGTCGATGGGCGACGATCGATTATTCTGGTGAGGCTGAGGATGTGACCAATTTTGCGGAGCCGTGGGCGTGATGAAGCTGCCGCGTCACAAATATCGCGTGTGACGTGACTGAACGGCAGTGAAGAGAGAACAAGAGATACAGCAAAGCAACCTTGAAGCTAGGATCTCTTTGAGTCACTTCATCAGATCCTTACTTGTGATTGCATGCGGAGGTCAAGAGCTACGGCGGCATCGCGAATCACGGGATGAAGCATCCTCGGGTCTGCTCTCCGTCGACGAGCGAGATTGCACTTCCCTTATGCCTCCTGCTGCTGCTGCTGTTGTCGCTGTTGCTGCTTTAGCGGACTAGCAGGCAATCATGCAGCGCGTCAGTAAGTCGAAAGGCCAGCAGCGCGGGATTGGCGTGTACAGCGCGACGGCAGCAGCAGGCGTGGGTCCGTCACGCTTCATTAGGCACTTGTCGAAAGCCTTGCTGGGATGCATGGATGCCTGACAGCTGACCGCATTCAGGCAGCCAACGACGGCCGGTGCAGACAAACAAGCACACCGCGATACCGCATGGCCGGTACACGAACCTCGTGAGCATGAATGAGCAAGTCATTTGCGCCCACCAGCAAGGCTCATATCTCTGGGACTTTCGCTGGGGTCATCTGCCCCTCTAATTTTGAATCCATGTTGGCCAGCAATAGGCGGGGGAGCTCCTGGCATGGCATGCAGCTTGTCCCTCGATCGTTCCGATTGCTGCCCCCCCCCCCCCCCCCCCCCCCCCCCCCCCCC